TGTGAAAATAAAATGAAAACTCATTGTCACAAAAATTAAACTAACAAAAACAAATATGTAAATCAATAACGAAAAATTTAAATTAAAAAAAATGTACCATATATATTTTAAATGAGTAATTTATTTAAAAAAATATTAAGATTAAATTTTCATATAAACATATAAAATTGTTATTTAAAAATATCAGTACTACAAAAAAAACATTCATCTTAAATTATCAAAAAAAAAAATCATCTAAAACTTATAATTTTTGAAGAAATATTTAAAAAATTAACACAAAAATCTGAACAACCAAAAATGATACTTTATACTAATTACTGAAGAAAGCAATATAAAAAATGTTTAACTAACAAAAATCAAAACATAAACTAAAGCATAAAGTAAAATTAGCTTGATATTTAGACTAACTACCAAACAAATATTAACTAAAAAGCAAATGATGGTATAAGCTTTTGAGAGAATTTCACTTAAAATTTAGAATAACCAGTTATAATATGTCAAAATAGCATTTTAATTAATTTAAAAAGTAAATTTAACAAAGAAAAAGCATTTATGTAATAAATATTAGATTAATATATATGCTACCTATTTGAAAAATCAATAACAAAAGAGACTAATTAAAAATTTATATGTTTTAAGTATATCAAACCTGCAGAAAATTAGATAATTAAAATAAAATATAAAATTACCATCAAAGATATTTAAAATAATAAAAAACAAGATCTAAGAAGAAAATTAGTTTGAAATTTAGTTCCAAAAAAATTCATGATTTCTAAAATATTAGTGTTGACTATGAATAACCATATAAAGTTTTAATAGGTTATACAAGTTTCTATATCAAACATAATATTTAAATTTACAAAGATTAATACATTGGTTGCGTCTGGTTGGAAAATTAACAAAGTAAAATACTACACAAGTAACTTTACATTCAAAATATAATAAGTAATAAAGTCTGATTTGTATACATATTTAATATTTATAACTTAGTCAACATGAACAACACATGAGCAACATCTTCTAAAATATTATTTAAATAATATAATATGACAAAGTTATGAATCATAGTTTTTTTATTAAAAAATAACTAATTCAAAGTATCAGTTATAGTTTCAACAATTTTTGTTAAAATTTTACAAAAATATTCAAAGTAACATTCATAATTTTTAAAACCAAATTTTTACAGCTAATTTTTTTACAGTCACAATGTAGAATCATAATTTTTACCAATTGGGGTTTTTGAGCACTTTTCTCGGTGGTTATTTGGGTTCTCTCTTGAATATGTTTAACATGTATCAATGCAAATTGAAGTGTTCGATTTGGATCAATGGAAAAGTTGAATCAACTTTTTTTTTGTATGCTCTAAAAACTTTACTTCTAATCATTGAGATATGTTTAATTCTTTTTTTTTAGTTAAAAAAGACATGCATATTATACTACCTATTTCTTAACACTTTTGAAGCATTTGTGAACATATAATAAAATTGAATTATTTGTAATAAAATCATCTATTACATAAAAAGCAAATATGAACTAGGTTAAACTAAACATGTAAAGGATGGACACTTGATTTTAAGAAGAAAAAAACTCATATATTCATTGTTAATTTGCACTATATTTGCAAAAGAAGACTTAAAGTGAATTAATTTTTAGAACTTGCAATTTTCTTCTAAGTGCACTATATTTATTTATTTATTTTGAACTTTCATAAAAAGAGAGGAGCTATGTCATCTTGATCATCATCATATTGTTCCTCATCTTTGCTGAGATTAGAATAATTTCTTCTTCTGGGTCTAAAACTTCTTTGGCATAGTGAACTAGACAAAACTTAGGAAACTGGTTAGCAGAGTAGTAAACTAGACAAAACATAGAAAACTGGTTAGTGGAGTAACTCTCCTCCTTAAGGTATGCTTATATTGTGGTATTGGATGAATATGATGTGTTCCAATAACATCAAAATGTGTCTTCTCCTCAATAATATGGCACCTTTGAGGAACGTCAAAATCGTTGGTGTCAAACTTATAAAGAATCCTTGTGTCGAATAACTTTGTATCACTTCTGAAGAGAAACAATCCAAACCCTCCTATGGTCTCTAGATCCACAGGTGAATGAGACAAAGGGACTTCTTTTGCTTTGATAGTATTTTATACCTTCAAATTCCAGCCAACCAGCTTGAGATTGCAGTAACAGAGCATCCACATCAGCATCATGTGGAAATTCCACATGCTGAAGATCAATGGCCATCTTTCAGCCATGAATTTACCTATCTCTGTACAGGTTAAGTTTGTAGTTTCATTGTTAAAAACTTGAGCAGAATGTTCATTTCTAGCATTACAGGCATATCATCAGCCAATATCAGAATTATCCTTTAAAAGCTGAGCTATAACTCTCTCACTTATGAAAAATCCGTGCTATCTTGTAAACTTTTCATTTTTTTTGTTGGCTAAGTGTTATATACTGTAATAATTTTAATTCTTTTTGTTTCGACGGATCCTTTGTTCTAGTAATGGAATAGATCGATGTAAGTATCATGACTGTTTGAATCACTAATCTTATCCAAACTAGCTAGCATTTAAAAATAAAAGCCATATAACTTACATCTACTTTGTGAAAGTTATAGTTTGCTTGGATGATATGTGAGTGAGACAATAGTTCTGGATGTGAATGATATTTTCATGTGGATGTCATGCTTTTAACAAAAGCAAAGGAGAAACAATAACTCTATGTGGCCAGCCAATACACAAAATTTTAATTTGATTAAGGGAAAACAATCTTTGAAAAATATCTTAACAAACTTTCAAAATCATCATACAAACTAGAGATTCTTTCTTTCATCGGTTTGACATAATGTGTACGTTCCTTTTCAATAAATAAGTAGCATACGGTTATACACTTATACTGAAATGCTGTAAGCGATAAATAAATAGCCTTGGAGCCGAGAAGGAGCTACCAAGAGAAAGAAAAGCTGTGGAAATCAAAATTACAAATCCAAAGATAGATTACTATTACATTTGAAATGAGTCAACAGCACTTAACACAAGTTTATGGAGTACAAGAAGAAGTATACATTTTTGTTGCCTCTGTGAGAGTGAGATCACCAAAGCAGTCCACAACAGAGATGATTATAACACTGGCACCATCAAGGCGACCTTGAATCCGAGGTGGTCCTATCTTTGCCAAATCTGGATACACTCTTAGGAGTGACAGCACCAGGACTCGCTCCACGATAACTTGCACGAAGACTCTCGTCAACAGTAGATGACGATTTCGCTATTGCCCGTCTGAAAAACTTTTGAGCAGCGGGTGAAAGTGTCCTAACATTTGGACTTGCACTTCCACTTCGATGAGGAGATGGCAACGGGGGTTTCTTGAACATGCTGTTTGATCTCTCTCTCAGTTTTCGCGACGCGTCCCTTGATAAAGAATGTGCCCTCACGTCTCTCGCAGGCGCAGATGGAATGTTGTAGTGCGGTCCATCGGCACTACCACCAATATCGATAGGTGTATCCTCGGCGTCTAACCGCATCGGTGTCCCTTCGATCTCACCCCATGTTATAAAAGGTGACTCATCAAGACCAGGTGCAGGAGACGGCGTTCTTACAAAACTGTACCCGTTGTCTGCCCTTTTATCTGATTCCACATAGAAAGGGTTCGGGGTTTTCCTTAGATCATCCAGATCATACCTCTTAGACTTGTCCCTGTCCCTACCCGAGATATGCATCGGTGAAGAACCTGCGATTGGAGTGTAGAGAATCTCGACTGAACCATCTTCTCTTGGCCTAGAATCCATTGTCCTCCCATGAAAACGAGTGTTCCCTTTAGCTATCTCCTTTGTCAATCCAAGTAACCTCACCGCCCTTTCCTCCTCGGTTAGTGGCGCCTCGCCCCGATCAGCAGGATGGTACATCAGAAGATTCTTTGCCGTATATTTCCATCCTTCTAAAGTGCTCGGCGGCTGATAAGATGTACCATACCCATCTGTAATCCTGTCTCTCTCTGCGTCCTCAATCAGATTACCATTCTCCTCTTCACCTACAAGGAGATGGCCATACTTCTCCTTCTTCCTCTTATTTACTTTCTCCAGGATCCTCGAAAAGCTATCGTTATCCTCACTTGTATATCTCCTAAAGAACTCATCCAAGGACATATCGACATCTACATCATCACCACCTACTTCACCGCCAGGTAATTCTCTACCAGAGACTCCAGGAGTCCTTGGGGTCTTACCATCAAACTCATCCAAAGGAGTAAAATTTCTCAGAAAAGTAGATCCAGGGGTTTGAGTTTTACCCTCGGTGTCCCCAAGATGAGGATTCGCCTTCTTTCCGCGCCTCTCGATAATCTTCAGCTGGGCATCTCTGATTTGAATCGGGTCATGGGTTTTCACCGCCTGGATCCAGTCGAGCCGGTCCCTTAGCTTCGATATATCCGGAAAGTAATCACGCTCGATGATCTTCTCGATCGCTTCAACATACGCGTCCTCGTCGAGGACCCTCATCCGCTTTCTGGGGTTCCGGGGTGTGATCTCCGAGGAGGAGGAACTGCGAGGCGTCGACCGGAGACCATCATCGGAATAAGAAGACGGCGTCGGAGAAGATATCTGCCGTGGAGAGTGGCCAGGCGATAGAAACATCTCGAATCAGAAAAACGCGTACCCAAAAACAACGATTCGAATTTTCGGATCCGACGAACTTGTTCGGCAATTCGGACGCTAGGGTTTGTATTTGGGTAAACAGGAAAACCCAATGATGGTCGATTGATGTATCGGCGAGTGGACTTCTTATCAATTCCCTTATACGCGTTTAGCTTCCACAATATTACACTATTTTCCCAAATATTCCTATTTATCCTACTTTTTAACCCGTAAGAAAGCACACTCACATTTATAACCACTTGATTAGGATCTTATTGTAAATAACTCTTAAATAATATCTATTTGGAAAAAAACGTTTTCTTTCCAAAGTCGGTGACGATATTTTGTTTTTGTTTTGGTCAAGTGGTTTGGAACATTTGTATCATTATTGTACCAAAGAAAACAAAATTTGAGAAACCCCAATTCTCTAAATCCGATTAACTTCATATTAAAGCAAAACATAATTAATTATACACTTGAATACAGCAGAGCGACCACAAAGGCTTGACACACAAATCCGACCTTAATTGATTCGAAGCTCAACTTGAATACAAACAATGACGACAATACAAAATACATTCTAAGGATTGGATCTGAAAGGATTTCGCTGGTTTGGTCTTGGATCCACTCGTGGTGTCGATGCATTGTATCCATGAAGCATTTCTCTGATCTTCGAGTACATCACCGACTGTGACGCCTCGCCACCATTTCCACCACTTTCCTGCTCTTTAATCTTTTCAAACAGATACTCTTTCTCTGCCTCGGCCTCGCTCAGCCTCAGTTTCAAGTAGTTACTCGCGTATTCCTCCTCCGTCTTCTCCTTTTTCGCTTTCACAATCCTCTCCAACCTCTCTGCTTCCAGTTTCGCCTCGTTTGCTTTCAGCTGAAACATCTCTGCCTCCGCTTGCTTCAGCCTCACTATCCTCTCCACCTCCTCTATCTGCTGTTTCTTCTTCTGCCTCTCCATCTTCAGTTCCGCCACTTCCTTTGCTTTCTCTTCCATCTCTCTCTCGCATTCCTCGAGTCCCAACCGCGCTTTCTTATACATCCTCGTCTTTTCCTCGCCCACTATCTCCATTTTCCTCAGCGTTTCCTTTACAACTTCAGCAATTCGGTTGCATGCATCTTGCGGTGCTATCATTCCCCCACCTTCTCCATTTTCAAGGCTCTTTGGAGAGTCCAGTTCAATTTCTTCACATACAAAAACATGGCGAACACTCAAAAAGAGCAACACTTTATACATAAAATGTATAGCAGAACCGAGAGGGGCTTACCTTGGAAGAACATCAGTATCAACTTCGCAGCTGTTGCTTCTGCCAAGCCGGCTTTAATCTTGTCGATAAGTTCCTCACACTTCCAGAATAGTTTCCTGCCTCTTGTATCTTCGCTTCCACGGAAAATCCTACTCACGAAGTCGAGCTCCTTCATCAAAGACTCCCTATCCCAGTTTGGTGCACAGTGCTGAAACACGTCTTTAACCCAACCCAACAATTCAGAAGTATGGTTGCACGCTCGACACTTGAACAGCATCTCTCCCATCCCCGACACACTCTTTGCAGATATTCCCATGGAGATCTCTCCGTCTCTAATCGCACAGTCCGTATGAGTCCAGTGAGAACACACGTCGCAGCCAATCCAGCGGCATGTGTTGACTGCAAAGTCGAACTTGTTACAGATCACGCACATGCACAGGTTGCAGAAGCCTTTCCTATTAGCGCATATCTCGCAGGGGCAGTCATCAGCGGGGAGCTCGTTTTGGCAAGCAATGTTTCTGCATCTCTTGTACAAGAAGATCTCGATGAGAGATGTTTGAGACAGGTTGATGTTCGGGTGTAAGAATGCTTGGATTCCGGTGTTTATAACCACGAGGATCTCAAGCTGCACTCGGTGAGCCCTGATAAGTGTCTTTGAAGTGAGATCAGATCTCGTCTGGACAAACTTCTGCAGAAACATAAACTCGTCAATGGGCTGCGCACCATTCCCTTCAAGGATAGACTTAAGCCCGTTCTTTAACTCCTCGAGATACTCTTCCGGTAGTCGCAGCATTCTTTCGGAGACAATGTCCACTCTCTCTCTAGCTATGTCCCGCAGTGATACTTTATCGGCAATGGAGACATGGCGGATCACTGGTTGCTCATGAGAATCAGGCCCTGTCTTCCCGCTCTCGGTCTTCTTCCCCATTAGAGACTTTGAGGTTGGCCACGTCTCTTGAGAGCTCTCACTTTCAGCTGGAGATTCACGCACGATGCCAGAGTTGGATCGTGACATGTGGGGATCCGAGGATACAAGCGAAAGAGTAGTTTGTAGTTGCTGACGTGGAGGTAGCATCTGGTGAGGAAGATTGGACCCAGATGATGTGCCCATCAATTCAGTGCTGCAGACACAACCCAAATTACGTCAATGCCCAATTCATATTGAGAAACCTTTCACACACACAACACTGCAAGAAGAAGAAGAACCAACAGATTCTTGTAAAACCAGACAATCAAAATGACGCATTGAGAGTTGAGACCTTGCAAAAAAAACAATTTCAAAGTAAGATCTAAACTAAGTTCCGAGCTAAAAAATTGATTATTCATCCAGAAAACCCCTAATTATGTTAAATAAGCCGTAGAAATCCACACCGACAAACAAAAACTACATCCTACGTTCAATTGAGCTGAGACCAATCACTAGTGGGAGCTTAACAACACAAACACAGGACAGAGTGACACAACGAAGGCCGCTAGACGAAAGTTCATCGAATCTCGTTGATTAAACGCTACTACGCTACAAAAAAGTCAAACACGAATCTCGTTGATTCTTGCAAGAACCTCCTACCAAATATACATATCCATAAAAGGAATCAACCATCAAAACTACGAACCTAGCTCAATCGAGAAAGTTATCGACTCTCTATGTCACCGGGTTTTCTTGACCGGCCTCGAACTTCAACAACCCAAAATCGAATTACTTTTGCTATATATTCTCCTCGGAAAACAGAATGGCTCCAAACAGAAAGAAAAGTGAAAGACCTGTTGGAAGGAGAACCGGGAAAAACTAGACTCACCGGAGAGATGACTGGAGAACGTTACTCGAGACGCAGAGGACGGGAAGATGGACCGTGAGAAAACCAAAGGGAAAGCTTTTGATAAAATGGAAACTTCTTTTCTTTTTTCTTTTTCCCTAACCAAAAAAAAAAAAAGACAGACAGCTGCCAGTTCTTAATGGCTAACGGATAACCCGAGCAGCCGGTAACCGTCGACTTGTGTTGACTTCTGAACGCGTTCTATTTTCCCAACGTTTGCGTCGGGTCTATCCAACACCTGTACTCTATACAATCAGCTAAAGTCCCAAAAGTTTTTAGTTTCGTACAATGAGACCCCTAAATTTTCATTAAAACATGAAAAAATTGTCCTTTCGAATATTTATTACATCCGACCGACAGTAAATGCTAAGTGGATTATTCTGAGGAGGATCAACTTAAAACTAAACAAAAACAAGCTCAACATTCTCAATCTGTTATCTAGAGAATTTCATTGGCTAATTGCCAATTGTTGCTAATGCTGCTGCTACTAAAAAAAATAAGAAGATGATGAGAGATTGAGAATCGTAGTAGGGCAGGGACATTAGGCTTCTGTTCATTTCTGCCCATCCACTTCAACTGGTTCAACCACTTCAGCTTCTAACAGCTCTGCATTGTGAGGATGTGCCATCTGCTGCTGCGGCTGGACCTCAGGGCTTGACCATTTCCCGGAAAGAGCAATATCCATCATCTCATATATCTTCCCACCGAGCTCTGCTGGATTCTCGGGCTATACATATTCCAAAACAACCAAAGGTCTTACCAATCTTGTCACACATCATTTCAGAGAAAAAGGAAAGAGTGCGTAAAAATATAGAACGCAAGCAGAGGCTTTACCGTGAACCCACTAGAAACTAGTGCTGCATTATACATTAGATCGATGGCTCTCATCGCATCTTCATCATTTGGGTTACTCTTGTACGCAGCCTGCGGAATATAGAGAAAAAACCCATGTCAATATTATATAAAGCGGCTCCTAGATTTATTATGATAGCCAAGACCAAAGTGATGATGATTGCTGACTCACATTTATGTTCTTGATAATCGAGTGGTCAGGATTGATCTCAAACACCCTTCTCCCTTTCATGAACTCGAGGCTTGTTGTGTCACCACCAGCTGATTGTGCCTTCATTAGCCTGTCGAGATAACATATTCTATGTTAGTTCACCAGGAAAATAAAGGACAAAACAAGTTCTTACTTGGTAAAAAAGTTACATCTTACTTTTCCATATTGGCTGACCAGCCAAATTTACCAGATACAAGTACACAGGGCGATGAACTAAGACGATTCGAAATCTGAACACTGGCAACCTTATCGCCCAATCGTTTCTTTATCCAATCACAAGTTTGCCCAAACTCCTTTTTCACAGCTGCCTCTTTCTCCTCGTTCTTGTCTCCTGTCAATACAAGATCAAAGGTTGTTATTATGTGATGAAGTGGGATTATCTAACATGATAACTCAAGGGAACTGCGTCGATCACTTGCCTAGGTCTAAGTCTTCCTTGCCGATGTCGACAAAGTCCTTTTCCTTGTAAGATTTTAAACTCTGTATGGCAACTTCATCGATGGGTTCCACCAGATATAGTACCTATAATCATACAACAACTAAATGCATATCAATGCCCTCAGAAACACCTCAGAATTAAAAGGAATATTTGCAAAGAAGAACAAAAGTGTCACCTCAAGTTCTTTCTCCAGAAGCTTCTCGAGGAAAGGTGCATTCTTAGCACTTGTAATGCTGTCCGAAGCAATGTAATAGATCGCTTTTTGTTCAGCTTTCATATTCTCGACATATTCATCCAAGCTGATCATGTCATGCTCACTCTGGGAGGAGAAAAATCGAAGCAATGGAGCTATACGCTTGTGGTTCTCGCGGTCCTCGATGCAACCCAATTTTAGATGTTTTCCAAAATTATCCCAAAACTTTTCATAGTCCTGCGTAGGTAAACAGTGTAACATTGTTATTATGTCAGAAAAATCACCACCAGAACATAGCAGTAATTTCTAACGTGACAGAAAAAAAGAGGTAAAATGTAAGCATAAGGGATCAAGAATTCTAAAGCATACTTCTCTGTTTTCACTCAAGGATATTCCCAAAATCATATCAAAAGCCTTCTTCACCAGACGTTTCTTCATGATCCGCACCTTTGAGAGACAATGCAAAAACGTAAGCTTAACAAAAGCATGACACTTATACCAAAACAAAACAGAACATATATCTTCAAGGCTTTGCATTAAAAAAAAAATGGATATTAGCACTTACAATGCGACTTTCTTGTAGAATCTCACGCGACACGTTAAGTGGCAGATCGTGCGAGTCCACAACACCTTTAACAAAGCTCAAGTACCGAGGAAACTGTTCACAAAGCACAAGAGTGGATATAAGTACAGACAGAAAGATAGGCTTCTTGAAAGGCGACATCAAAAGAAGCTTCTCTCACCAGCTCCCCGTCAAAATCATCAGAAATGAAAACTCGTTTTACATAGAGCCTTATGTTCTTTGTCTTTTGATTGACCAAGTCATCCTTCCCCATTGGTGAGATGGGTGGTACGTAAAGGATGGACCTAAACTCGACCTCGCCCTACAATAAGACCATTATCAGTAAGAGACCATATATTATTAGCGTATCAACATGGTGTCACCACTTTTCAACAGATATAAAGCAGAATCTGCTTCGGCTGTTTAATGGAGATATACTATCTAACAGATGTTTTCACTCGAAAGTACCTCTGTTGTGAAGTGGGATGATGCCAAAGGGTCTAAATACTCGTTGAAAGTTTTTCTGTAAAACTCATTGTACTCCGCTGTTGTCACCTCCTTAGAGTTCCGGAGCTGCAATAAATAGAAATAAACTCTTGAACTGATTCCATATTTTATATTTTCAGTGTCACATAAAATACATCGAGAATTCCTTACCCAAATTGGCTGCGTCTCATTAGTAAGCTCCCAATCCCAGTATCTCTCAACAACCTTCTTGGTCTTCTTTTTTCTCTGTTATAAATTAAAAACAAAATTCATGAACTCTAAGCCAACAACCCTTGCACATATAGCTATTCTCTGGTTCTGAGATGTTTCTCTGATGCTGATCAAGATAATTCTCAGAACAAGCAAAGAGAAGCAAGTATACCTCAGTTTGATCGTCTTGGTCATCCTTTTTCGACTCAGCTGGATCATCCTCAACCTCAACCTGTACAAGAGAGTACCAAACATACAAATCCGGCCAAAAAGATAAGAGTCTTAGTTGTTTTCTGACACGAAACTACATAGCAACTAGGGCATTTAGGCGATATTCTCATGTTGATACCTCTTTTGTGTATCCTTTTTCCTGCCACGTGTATATAGGGAACGAAACAAACTGAGAATAGTTTTTCACTAGCTTCTGAATCCGCTCTGTATCTGCAAAGCCTTTGTCATCTTGCTACATCAGGCACCACAAGAAAAAAAAAGAGAAAGTTTAGAGCATATAGTTTGCTAATGACAGAACAGATACTTGGATTGAGCTACAACAGAAATACCAAAGCATAACAAACCTTAAGATGCAAAGTAATACGTGTTCCTCTAGGAAGGAGAAACTGAGGATCAGTCTCTTCCTTAATAGTATAACTGCTGGAATCCACTTCTCCTTCCCATACATATTGCTTATCAGACTTTGGGCTCTTCGTTGACACAGTGACCTTCAAAATATACACAAATTAACACATATTCAGTTGGTGGACAGGTGAGCTGTGAGCACATCAATGATCAGAGTCCACCAAGACGGAACTTACTCGATCTGCAACCAAGAATGCTGAATAGAACCCAACACCGAATTGACCAATTAAATTGTTGTCACCACCTGCATCCTTGTTATCCTGAAATTATGACAACAATGCTTAGTGCATCCAGTGAATCCCTGTAAAAAATTTGGAAATTCTGTAGTAGTATCAGAGAAACCAGTAGGGACCTTTAAAGCTTTCAGGAACTTGGCAGTTCCACTTTGCGCAATAGTCCCAAGGCAGTCAACTAATTCTTGACGTGTCATACCGATACCTGAATCACTGAACAAGTGAAAAAAAAAAACACAGACAATATGTTAATTCCCCACTCACCATTGCTCAAAACGAAATTTATACATTCAAAGCAGAAACTAATATGACTTACGTGAGAGTTATTACTCCATTCTCCTTATCAGCATAGATGCGTATGTCAAGATCAGCAGCATCCTTTGAAAGCTCAGGGTTTGTGACGCTCAGATAACGCAACTTATCCAATGCGTCGCTAGCATTGCTGTGGGAAAAAACAAATAGACGTTTACTGTTAAACAAGAAAGACGAGAAGGGACTCAATGAACAAAAACATTTTTAAGTATAAATTCACGAGAGAGGATACCTGATAAGCTCCCGAAGAAACACCTCCTTGTTGCTGTACAGACTGTTAACAATGAGGTCCATGAGGCGACTAACCTGCCGTTTGAATTAAACATCAGTAACACACACAAACATGATCACAAAAACAAAAGGTCGACTAAACAAAACTGAACTTACTTCAGCTTGGTATTCAAATTTCTCAGCCGGCGGGGGAGCCTGAGACGAAGAGTCTGATGCTGCTGCACTGGATTCGTTCCGGTATCCCATAAACCAGTTGGGTTTCATGTTCAATTGAGCCAGGGACTCGGTTTTCTTGCATTGACCATTGGTTAATGACGAGTACCATCTCGATTCAGTGTCACCTCTCCTCGCATCCTAAGAACGGAAGAAGAAAAATAATCAGAAATGACACTGTCAGTAATCCGATCACTCAGCGTAATCTAGCGATGGCTTATAGTGTTACACACTACATCTCGATATTTTTTGGTAACAATCTGATCATACGAAAGCAAATCGGCGATTAAACCGGAAACCAGATTCAAAAAATTAACGATGCTTAGGAGAGAACGAGGGAAATTGAGGTTTGATACCGTGGTAGATGAGGAAGAGCGGGGGATCGAAGTCGCGGCAGCGGCGACGCGGGAGCTTCGGTCGCCGGAGCGTAGTAAGGTAGAGACGGAACGCTTCGAGAGCCTGAGCATAGTCGCAGCTTCTAGAAACTCGATGTAGGTTTTGTTGATGATATTTGGTAGCACTGAGCAAAGAGAGAAATACGACTGACTCTGCGGAAACAAGAGGTTTTAGTAGGGTTTTTTGGGCAAAGGCGAAGCTTCTGGATGTGAAGGGTAATTACAGTGAGGGTAATTTGGTCATTATCTATAAGCTGCATTTTCTGAAATCAACTTCGACCCATCGGATCCGGTCCGATTGTGAAAACATTTTTTTCTTTAGAATGTGTGCAATGAACACAAGAACATAAAAATAAAAGACACCAATGTCCAAACGATACACCAACAAAAAACATGTACCAACATCACAGTGTTATTTGATCGGATCATGGAAGGTATGAGTATAATGATATCCGACCAAAAAATGTGATGTGTCCAGCTGCGATGACATATAACATCGGTTGATTAGACAATGCGAACATGACTTCAATTAAAGCTCAAGTGAGGCCACCAAACATGTCGATACTTACAATAAAATCTGAAATTTTAGCATTGCATATGCCGTGATGAGTATGAGATGTATGTGATTCTTGAGTATACAGTACTTCTTTTGGGCTTACTTTGCCATATATGTACCTAAAATTAATGGAGAATGTGATTAATAAACTTCAACGACGCCAGTGTATGTACGTTATACCGTCAATTGTCATTCAAAATCTTGGGATCATGTTTACGAAACTGCTACTGTTAACCATCAAGTTGCTTGGTTTTAGTGTTTTAGTATTTCCCCCCCAACATATGGTTTTGTTCGGAACTGTCCAATAGTAGTATGTCGCTTCTGTGAAGATAACGCCGACTCCATGAAGCGATTTTCGTCCAAGAGGATACTATAAGTGCTAATCTCCAAATGGGAACATGAAATGAGCTATATGCCAAAGTCTCTCTCTCTCTCACACATTTCTCCACGAAATTGGACCAACAGAATGTTTGAATACCATTTGTGTGGACGCTATTTTTTTCTGTGAAATGTTAAACCATTGAATATATGATATCTAGATTTTTTCAACAGTATAATTTCACTAGTGTCCAATATCATAGGAACGTATTTACAAGTTTAATTTCTTCCTCTTCAAGGATTTTCCACAAATAATCATACTACTTCGGATTAGACATACTATTATCCGTCACATATATATTGCACAAGCCATAATTAAACATATCAGAGAAAGCTTTGTATACACCCAAGCACAAAACCCATAAATTTTTTTTTTCCCTTCGCAAGATTCTACCAAGCCAAACAGCATTGTGGCTTGAGTTTGTTTCTTCCTAGTGCATGTGGCTTTGATCTCCACAAACAAAACCCAAATCAAAAAAAAAGGAAAAGAAAAGAAGAGAAGAGAGAGTAAAGTAAGTACATAAACAGGCAAAGTGTAATGTCAAGATTCAAGCTTTAGAGATACAACACGAGACTGTCGGTTGCGCTTAGCCGCCTTAACAAAGACTACTGAGAGACAAGATGGTGCCCACCATGGCCGTCGAACTCTCTGCTCCCCTTTCAAGCAAGCCACTGTCAAAAAGCACATTTCTTTCCTTAGTCAAATTTCTGCAGCAACTTACGCTGAGATAGAGAGACAAGAGCAAGAGAGAACCTTTAATCCTTCTGAGCTCTTTACAGAGGGTGATGAAGTCTCCCCATTTCATGTGATGCCTCCTTATGAAGTGAAGGATCTGTTCGGTTGTAAACACAGACATGCTTTCTAGATACTCTCCGTTCACACCGTTTTCTTTGAAAATCTGGCGGTAGCTCCCAAGGTTTATCTCCTCAAGCCAAGATCCAACATCCTGTAGGAGAAAATTAACAAAATCTTCTCATCTACAAGACGCTCGATGACGATCAAGTACAAACAAATAGACTTAAAAGTCCATAGTAGTAGCATCTGACTGAACAAAACCCATCAACAACTACAAGCTCCAGCTTCTCCACATGAGTGGAGTAAGTCTATCACTGAACACACCAGTGATACCCCGCAGGTAAAACCAATTCTAGCCAAATGACTAAGACTACAAGTAACATTCTAAGCTAAATGAACACTAGTGGGACTTCAGTTCACTCGATGAGTAGGAGACCTAAAGCACTTTCGAGCTTCCCTGATGTAATAAGATTTGTTCAAAAACAAAAGTGATATAATAAACAACATGTCCCAGCTCTTAATCGGAGTGATTGGATCAAACAACAACCCTAAGGCAAACTAGGGTCATACCTGAAATAGATCAAATCAACCCAGTTAAGGGTTAAAATTGGCTGATTTCAGATCAAACTAGAATAACATGATTCACGAGATTCTGCAACACAAGAAGTCTAACGAAATTGAAGAGGTGATGGCGTGATTCAAAAGGCGAGACAGAAACATAAGAGCGGGTGATTGTTTGATTGATTGATTGATTTTACCTCAACAGTCCAGATGAAGAAATCAAGGGGCTCGGGCGGGTGTTCTCTGCTCATCGTCTCCTCTGCACAAAAGTCCCAATACAATTCACCCACAATCATTTTACATAAAAAAAGCTCAAAGCAACAGCAAATCGAAAGCGAAGGAAAAGGAAACACGGATTCGCTATCCTCCAATCTGATTAGAAAAGGGGAAAAATAGTCACAATACCTACCGAAGAGACAGCTGTAAGATCCGAAATTTAAGCTTTGATTCGAGTGAATTTCTTGGGAAACAAACGGAGAGAGAGAGATAGGAACGGGATTCAGCGAACTTGCAGTGCAAAATGCGTGAATTTTTAGGGCTTGAAGAGAGAGAGAGAGAAGGAGATGAGAGGTCGGGGACAAATGGGTCCATAAGTGAAAGTGTGTGCTTTTCTCTTTTGGCTCTTTCTCACACTCCACGCGCCTTTCGCACCACCACGCGCCACCGTCCCTCCGTACCACGACTCTTTTTGTTTCTCTCTTTTTAGATTTTTTTATGAGCTGCTAATTTGGTAAATTGCAATAACTATCTAAACAAAAAAATGAAAATGTGAATTGATCAAACAGACAGAAATTTAAAATGTCAAAAGTAAATAGATGAAACATTCAAAATATTTTAAATCATCGTCATGGGTTTTTTCTTACAGCCTTCATTAATCATTTCCATTTGTTGTTGAGTGGAGATGCTTTGCTTATGAATTAGTGTACACTGTAAAATTTAATACCGATATGTGTTATTTATATCACAATTAAGTAACTCTTTATTTTGTTTGTCAAGAAAGACTACAACTAAACAAACTAAAAGCCAAGAGCTTCATAGGTAATGAATGATAAAGTGGCAATGAACACTGTCTGTGCTTTTTGCCTCTCAGGTATAAAGGTTGGACTCTTTTTTTCACAGAATGGAACAAAATATGAGCTAGTGGACATATTAAGAAATTAGAATAAAAATCATCAGCTTATTGCTTCTACTTTTTTCTTTTCCAACCAGTTTACCAATTGATTTTCCATCCAAATGTTCAAATTACTTTTAAAATTGATATGCAAAGTCGATTAAAATGAAGCGAAGTTAAATTACAGGATTTGGGAGTTTGAAGAAAACAGTTGAATGTTTCAAAAGTCATTACCAAACCCAAAGCTGAGATACACGTGATCATCATTGGTCTCACAATATACACATAACTTATACTACTATCAATTTGACCTTTGGGTTTAATCGTGGACCACAAATCTTCTCATCTTCCCAAGTCCATTAAATTTTCGCTGACCTCATCACCTCAATCCTCATTTCTCCTCCCAAAATATCACAATCCTCATGTAACTTGTTATGTTTTTTCACTTTAAACAAAGATCCAGAAACAATGGAGTAAAGAAAGCTTATAAGCCGCGTTAACAAGGTCCCCGCCCTTTTGCATTTTAGTAAATCCCTAAATGAAATCTAATTGCCAAGTACTTCTGACTTCAGAGTTCAGAGGCACATGGACTTGTTATAGAACCACACGAAAAATGACTAGATTAACTAATATTCTCTTCTGACTTCAGAGGCACATAGATTTTCTTTCCTTTTGGGGTTTACAAAGGATTAAGTCCATAGTTACAAAACAAGACTGAACCAGAAATTGATCGTTGCAAACCTATCCTGAACACTTTTGATTCCCTGAGACTCAAAGGATTGCAAAGTCAAGACTCGTCTTCGCAGGCCTCTGCAGCTGATATCTCAGAATCAAGTTTGTTCATCAAACTCTCTGACAGATGCTTGGCCACAGAGATCATGTCAAGAATGACGCTCGGGTCTAAACCAGACCCGCCTCTTTTGGTCAACCCACAGATATGGCCCACCCGGTTCACGGATATAGACACAGCTGAGCTCATCTGTGATTCCTCTTCCGCTGTTGCATCAACTATGTAATGCGCTCCCACCTGGAAAACCAAAGACAAGCAATTTACACAAGATCAGTAAACTTTTTTCACCTAAGAAGGTGGTCCATGTACATCAAAAGAGACTTGAGATGCGATTTACTTTAGTTAACGTGATTATGACTGGGACACTGGAAGTGTCGAATTGTTGGTACTCTTCGTCGCTGATGTCAATCTCTGGCTGCTCATCATCCGCCATTTCAGCTGAGACTTGGACTTTTGGTATAGCGGTGTTGGTTAAAGCAGCCTGCAGGAGCATAGTCGACAAGTGCATTAAGGCATGCCATCAACCTTGAGTAAAGATGACTTTTGGGTTTAATCAACTATATCAATTTGCAACATATCGTAAAGCTATAAAAACCAAATAAGACAAATTGATTAAGGTTATATAACCCCCCATTCTCTTTCGGTTTTCTATATTCTAATTTCTAAAGCCTTTCCTTTCTCATCATCTCATGATCCTGCAACCAAGCGTGGGCCTATGGGTTAAGAGAGAAAACGAAACAATGTCCCATGAGGAATTACCTTAATGGCAGCACTAAGGGCATCCAATAGATTCCCATCCGAACTAATGACAAGGCCATCTATATAAAGGTCCCAGCAAACTCTTCCTTCTTTGATCAAAAGCGAAGATAAATCTATCCCAGCCCCTGTTGCCAAAAAAGAATTGCTATAAACATTACAAGCTGAAACCGTAACAATGCGCAGGCTAAAAAAAGAAAATTGCATAAACATGATTGCAAACCTGCTCCGCTTTTGCCACCTAGAAGACATTTTTGAAGAGCCAAAGCAAGCTCTGAAGACAATTCCTCACCGCCTCTCCCCTGAGTAACAACAATGTCAAAAAGTATTAGCCGCCTAGAGACTTAAGAGACCATAAAGCTTGAGACTTTGAAGACAAGGTTATGATAACCACAATCCTAAGTTGAACAAAGCTACGACCACAATTGAAAGAGATACACCAAGAGAACATTTTTTTCTGAAGATAAGATGCAAAACCAGGCCATATCATATAAACGCTCACCCCGAACGTTGGCTCTGCTGTTGGACTACAATCAATGAAAACCGCAACCTTTCCTTTATCAGGTTGAAGCGAACTTGGCCTCCCAATTTCTGCCTGCAATTACACGGGTTTAACACTTAACGGTACAACAGTAGCACTACTCAGGCAGCAATGACAGTAGAGAGGGTAAAGAAAGTACCTTTACACTGGCAATCACATCAGTTCCACCAATCTTAACTCTCGCTGAACCATTAGCCTAGAGCCAACAAATGTAAGACAATAAGCAAATCTGTTGAATCATGACACTGCGGAACAGAGGAGCTATCTGAGATTACAAATACCTGCGGAATCACACCGGTTTCGACGTAGATAGGACGGTAAGTCAATCTTTTCCGACCATCAGCTCGAAGATCTTGAGCAATCCCACCTTTAAGGAAGTGTTGCTCCCCAACAGAAAGGCCCACCATTACTACACGGACATCAACAGCACGACGTAGTGAATGAGAATTGGATCAAATACTGAAGAATTTTTAAAGTTCACGGATTTGTGCTAGGGGTTTAAGAAAACAAAGTAAATATCCTGAAAACAGCAAAAATCAAAAGAATTCAACACAGAAGTGTTATTTACCTTCCCGGAGAATTCGATAGAAGATAGCACTCTGAATTTCCCGGCGACCGTAGCGGCAATTTTGGATTGCTTAGGTTAAAAGGAGAAGGGACAACTGCCGGTAGGGTTTAAAGATGGCGTGAACATAATTAGTGACTATTGTTAAGGGTATTTTTGTCATTTACTCCGATATCTTCTTTTTTTTTTTTTTTTTTGTTTGTTTGTTCGTGCTCTTTTAGTCTCTTCAATCTGCGCCGGGAAGAAGTGCGACGTTGATTCTCGATGGGTCGTTCGAAACTAGCTTCTCGTCCTGCTGAAGAAGACGCGAATCCAGGGTTCGTATAAAGTTTCCTTCTTCATTCGTTTCAGCTCGAATTAGTCTAGGGTTTTTTTCTCTGCTTGCTTACCTGTGTCTTGCGAAAACATTTCTGGTTCTCCAATTCACTTGTGTTTATCGCCATGTTTGATTATCTGAGGCGGAGTTCTATCTTAATTTCGTATTGCTTTCGTCTCTTGTATTATCTCCTAATTTGTTAATTTTTAGCTGTTTCAGAAAATCGAAAAGGAAAAAATTATCCTCGGGTACTGAGAATGCAGGGGCTTCAATTACGATCGGTATGCTTCCGTTTACCCTGAGCTCTTAAGATAATCCTCAACTTCTTTCAGTTTGCTGTTGTTTGGTACAAGTATGTATATGTATTGTCAAGCTGCTATTTCCCAAAAGTTCTTAAATTTTTAGATCTTTCTATAAGTTCTTACATAGTACCCATTACAATGCAATGTAGGAGGTGAAGCTGGGAATGAGAAGAAGGCTGGCCTTTATTGTTGTAACTATTGCGATAAAGATCTGTCTGGTTTGGTTCGTTTCAAATGTGCTGTTTGTGTGGACTTTGACCTTTGTGTGGAATGCTTCTCCGTCGGTGCTGAACTTAGTCGTCACAAGAGCAGTCACCCATATCGGGTTATGGTTAGTTACCAAGTAGTATAATTTGAATTCAATCAAAAGCTACATAAGCTGATTAGTGATTAGATTGTTATTATGTTTAACAAAGAGAATGTTTGTATGACAGGACAATTTGTCTTTTCCGCTTGTTACTTCTGATTGGAATGCGGATGAAGAGATACTCCTCCTTGAGGTAATCATGTATCGTTTCTAATAGATCTCATTTTTTTTTTGTGATTTTACTTTATGGAGCTTTTATTTGACTCTTGGGGAAGTTCATGTATTGTTTTAGGCCATTGCAACATACGGGTTTGGGAATTGGAAAGAAGTTGCAAACTATGTTGGCAGTAAGACAAAGACGGAGTGTATTGATCACTTCAATGCTGCTTACATGCAGTCACCGTGCTTTCCGCTTCCTGTAAGGACACATGATCTCCAGATACTTGACTTTACCTCGTTTGTTTACTTAAGCTATCTACTGTGTAGGACTTATCTCATACAAATGGAAAGAGCAAAGAGGAGCTTCTTGCCATGAGTAAAGAGCATGAGGTGAAAAAAGGTCAGCTTGGAATTGGGTTGTGCTTGTTTATCAGGGACTCGTACATTAACCTTGAAAGAAGAAAATTGTCAGCTCATTTTTTTGTTTGTCACAGAAATACCTGCACTCGAGAAGCTATCCCCAAAAGAAGAGCTGCCAATGTCAGTTGAAATCAAGTATGTACTTCTGTTTGTAACAGTAGCTTCTATATGTGTACGATGTTGAGTGGTCCCTTTCTAATACTTAAAATGTTTCAATGGGCAGACACGAAGCTTCAGGGAAGGACGACCCAATGGATCAACCTTTGCCTGCCTTAGCTGGAGGTACGTGACACTTGCTTTTATCGATTTCATATATAAAAAATTTGTAGACGTTATTTGCTCTTAGATTTATGGCTTAGGAAGCAAAATATTCGTCTTTCAGACTTCAACCTCAAATAAAATCTCATCCGTAATTCCAAATCTAAAGTAATGCATTTTTTGAACAGTCAAGAAAAAAGTCAATGGACCACAGGCTAAGGACAGCATCAAGTCCGAAGGTTTGTAACTTTGTATATTGTGGAATAAATATTTATGTAAAGTTATACTGTGGAACAAAAAGTAAATCTACTTACAAATCTAAAGAACTAATATGGTAGTTAATGCCGCTTGTGTCTCAGCTGCAAAACAACAATCTGACAGGAGTGTCGGGGAGAAGAAACCGAGACTTCCTGGAGAGAAAGTTCCATTAGTAACGGAGTTATATGGCTACAATTTAAAGAGGCAAGAATTTGAGATCGAGCATGACAATGATGCTGAGCAACTACTCGCGGACATGGAATTTCAGGATTCTGACACTGATGCTGAGCGTGAGCAGAAGTTGCAGGTTCTTCATATTTACTCGAAAAGGTACACTTGTCACAAGAATAAACATTGTTAGTCGGAAGAATTTTGTCGTAAGCCAATCCTACAGCCAAGTTCGTGCTTTGACTTTGTTGGCAGGCTTGATGAGAGGAAGCGGAGGAAAGAATTCGTTCTGGAAAGAAACTTACTGTACCCTGATCAATTTGAGATGAGCCTTTCAGCAGAGGAGAGACAATTATACAAAGGCTGCAAGGTCTTTGCGCGGTTCCACTCCAAAGAAGAGCACAAGGAACTGGTTAAAAAAGTAATTGAGGAGCACCGGATTCTCAGAAGAATCAAGGATCTTCAGGTTTCATGCTTTCAATTTTACCAGAAACTTGAGTATTGATTAGAAAATCGGTCAGGCGGGAACTAAGTAGGGCTTTTGGTAAATGTCGCAGGAAGCAAGAGCTGCTGGTTGTAGGAAAACTACAGAAGCAAGTAGATTTATAGAAGAGAAGAGAAAGAAGGAAGCTGAAGAGAGTTTGGTGCGACTAAACCACGGTACACCAGGCAGTATAGCCAGTAAATCACTGAAAAGTCCAAGAGGGTTACCCAGAAATATACAGCCCTTTGGTTCTGTCTCGCTGTCAAAGGTCACACTTCCAATCTCAGTGGACAATTGGGATGTCAGTGGTCTCCTTGGGGCGGACTTACTCTCGGAGACCGTAAGTAACAAAATTTTCAAACTTAGTGATTCTCATCGTAATTGAGATTTTGTTGATTTCCTTGGCATTATTCCCATGGTTTGAGAGATTGAAGCTGTGTGCAGGAAAAAAAGATGTGCAACGAGACCAGAATACTTCCTGCACACTATTTCAAAATGCTGGAAACCTTAACAAGCGAGATAAAGAAAGGGCAGATAAAGAAAAAGGCTGACGCTTATAGTTTCTTCAAAGTAGAGCCGAGTAAAGTAGACAGAGTATATGATTTACTGATTCAGAAGGGAATAGGCGAGACCACATGACTCATGAGCCCTATGATACCTCCATCTAGATAGCTGAAAGGATTGTGTGATGGCTCTCTGGTTCATATTCCTAAAATGTAATCCTCAAACATAGATTAGCCATGTACATATATGTAGGAAGCGTTTATACAAAGATGATTCTGATGTTGGTTCCATATCTTCTTGTTCTCTGTTACTTTTGAAAGCTTGACGATTTTCAAAGGATGTCTCAGCTTTTGAATGTTGAATTGTTGATTCAAACACAATGCCCTCATCCTCAATCTAATCATTTTAACTCAATAACAAGAATCTGATTCCAGTTTATGTCATATGAGATCAACAGTTTGCTTAGGAATACCCTGCTCAAGAAAACAAGAGTCTTGGGTGACAAGAAACTACTCTGATACAGAACAATTACAGATTGCCATCCAACAACAACAAAAAGAAGAAGAAAAAAAAACAAGGAGAAGCAGTCATAATCCGACTCCAAAACAATAAGAAGAAGATCCATAAATACACGAAGCTGCTTATTAAACGAAAAGATTAACCATCTCCTTATGGTTGCGAGCATTGCTTTTATTTTTATCATCGGAGCTTACTTTGGTTTTCTGGTAACCAAGGCTTGAAAGCACCAACCTGAGAAACATTTTGCAAGTAAAAGAAAAAACCACGCAGCAACTTCAATCTTGCCTTATCATCACCATCCACACGCTTGTATTCTTCATCGAAATCAGACACCTTCTCGAGATAAGAGGGTCCCAAATCATCAGTCTCATAATAGCCTTCTCTTCCCTTGCGCAGTTCTCTCCATCGAGTCACTCGTTTTTTGATTGATACCTCACGAGAGAGCCTCGACAACTCTCTTTTATCGTATGGTTTCTCCAGGACTTCCATCAGCTTCTTCTTAAAACAAGTATTACTACTTTCATCCTCTGTACTTTCTTGCTCGAGATCAATCACGATCCTGCTCCTGGACACCACAAAAGGTGTACCTTCTCCATCCGAAAACGGGGTATCACTAACCGCAATTATATCATCATCATCATCATACCAAGACTTGAGATGTTGCTCAATCTTCACTTTTGCTAATAGATCCTTCTCGGGGACGACTGTGGAGTCTCTTCGAGTTTCCAAAACTGGAGGATCGAGATTAGACGGACCAGGCTCAGCTGTAGAATCTTTGTGAGAGTCTACAAGCCATGTGAGGTAGCTCATGTAATCCTTATCCACAACCGCTGCACTACTCTTTTCCTCATTCTTCTTTCTTGTCCCTTCAAAATCTTGGGTCACCGGAACAAACCTTGAAGTCTCATCTACAGCATTCGTCTCTGTAACTTGATCCACAGGAACAACCCTTGAAGTCTTTGCAGCCTGAGTTTCTTCCGTTTTCTTCTTTCCTCGTTCATCAATCCTTTGGTCTCCCAAGGTGGCTTCTTTGGCAACAACCAACGGAACATCCCATAAAGTATCAACCTTTGACTCTGACATTCTCCTAGCTCTGCAGTCTCGCTTGATGTCTTCTTTGGCTACAACCAACGGAACATCCCATAAAGTATCAACCTTTGACTCTGACATTCTCCTAGCTCCGCAGTCTCGCTGGATGTCTTCTTTGGCTACAACCAACGGAACATCCCATAAAGTCTCAACCTTTGACTCTGACAATTTCCTAGCTTCGATACCTCGTTGGATGTCTTGTATGATTCTAACCAACGGATCATCCCATACAGTCTCAACCTCTGGCTCTGACGTTTTCCCAGCTTTGTTGTCTCGTTCACTGTTTTGTTGGTTTCTAACCGACGGAACAGCCCTTGAAACCTTTTCAGCCTCAAACTCATCCATCTTCCTCTTTCTTCGTTCAGCAACTCTGTTGTCTCTGTGAATGCTTTCTCTGATTGTAGAGAATGGAAAAGCTCTTGAAACCTCAGCCTCAACCACAACACTCTTCCTCTTTCTCTCTTGAGAAACTCTGTTGTTGACTGGTGTCTCATTACCAAGGCTCGATCTTTTTGAATCACCAGAAAACATGCCGAATTTAGAATTACGAGTTTCACATTCTCCATTGTCATCTTCGAAGGGAATGCCTAAACTGTTACCATTACCAAGACGATCCAAAAACGACTTGTACTCCTTATCAACCTTAGGATCATCATTATCATCATCATCATCATGACAGATGGGAATCAGAACATCAACTTTCTCAGGCATAGTTGAAGTATGCTCGCTAACTGCATTCACCATAAACCTTCTGCAACAAGAATAATCATTATCCACAATTGAGTCTCCGTTAGTCAATCACAAAGAATTGAAATTCGCAGGGGGATCATTCAAAAAGAATCTTATAAAGATCAATCGGTAAACGTAGAAACATGCATACCGTTTCGAGCGACTCTGCTTGTGGACACAACAAGCTGAGGGGGGAAAAAACCTAAACGAGAGACAGAGAGAAATCAGAGACGAATTAATGGTTATTTTAGGGATTAATTGCAGATCAAATTTTTGCTAAAGAGGATTAAGGAAACTTTGGAGAATAGGAAGAGACTTTACGAGAGAGAGGCTAGGAAGGCTTATAGTTATAATCAGTCAGAGTTAAATAGACCTAAATGAAAATTCCTTTTTTTTTTCCTTTATCTTTTGTTTTTTATTAGATTAATTTAAACGGAATCAAAGTTGATATACATAAGTAGTAGACTAAAGGCTGTCAACGTCAAGGCACCATGAATCACAAAACCATACAAGAAAAACCAAAAACCCCTAAAAGAAAGAAAACCTTACAAAAGCAAAACAGAAGGATAATAGAGAGAAATCACCAACCTGAAGGCTGAAATCACCAGACACATGGAACCGGCTGAACACATGGAGTAGAAGGAACGCAGTCACACCCTTTGCTTGCCAGATGATTAGAGAGGATAAGAGGGAGGCTTAAGGCTTATTTTTATTGTTTCCACCAAACACTTGCACCTAAAGATAATTTTTTTACTTCAGATTTGTGCAATCAAAATTTAACAGATGGAAGTTTACAACGGTTTAGAAATCCAAATCAACGGTACTAAATTTACATAATCTATCGTTTGAATTCACGTTAAATATTTTTCTTTTATTAGAAAATATTTCACACATCATGGATTCATCTCCTTTTTTGGTTAAATATTCGTATTCATATTTTTTAAAAAAATGGAAATCCAATAAATAGTTAAAAGGTAGACAGTTTTTTTATTTACTTCAGGTTTGCGCACTCAAAATTCAACAAATGAAATGCACAGGACAGTTTCGAAATCCCAATACAGAACAGTTTCGAAATCCCAATAGACAGTACCAAATTTACATAATCTATTGTTTGAATCCACGTCAAAAAAAAAAAAAAAATTTATAGAAAATATTTGACATTTGATAGATTCATCTCCTTTTTTGATTGAATATTCATATTCATATTTTTTTAGAAATGGAAATCCAATAAATAGTTAAAAAGCAGAAATAAAAAGAAAAAAATAGTGAAGAAAATAAGAAATTTTCTACTGTACACCAGTGTGATTGTGGGAAACAAAAAGAAAGAGCATGCATTGGGTGATCCGGTGAGACTACGCACGTAATAAATATATATAGGTTGTTGTGAGGAAGGAACCAAACTTCAACATCTTTTCAAGTTTTCCCCAAAACGAGATATACTATTGAATAAATATTCATTGGGGGAACATGTTAGATTGCGAACTGAGATATCATATCAGCACATAAATATTATTTTGTCTACAGTCACACACAAAATAATATATTTTAGAAAGTAAATTCCCGGCCAACTACTGCTCTGACTGAGACAGCGAGGTTACGGATTCCATCAATGGTGATCTTCTCATCAATAATGCTTTGATGTGTATGGATCAGTACTATCGTTGCGTTTGCTAACAAAGCCACAAATGGTTTCCCTAAAAGCCGGATTTCTGAATTGGTCCATTTGGTGTTTACGTAAGATAGACGCAAGTTCTCGATCCTCTTCTCTGTATGAGCCGAAGGATTTAGGGTTCTTTTTTTTCAATCTTCTGTCTTCTCTTGTAGTTACTTGTATAAACCAACTACACATAGAATATCGATGTCTTATTTATTGTTGTTTAATGACAGTTTCGATTTACAAAAGCGTAGTAGATAAACATAAACTTCACCCAATCCAAAAGGAAAACAGCTTAATACAGTCTCATCACCAAGATTCGTCGTGGCTTAAAGCTCACGCAATCAAACATTGATTCAGCAAGAAAACCAGACCACAGAGTTAAGTTAACCAATAACATGAGTAGAGCTTGGAGTGAAGAAGAAGATATCATCAAGCCTATCATTGCTCGGCGAGTTCCCTCCATAAACCAGCAGGCCTTCCTTACCATCCCGTGATCCAGCCGCAAAGGCGCACCATCCTCTAGGCCCGGGATGCTCCTCTGACCCAAACCCATCTTCCCACTTCCTCCATTCGAACGTCTCTGTATCCAGCCCATAAGCTTCACCTGTGAAGCTCCCCGCTCCCATATGCCCCAAGTCGCTCGGATCAACCTCCCCTCCAAATATCACTATCTGTTTCCCAACAACCGCTGTCGAAAAGACACTTCTCGGAGACGGTTTCTCGCCTTTTGTCTCAACTTCTTTCCATTCTCCTTTAGCTATGTCGAAACAGTAGACATCGTCCGCTTCTTCCCCAGTGAATCCGTATACCACCCAGATCTTCCCATCGACCACCTCGAGCCCTGGACCGCCTCTTCCTTTACAGGCTTCTCCTGGTGACGGGAACTTGATCCATTTCTGATCAACAACGTTGTAAGCCCACAGGTCGTTGAGACGCCCATCAACACCGCACCCGCCAAACACATAGACGTTCTGAGAATCCGCGGCGATCGAGTGGTAGCTTCGGTTTTCCGGACCGGTTTCCCCTGAAGAGAGCAACTTCCACTGGTTTGTAGAAGTGTCGAAACAGTAGAGCTCGTTGAGCTCCTGGTGAGTCGAGTCCCGGCCACCGAAGAAATAGATGACGGGTCCCACTGCAGCCATGGCTACACCAACTCTAGGAGGAGGAGCGTCCCCTGAGGATTCCTGGACCGACCATGATAAAGTGTGGAGGTCGAAGACGTAGAGATGGTTGTCGACGGGGACACGCGGCTGGAACTCACCGCCAAAGGCGTACACTTTGTTTCCCACGAGAGCTATGGCATGAGAGCTTCTTGCTCCTGGTCCGGCTCCTTTCTGTTTAAGCTGATCACAGAGAAGACAGCAACACAAAGAGAAACTAATCAAATGTCTACAAAATTAAACAATCTGTAGTTTGTCAATGAAGAGAGTATTTTTCTTGGGATAGGTAATAGCTGAAATCAATTACAAACAAACAAGAGTTGTGAGTCAGCACACAAATGCTCAGTTCAATAGTGACGAACTCATTGTCCACTAATCCAATAGCTTAATAATATTTTGATGAGAGAAAGCGAACCCTTCAGCAGTAATTATTCAGTCAACAAAGTTTTTGTTTTTAAAACCATTGCAATAAGTATCAGCTGAAATCAATAAAAAAACAAAAAACAGACAACGACACAAGTATGAACAATTCTGGGAGAGGAGAGAAATACTCAATTCCAAATTGATAAACTCATCGTCCACTAATCCTGTATTGATCAGAGAAAGCATTAAAGTAGGAGATGAATTGTAGAACCAAATTGATCATTAAGTGATTAAGAAGAATTCCTTGGATTTAACCGATCACATCAGAAAGCAATTAACCGAGAACTTGAACAAAACTTCAGAGAATTGGTCAGATTCCAAAGGAAGTTAAAAAATTCAATAGCCCATAAACTCGTACGATTCGATGTATCAAAAACCGAATTTGATCGGACGATTAATATCCAGTGAAAGTCGGTTTCGGGAACTGAGCTAGAGAGAGAGAGTGAAGTAAACCCAGAGATTTGTGTCTCAGAGAAAAGAGATTACCTGAACCCATTTGCCTTCCATCGTTTGCTCAGAGCAGTTACCACTGAGATGAATATGACTCACACAGGACCCAACTTGTTTCTGTTTGATTTCTCCTCTTTCTCTCGGTGGATATCTCTCTCTCTATTTAAGGCCCAGTAATAATAAAAAAAAAGTATTAGTAAAATATGCTTTAATTTAATAAAACGGCATGGGAACTGACCAAACAAAACGGCATGGAATTTGCTGTATTTGAAGAGAAACAAACCAAATCGCCAATTTAAAACGATTAAGTACAAAAACGTTTATACAAATTCCGTACGTCGTAAAATCAAACAGCATTTAATCATATCGTGAATACAAACACATGAATTGACTATTTGACTCTAATAGTATATCTTTGCAAAATCGGAAATACTATTGCAACACACATCTACGATACAATTTATGTTTTTTTTTTCGACTTATATAGTCTTGACCAAAATTAAAAAAAAAAAAATCATCAACTCATATGATGTTACTGTACTATGTTCTACGGTCTACGCATATGATGTTTGAATCTTTTCAAATAAATTACACACAACTTTTGTTATATTTCTTTTGAGGACTAATAAGACAGAACAAACTCGAAATCATTTATTTGGCTTTGACTCTCTAATAAAAGAGTATCTCCTCTCACAACGTAAAGAAAAGAAAAAGTTTCATTTCTCAAATCAGATAAGAGCTTTACCAAAGGCGTCGTTCCTCGAGGGTTTTCTTCCTTCCCCAATTTCCCCTAACTCTTCTCTTACCGCCGTAAGTTTTCATCTTCACCTAATTCTGAGCTCACCGACTACAGTTATCGTTTTCCTTCGTCTCAAATCATCGCAGCTCTGATAATTCGACTTTAATGTCTGCATTTCTCTCTATAATCTTTTTGAAATGTATGGAGACGGAAATCGATTTTGTGCATCAATGTAAAATTAACGGGAGACGAAACGTTTATCTTGGAAATTAGGTCTCTTGTAGGATGTCTAATAAGAAGCGGCTTCCTTCCCGATATGCTCTAAGCGACACGGATACATCTGACGAAGAAACCCCACTCAACGCCCACGTTACTCCACCGGCTCCACCTCAATCGCCCGTCTTTAAATCGCCGGAGAGTTCGGGGGAAAAAACACCAGACTCGTTGAGGAGTCGGAAGAAGCGGAAGGCTACACTTACTTGTTTGTCTCAAGATCCAAAGAGAATCTGGAGTCTCAACGACGAGCTAGTCATATTAAAGGTTTCTCCTTTTCCCGTCTAAACTGCTTTCTCAGCTTCTGTGTGTTCTCTCTCGATCTGGATTGTTGTGTTACCATCATCGCATTTTCAACAAAGGCTTAATTTTTTTTTTTTTTTTTTGGCTTTTTAACTCTCTCTCTGTGAAAAGGGCATCGTTAACTACCGGAACGAGACAGGAGTGGATTACCTTTCTGATTCAGGTGCCTTTTTAAATTATATCAAAAATGACATCGAGTCATCAAGAAACTCCAAGCGTCAGCTCGTGTCTAAGATCAGAAAGCTGAAGCAGAAGTTCAGAGACAATTTGGCGAAAAGCCCCTGCTTCACTATCAACTCCCATGACTCGGAGATTTTCAACTTGTCCGCGGCAATATGGGGAAATGATAAAGCTGATTGTGTTGATGTGAACATGGACAAAGCTAATGCGTCCAAGAGCAAGGTAAGTTTGTTCGTTAATCACCTTCTCCTTATAGTAGCTTTGTTGCTCTTGTGCTATACTTATTACTTACCTTGTCCATCCTCTGTTATACATTTGGTTATCTTGTCTGGTCAGCTTGCTTGGTGACCCAAGTGCGTATGAGTTTTTAATATGTATGCAATATTGTATTTTTCGATTAGGTTCAGGCTTTTGTGGAACATGAAGCAGAAGATGATGATGGATCAGCAAAAGGCGAGTCTTTTGACAAGCTACCTTATGAAAACGTGGACAAAAGTAGGGAGAACGAGGCTGGTGGGAAGGGGAGTGAGGAACTCGAAGAAGCAGCGACGAACGGTAAACTCGAGAATGATGATGGATCAGCAAAAGGCGATTCTTGTGATGAGAGATTGCCATCTGAAAAAGTTGACAAACGTATGGAGGAGAAGGAGGATGGTGGGAAGGAGAGCGAGGGAGATGATGCTGATGATGAGATGTCTGCTCTACAGGACGTGCTTGAGACGACAATGTTTCAGAATCTAAGTATTCCTGCACAGAAGCTGATGCTTCGGAAGTTGAAGACCCTTGGAGGTAAGGAAAGGAAAGCGTTGAGCGACGAGTGGAAGGCATTGCTTGTTCAAGAGTTGCTACTGAAGAGCAAGAAACAGACTTTTGCTGCCAAACTCGCAAAGGCAGCATCACATGATGATTAGGCAGAAGCAGCTGTTCTAAAAAGTAGCCGACTTTCAATCAGATCAGTGATGAGAACAGAGTTAATAATTTCTCCTTCTTTTCAATTAGACAAATGAGTTACAAAGTAGTTGGGGAAACTTCATTTTTATGATTTAACACCAAAAAAAAAATTGTGGTGAAAAGGTCTAAAGTTTTGTTAAGATGCTATAAAGTTTCGTCATTTTGCAATGAACCCATTGTTATTACTCTTTAATGATTGTTACCAACAAATTCCTTACAATTATGATTCAATGAAAAAGACTTTGTAACAATGCGGGAACACTCTGTGTAGACTGTCCAGTGTCCACACATTAAACGTGAGAAGGCGAAGCTGGACACGCACCTTCTGTCCTTCCATGGCTCTTTTTTTCTTTTCAAAATTTGGGACTAAAAAAAATTACAAAGATTCTTTTCCTTCTTTGATCAAACCCAAATTTCCGTATTTTCGATAAGGGACAAATTTAATTTCGTTGGATGGTAGAAAAATCCGAGGAACAACACACGTTTCATAAGGACGACACTATACGCAACTTACTCCTCTTCTTCTCTCTCCCCTCTCTCTCTATTACAAGAGAATCCTCTTCTACTTAACAGCAGAGTTTGCAGATTCCTGTAACATAAAAAAATCTGGGTCTGGGTTGATTTCTGTCACACAAGTCAACCCGATTCAAGACTCCAATAAAGGTTCCGTTTTTTTTTTCTACTGTTATTTGTTTTTCTTTTGTCTTTAAATTAATTATTTATGCTATTATAGGCTGGATTCAGACAATAGTTAGGTTTCAATCGTTGTACGCTGAATTGGGTTCCTTGAATTTCTAAGAATCGTTTTTGATTCTCTTTGTCGATTCAAGGAGTAGTTGAAAAATCGATGCTTTAGAAGAGGCTTTAAGTGAAAGATGCAGTGGAACTCTGTTACTATAGCTTTATTGACTCCTCTGTATTGTTTATAGTTAAGATCATACAAAAGCTGCTTGTTGCAGACGATTTTGTTGATTGTTTGATGAAATGGATGCTCTGCTCGATATTGTTCACAAGAGTTGAAAATCTGATTTTTTTCTTCTTATTAAATAGGTTTCTTGTAAATCAGGTGGAAATGGCGGCATTATTAGCTTCCCAGAGCTGCTGCTATGGCAGTGAGACCGCAAGAACCACCAAAGCTATCGGTTTCAGTAGCTCTCTTGAGAATTCATTCACTGGGGAATCCACTCAGTGTTTTGGTAGCAAGTCGAAGAGGTTTCGGATTGAGATGCGACAATCGGAGTCACCTTCCAAGCCTGGAATCAATGGACGTTCAATCAAAATGGTTCCGGCTAGTGAGGTTGTCAAAAGGAAAGATGGTGTGAATAATGTAAATAAAGTGAATGGATCGGCGGGGAAAGTTGTTAACGGAGCGAGCTTGGTTAGTAGTAGAAACGTTAATGGTGCGCCGTCAACTTTGGTTAAGGCACCAAAGCAAAGAACAGAGTCGTACCTTCCTCCACTTGTTGAAGGAGTTAGGGTTCTTCCTTCTGACGAAGGTTTCAGCTGGGCTGATGAGAACTACAGCTCACTTCAACGGAGTATCGATGTTTGGTCGTTTGTTATTTCCCTGAGGGTTCGTGTCTTGTTCGACAATGCGAAATGGGCTTACCTTGGAGGGTTCACAGAAGAAAAACAGAAAAGCCGAAGAAGGGAGACAGCTTCGTGGCTGAGAGAGAGTGTGTTGCAGCTTGGCCCGACGTTTATCAAACTGGGACAGCTGTCCTCGACCAGGTCGGATTTGTTTCCACGCGAATTCGTGGATGAGCTTTCCAAGTTACAGGACAGAGTCCCGGCTTTTTCTCCAGAGAAAGCAAGGCGCTTCATCGAGACCGAACTTGGGGCTCCTATTAGTCTAATGTTTAAGGAATTTGAAGACCAACCCATTGCTGCTGCTAGCCTTGGCCAGGTGTGTGACATCTTTGAACACACTTACTTGCTTACCTTTTTGTTCTTTGTTTTGCATTTCATCTGCATATTGATGTTTGTATTTATAATTTTTCGAAGTTGATTCCTTTAGGTACACAGAGCTGTGTTGCACAATGGAGAGAAAGTGGTAGTGAAAGTACAAAGACCCGGACTCAAGAAACTTTTCGATATTGATCTACGTACGTAACAGCTTTTGAGTTTATGTAATAAAACTTGTGGACATGGATGCTTGATATATGCTGAAAGCGCGCCTACTTTTCTTATCAGGAAATCTGAAGTTGATCGCTGAGTATTTCCAGAAAAGCGAATCATTTGGTACAAACGATTGGGTTGGTATTTACGAAGAATGTGCCACGTAAGTCTTTACAGAAGAAAGTAGTTACAGCAACTTGTGATTCTAGACCATGTAGTAGGACTGATCTCTCCACTTGGTTTCAGAATCTTGTATCAAGAGATTGACTACATAAATGAAGCTAAGAATGCAGACCGATTCCGGAGAGACTTCCGGAACATAAGCTGGGTCCGCGTACCAGTGAGTTTCACCATTAGATCAAGTTGTGTAATTGTGGGCAGTGTGATGAATGAAACACTCATTCTGGTTCATCTTGTTTTCATTTGTAGTTGGTCTTTTGGGATTACTCAGCCATGAAGGTCTTGACTTTGGAGTATGTACCAGGTACGTGTTGAAGCTACCCAATTTATATACATTTTCGATTGATAAAGAAAAATGTAGTGGTATAAACTTTCTTATTGACTGGTGTAAATTAGGTGTCAAGATCAACAACTTAGACGCCTTAGCTGCACGGGGTTACAACCGTTCAAGAATCGCATCACGGGCCATTGAAGCTTATCTTATTCAGGTTAGTGATAATACAGCAAACAAGTTATTAAAGTCCATGTTGGTTTCAAACTTATGTTTATGTTTTGGCTGTTTTAGATACTCAAAACGGGATTCTTTCATGCGGATCCTCACCCAGGAAACCTTGCCATTGATGTAGACGAATCGATCATCTACTATGACTTTGGCATGATGGGAGAGATCAAAACATTTACTCGGACGAGATTGCTTGATCTCTTCTATTCTGTATATGAAAAAGATGCCAAAAAGGTGTTTTTTATTTCGTTCACAGGCTTGAATCTCAAAAAGCTGAGGGAGACAAGAAAACTAACTAAATGTTGTTACAGGTCATGCAGAACCTTATAGATCTTGAAGCACTTCAACCCACTGGAGATCTTTCATCGGTAACCTTTATAGTCTCACTCATTCTGTAATGTGAAGTTTACATATGTAATTGCAACTTTGTTCGTGTTTGTGTTAGGTAAGAAGATCTGTTCAGTTCTTCTTGGACAATCTATTAAGCCAAACTCCAGATCAGCAACAGACTTTGGCTGCTATTGGAGAGGTACCGATCGGAACCGTGCCAGCAAAAGAAGCTGATCCTCTTTATAAAACCATTTATGGTAGTTGTTACTCTGTGATCATAAAATTGAAAAAAAAACATCATTTCTATGGCAGGACTTGTTTGCAATATCCCAGGATCAGCCATTCCGTTTCCCATCAACTTTCACATTTGTCATCCGAGCATTTTCCACACTCGAGGGTACCTATTCCGTCTCTTGTCTCTTCTTTTATCCAAAACTTGGACAAAGTCTTACAATTTTTACGATTCATCTTGCAGGTATTGGCTACATCCTTGATCCAGATTTCTCCTTTGTGAAGGTTGCGGCTCCCTATGCGCAGGTTCTTACCACTTTTCTCCATTCAAAAGCCATATCTTTAACAATCTTCTCTCTGCTCGTCTGTATCATTGTGTCAAGGCTCATGAACTTTGATAAAAACAGGAACTCCTGGATCTAAAACAAAGGCAGCGGTCGGGAACTCAGCTTGTCCAGGAAATAAGGAAGCAAGCGGACGATGTAATGCTTTCGCTCTTAATTCATTTCTAATTGCTTTTCTTTTTTTCTGCATGTACTAAATACAACTTATACAAAAAACTGTACAGGCTAGATCTTCTACTCTGTCCATGCCATACAGAGTGCAGCGAATAGAAGAGTTCGTGAAAGAACTCGATTCAGGCGATCTTAAACTCCGTGTTCGAGTTCTTGAGGTACATATATCCAAATCGAAGCTCTTTAACTCTAGTCAATTCCAATAACAAAAGAGACACACTTGAATTTTTTTGGTGTTTTAGTCCGAAAGAGCAGCTAGGAAAGCGACAATACTGCAGATGGCGACAATGTATACTGTTCTTGGAGGAACTCTGCTTAATATTGGGGTTACGTTTAGCAACCAAGGAAGCCAGCTTGTTGCTAATGGATCCTTCGTTGGTGCAGGTATGATAATCTCTTGTACAGGCGTGTGTATAGGTGTGGGTACATGCTGATATATTTTTCTGGTGTTTCTTTTTTTGTTTGTACAGGGATATTCCTGGCATTGGTACTGAGGTCTATGCAAAGGGTAAATAAGCTTGACAAGTTTGAGAAGATGATATGATTCTTTTGAAAGTTGTAATACCAGATATAGAAAAAGTGATGTATAGGTATAGCATATATCTTTAGCTCCCATATTCATGATATTTATAAAGAATTGTTTAAAAACCACAGTTTCGAAGACCCAATAAGAAAGTCATAAGGTATCTGAGACTGAGTTCCACTAGAAAGAAAGTGCACAAATTTAATTCTCCAGCTATAAATTGTATACAACTCTGTCTGCTCTTTGTATATCTGGTAAGGAAATTCACAACTACATACATAATCTTCAAATTACAAGCTAGCCTGCAAACTTATACAAAAAGACAGTGAGCTCAAGGTTTCTGACCAAGAAGCAATGGCTGGAAGAAGAGATGGCTGTGAGCAATCTCGATGAGTTCACGTGGGTCATTCATTGTCTCATCCCTCAGGGCCTCAAGAACCGCCTCACACGAGAACTCCCTGACAACATCATCAAAGCGTAAGTTGTGATTGTAATAAGGTCCCATCAAGGTTACTAATAAGCTGAGGAAATGAGGATACCTTGTTATGAGAATTCTGTAGAGCATCTTCAAGATGGGACAGAGCTCAGCAGGGGTTACAGGTTTGCCCTCTTCAGGGTGTTGAAGACTCAACGAGGATTGGTTTAATAACTCGAAAAATGCTTTCACCGCAGAAACCCCCTATCAACATTATTACATGAAATGAAATTACAAATTCGACAACTTCTCCCAAATACAGAGGATGTTATTCGAGTACCTGAATCATTCCCTTGCCTTTGATGCTATCACCCATTTCAAGGCTAAGTTCTCCTTTTGCAAGCTTCTGGCCATACCAAGCATTACGACCTTTTAGCAATGTGACATAGGTATCCGCGAGCAAAGGCCCAGCGAGTTTCTCTGGCTCCTTGGCCAACAGATGAGTTATAAAAATCATCTCTGAAGTACAATGCGCAAAGTAGACTGACTTGCTGGTAGCACTTTCCTTTGTCAGTGTATCCACCATTCCTATGGACATAAAAACAAACACTGGTTCATGAGCTTTGATGTTTTCTTCTGAATCGCTATATAATTCAGAGATATGGATCCCCTTACCTGCGCCAATGGCATAAACATTTTTCAAACCACCCATGACTTCATGAGTAACAAGGTCACTGTTATCCCACACAATGAAATGAGTCTGCCTTAGAAACTTCCCCAAAGGCTTCCTCCATTTCTCAGACCCGCAGATCCGTGCATTAGCGTACTCTTTGTTGTAAACCTCGGAAGCGATGTTAGGTCCTCCAAGGTAGAGAATGTTCTCAAGAGGAACACCAGCTGCAAACAAGTATATATATAACCATCAACATCTTCAATGACCAGCAACAGCTACAAATCAGGTAAGGGAAAGTGAGGAGGTTACTCGCTCGATAGATCATTTGAGTAGGAGTAACAATCCGAGGATGAGGATGAAACTCTGCTTCCACACCCTTAGCCAATGAGATGATGACAGGAGCTGTAACCCTCTCCTTCCAGTACTTACTAATCTCACTGAACACCTGAAAAGTCTCGGTCGACGGCAAACCGTTGATGACGATATCAGCATCCCAAACAGCCTCCTGCAGATTAGTCACGACTTTCAATGGACACAGAGGAGTCTCGATCATATTCAGGCAAAACCCATCTTTCAATATCTCGTCCGCGTACAAAACCCTATCCCCTAACCTAGCTTCCACATACTTGAGATACGCGCACCGTCTTATCAACCTCCTTAGCAGCTCCTCTCTCGAATTGATCACTTCGAACAAATGTTCCGCTGTGCCTTTGTCGATCGCTCTCCCTCCTCTTCTCCAGATTCTCACGCTGACTTTTCCCCTGAATCTGCCGTAGTTTTCCTGCAACATTGCAGTGAAGACGCTTCCCCAAGCACCAGCTCCTACACCAACGATCCGTAACGGGTCGTCATCGGCTTTGCCCATTACTCTGCGAATCTCATCAAGCCTTTCCTCCACTAATCTGCTCGGAGCTGAGTTATCACCGTTCATCGTCGTCTCCACCGAATTCTCCATTAACAACAACGAAAAGCTTTTGACTTTCTCTTGAATCTCTTCAGTGGTAAGCTATATGGAACATAAATCGTTGTTCTTTATCGGATTTACCGATGCTTAAACTTGAACGACGAATTGACTTTTTCTGGAAAGTTTGTGCCTTTGTTTTGTTTCAGGTAACAACAACACTTGTAAGATCAAGACAGTGACGTCAGCGTCTTTTTGCCCTGCTGGCTGAATCTACCAGTGAATTTTATAAACCAACATTTTTATTTCTCCATTCAAATTAACTCTAACTTGGCCAAAAGCTTTAGATTAATAAACAAAGAGAGAAAAGGCTGATTAAATCATAGCCACGAGTGGATATTCTTGAACATGGTAAAACGCAAATCTTTCGATGAACTAACGATTGTGTCTGTAAAAGAGTTAAAGTAAAGATTCTCTGGTACAATTTAGGCGAAATAAGTTCTTAGGGGCTAAAAACAAAAGCCTCCAAAATCATATGATAAGCTCATACTTTTAGACACGCGACATGCCGAGTTTGCGTTCAAACAAGCGACGCAGAAGATAAATTTGGAGGAGGCTTGCCCCGACCAATGCGAACGACTCGAACAAAGCTTTGTGTACTGCTCTCTTGCTCATGCTCTCGTTCACTGCAACAAAAGAAGAAAAACCATATCAAACTCTCTCAATTTTCATTCGCAGGCGTGGAAAAAAACAAAAAAAATGTGGCTTTTAAGAAGAAAAAAAGTGTTACCGATAGCTTGACGATCGGTCTGAGCCTCTAACCAATGTTGTTCAAACTGGATGTTGTAAAGAGCCTCCTCCAACTTTGATATTTGCTCCATCAACGGAGTGAAATGCTCTGCACCAAAACCATTATTCAGCTAAATAGCTCAATACCGAACCAAACCGATACAAAAACAAATAAGATAATCCTCACCGTCTTTTGCGTGCTGATCGTAGTACGCAAAGTGACCAAGCTGTACATCGAAGTCAATGGTCTCGTGATAAGGAGACTTGTTTGTGAAACAAAAACGGTAAACCCCTTTCTTCTGGACAACAAAGTCGTGCTTTGCGCTTATCTGCTCCCTGAAGTCATGTATTTGTTCGCCTGTTGGCCCGTGTATCTGTTCAAAATCAAATATATACACTCAACACAACACAAGTGATTTGAAGTATATGTCATGCTATATATGAGGCTCAATACATTGTGTAATTCCACGTCCAACAAATACATCATCACCTATTGGTTACTCAAAAGTACACAAGGAAACTGTAAATGTAACAACCACCAAATTAACCCCAATTGACACAAGAGACAACTCTAAAGAGAAATCAAAGTTCTTTATCTACCAACAGACACAGCTATTTCATACTCAACAATGGAAAATCTAAGCATTGTCTACGAATACAAAGTCTATAAATTTTCGACGGGTTTTCAAGATATTATGGAGTAAAGGATTCAATCAGGAAAACAGATATTAAACAAAAAAAATACCACAAGATCTACACCATCCTCGTTAAAATGCCATTGAGAATCAGACTTGATGACGACGAAAGAGACATGAAGCGTATCCCCTTCATATTCAGCCTTGTGGGAGAAACATTCTTCTCTGTCTATCACGAATCTAATCCCTAACGCTGCCTGGAAGCTCCATACGAGCCCTAATATTAGGATCGCAGCCTTCAAGCTCATCTGCCACAGATATACTTTGAGTTATTTCAAAGAAAACCCGTAATTCAATCGTTCAGACCAAGCTTTGATTAGAGATTTTCCAAAATCCGATTGAATTGTACAATTTCGATTCCTACGAGGTGATTAAGATTTGAGATAGAGACTCAGAGAGAGAGAGAGAGAGAATTACCTTCCAAATCAGAGAATTGAGGAGATAATATCAGGATAGTGATAGATAGATCGATGGAAACTCGATCTGGCTGATGAGAGTTAAAAAGAGTCGGAGATTGATCGGAGAAGAAGACGGTGGGAGAGAATTGGGCGAGTTCGTACAGAATCAGACACGATGGAAGCCTGTTTTGACTGAGGGGCAGTTTCGTGACCCGACAAGATCATCAACTTTAAACGACGTCGCTTGCCTCTTCTTTTAGCTATTTTGGTCAGCGGTCTTGCGTGGCGCAATATCATTGGTTCTTAGGTGCCTTTAAACCATTCAAATACTGCCACATCACTAGAAACCATAATAACTCCATTATTCCATACGTTTCTTTAGGAAAACAAATATTTGTACGTTTCATAATCTCTCAAAATATCCAAAATAAAATAAAATTAAATTGGGAGACTTGAAAGTTAAAAATATCATGTCAAATACTAGTATTCACTCCAGTAGATTCGATCTAAGGATGGAAAACAACTTCTATGCACAAACAAAATGTACAATTTCGACGAAGGGATTGTATTCTACTGAAAATACATCAAAATGACATTTTGTAATATACTCAGATCCCACCATGCGTACACCAAAGTTCATCTTTTTGGCAGTAAACCATTACATTCCTGGTTGAAGCACAACGAAGCCTACATTTAATGGATCTGAAGAAGCTGTTGACGTTTCCTCCCTCAACTCAACAACTCACTTGAAGAAGTTCCTAAGTCCACTGAAGAGCCGTAGCGCCTTCAGCTCACCGCTTCTTATATCTCTTAGTCTCCTCCTCAGAATCTGAACCCAAACAGAAAGAAAAAAAAACAGAGATTCCACGGTATCATGGATGGATCCACATCATTTTATCTATCGTACTGGCTAGAAAGTGATTTCCTTACGTATTGAGCGCGGTACAGAATCCTACGCTCGCTGGTGGACAAGTCTACAGCTAGCTGTTTCAGAAACGCTTTTCGGTTCAATTGTTTTGGGGATGTTATGTCCAAATCCATTGATCCACTTTCCTACAATTAGATAATAAACAAAACAAATCATAAGCAGATGTAGTACAAGTGATACCAGAGAGAGAGAGATGAGCTTTTTACCTTTAAGAATCGGCTGTACTTTGATATGCTTGTTTCACATGAGTCCAGTATGAACTGGAGTGCTTCTTCCTCGATCTCGGGATATTTGAGATCCTTGTTTGTCGATGACTTATTTGAAGCAGCTTCTGCCATCTGAAAGTGATAAGAGAGATATTAAGAAAGGATGATCTGGGAAGAATGGATGCAGTCAACTAAAACGGGTCATGATGGAGTTGCCGAACCTCTTCAAAGCTGTTTCTCATATCTGGAGGGCTCACCACCAGATAAGCATATGCCATTAGCTCCAATGGCCAACCCGTTATCCTCACGGGGAAGCATTGTGGACTGCCAGTGAATATTTTACAGACAGCAGCAACAAAAACAAAACTCAGGTCGATCAACACAAATCTACAAAAACATGCGAGGGGAAACATGGATGGTGGGAGAATTGATTACGCGGATAATCCGTGTTTCTTTAAAGCATCCAGCTTTTCCTTGTAACACTCATCGTTTTTCCTAAGTGACATTGCTAGCTCTACTGAATCACTAGGATTGGTTCCTTCTCTGGGAACAAACCCATACGACAGCAATAGCTCTCCGTTAGATTTATTCCCATACGATATGAACACCTGCACAGAGTCACGTATACATGTCAGAGACTACTGCTATGATAACATATCTACCTTTGGATTGGTTTGATGGCCAAGTCAAATTGTGTGTCTTGTACCCCGACTAATATCTAACTTATGCTCACGTTTATCTCAGACCGAAATGCACTTCATAATGTCTTATTTACCTGCTCACCTGGTTGATATGGTCGATCTGCTGTAAAGACGACTCCTTTTGAAGACTTATCATAATCCAGGTACGTCTCAACCTGTCCAAGCAGAATTTAGAATATTTACTACCATAACTTAACCATGCTTTCTGATTAGGTGAATATTGGACATAACTGGTTATAAAAAGTACCTCACAGTTGTGATTAAGCATATCTGCCCATGGAACTAATGCAAATCTTCCATCCATAGACGGCAGCCGTACCTGTGATAGAGAAGCTTAGGTCTGAATCGACAGAGAGATGCATGCAGCACACTGGATACCGGAAAGGAAAGATAAATGAAACGATGCAATATTTTGGGTTGTGAGTGGTCACTGTTCATTGTGCAGAAAATCACGCAAGTAACTAAATAACAAGTCTACTGTTTCACTCCTACAAGATGTCAACTGATTGCTTCTAATAGAGTAGTTCTTACCAAACGTGAGAATAGGATTCCGAAAGACCACTTAAATGTCTCACCATTGAAAACCTGCAACCAATGAATAGCAAACTCATCAACATGTTGACAATTTTTTTGAAGATATGAAGATTTAATTAGATTCTGCAAATGTAGAATAGCAAGCTGTATATTTGTGTTTTTGAGTCAAGTTCAGCAAAATAGGCAGAACAGTTACCTCTTTAGGGAAAAGATGAGGATGTTTGGAAAATATCCTGCTGCTTAAATCTTCATAGCTGGGGAAGAACATCAAGAGAGTAAGAAAGACATGAGCGGTGTCTAATGCAAAGGCCCCACACACGAGAGTGCATCAAGTAAAGTAGAGATTGGAGCTAAACAAAGATTCCAGCAGTTAGAGAGAAAGAAAGAAAATACAGTATCTCACGTTCCAACAACGTTGGTGATTCTTTCAATTGCCCGTTCTCGGATCTGCGAAGCTTCCAAGTACATATCAAGTTCTGCCCGCGTCCTAAAAACAGAACAAAAGGGTGTTAGGAAGTAAGAAACTGAGACAAATGTCCATCTTCGGGAAAGAATGACAATATGAGCTACAGGAAGAACATACAAAATTACCAGTATAAAAGTGAGTAAGGTTGTCGCGGAAGAGCTGAGATATAGTTATACCATCTCGAACTATTCTGAAGACTTGCTTCACTTATAAGATAAGTGGCGAGCAAAGGCCAATCTGGAACATCATAACGTTTCATCACTTCACCGGCTTCTGGGTTGGTCCACACCTTAAAATCCGAATTAAAAAATGAGAACTTTAGATGGACTCATGAAAAAACGAGAACTTTTCAGAAATTAAACTTTAGAGCGTATCGCCAAACTTGTCAACTCCAGTGAGATTACGAGTGTGAACTTACGGAGTCAGCACTGATGACGAGAGAAGGAGGAACGAAGAGCAGTTTCTCTCCTTTTCTGAGGTTCTGAGAGGCGACGAGGCCTCGCTCGCCGATGTCGACTCTGTCGATTGCCATTTTCTGCGGCGGAAGGCCTGAATCGGAGAGCCATTTCTGAAGAGAAGTGGCGTTCTCAACGGAATCTATCTCGCAGCCCCATGATATATCCGGAACTTCCTCCACGGAACGCCTCGTGGTCTCACCGGCCGAAACTGAGCAGTGGATTCCCGGCCGGCATCGGGACACCGGAAGCGGTGGGAAAGAGAGGGTGAACTTTTGATTACGGAGCCTGTGGAGTGGAGAGAAAGCTGGGAGGAGAGTTGACTGCATGACGCTTGAAGCTTTCGCCATTGGAGAGGAGAAGAAAGCCGAGGGAAAGCTAAGACGTGAGAAGAGACAAGACGAGTGGCTGTGGATGAGGCTACAGAACCAATAGTACTGTGGAAAATACGGTTTGGTTCGAGAACAGTTCGGTTTGTTCTGGTTTAAGTTTGATTTGGTCTTAGACAAGTCTAAAATTGACTGTGCATTTAATTATAGGATAAACCTAGCTTTTAATTTCGCTTACACTAATTTTGTTGATGTATATGCATTAAATACTCTTTTTTTACATTTAAAATATAGTTTATACATCATTTACAGACAATTATATACCATTTGGAATTTTGAAATTATATATGCCGTTTGGATTCCTTTTAATTGAAAACTATGGTTTAACCTTATTAGTTTATGTATTTTAAAATTATAAATTTTTTTGTTAAGATGAAACCATATGAAAAAAGAGAACATTTCAATATTGTTTTCAAGAACATGATATATTTTTTTTTCAAAAGAGTTAGGTTTTTATTTTCTTATGTAAAACCCCCCTATTGAAAACAGAAAAACATCACTAGTCAAAATTATTGTAAAATGATTACTGTTTTAATGTATTGTTGTTATTTTTAATCCTACGGCTTTTGGCCTCCTATTTTTTTTAACCGCTAAGAAAAAGTTTGTTGCCATCATCATTTTAAATTTAATTATCAAAAGATTCATGAATTTCAATAATTAAAATTTAAATCTGAGAAAGGCAGAGAGATTAGCCAAAAAAAAAAAAAAAAAAAAAAAAAAAAACCAAAGAGAGAGAGCCCTACGCTTCCAAAATCACAGTGCGTATTTGCTCATTTCCCCTTTCTCGCCCCCTCCTCTGCTTTTTCTTCTCTTTTTTTTTTCTTTTTCTTCTCTTCTTCTTCCTCGACACAAAGTAGCTTCAAATCCCATCCTCTCGTACTGATTTATCACTCGCGTATTCGTATACATACACATATAGGCACTCAGACCTCTCTGGTCTGGCCCCAGATTCGGTTTCGGGTTATAGCAGAAGCGAAGAGCGAGATACGTTTGAAGGAGGATGGTCGGCAGTGGTACTAGGGTTTCGATTCCGGCGAGTACCCGGAAGACGATTCAGAACATCAAGGAGATCACTGCTGGGAACTACAGTGAGGATGAGATTCACGCAATGCTCCATGAATGCAATATGAATCCCGACGAGACCTACCAACGCCTACTTCTTCAGGGTATGATCTCATCCTTCTCTTCGCTCCTTTGATTCCTTCTTTCGGTTCTTTGACTGGATCCACGATACGATTCTAGGTTTCGATTTGGGGTTTTTTTTGTTCTTCTTCTTAACTTAGGTTTTAGCATCTGATTTGTCTTCTCTTTTTCTCCTTTGATTTATTCAGATTCTATCTGAATTTTCTGGATTCGATATCATCGGTTTCGTCGCCTGTTCATATGTACGGAATTGAAAACTTTCTCTAGTTGTTTATGAGATATTGTGTTATAACCGCTTTTCCACACACAAAAAGTTTCAGGATTTGGTTTTTGGAATATGCGCGAATCAATTAGTTCCACTAGTGATGTGTGAAACAAAAGTTACTAAGGCCTACTTTTGCTAGGTATTATGAGTTCCCAAGTGCGTTGTAGATGAATCTATTGCTTTGAAATAGGAATCTTCTCTATCTATGATACTTGTTAAAAGAATTCCAAACCCATCTCGCTGGATCTATCAGTTAAGCTCTCTTGTTATGTTTATCCTGTCTACTTAAGGCAGATTTTCTTCGCATTTGTGGTCATTGCGTCTGGCTTTTTGAATGCTCCTTATATCCAAGACCTGTATAAAGTCATTTCAACCTCGAGACAGTTTCTATGATAGATTTTATGTGTTACTTTGTTGAGCAATGAGTTCTTCTATCTTATGCGCTGAACTAATTCAAAAACTTTTCATGACTCTGCAGATCCATTCCATGAGGTTAAAAAAAAGCGTGATAAGAGAAAAGAGGTACGTGGGGGTTCTTGAAGTTGTTTTGGTCTTTCCTGGGTTTTCTGTAAAAAGCGAGTCTAAAATACACTATATTGTGGCATGGTGCTTGACAATGTTTTTAATTGCTACAGAACCTTAGCAGCAAGGATTCTGTTGAATCACAATGGAGACCTGGTGGTTCGGGCCGTGGTAGCAGGGGTGGTCGTATGAATTTCTCTTCCCGCCATTCATCACATGGTAAACAACAATCATATGAACTCAATGTTTACGTTATTGCATCACTTAATATACAGCATTAGTGTTTTCTGAAAGGTGGTTACTTGCGGTTACAATCCTGTTTGTTATGTTATTCAAAATTGATTCTCGCCTGCTTTTTCCCCCGAGGACGTACTACATGTGTTTCATGACTGGGTTTTAATTAAGTATGTGATATAGACAGTTCCTTAATGGAAGTCCATAACTCGTCGCTTTTTAAAAATTTCAGTAGATGATGAATATGTTGTGAATGTTTACTTCTAATCAGATGCTGCTGGTGCAAAGAATTCTTTCAGAAAAGAAAATGGTTTAAAGCAGGTCACTGATCCATCAACTTCAACCTCTCAAGAGATAAAAACTAAAGACAATGCGTTGGTGCCAAGGTGATTATCTTCCTACAGTACAAATCTCTATTTGGTATCATTTTCCTTGATTCTATATGACATACAGGTGGCTGTATTTCACCCTTAGCGAAAGTAGTAGGGGTGGGCGTTTTCTTCTTAGAGCTGTCTCATGATCTTTGTTTTCTTTTGTTGGTATTGTTGACAGCCTTTCAGCTGGGGTGGATAAGAGTTCTGTTGGTTTGACATCAGGAAGCTCTGATGTTCATCATACTTCCAACCTACCAGCTAGTTCAGGCCAGCTTAAAACTACTGGATCTTCAGTTCCCTCAAACAACATTGATGGTGCACCATCTTCTGTTGAATTAAACAAGAATCCTGTAGCATTGGGCTCTAGGGGTGTGCATACTGAGCAGAAGTCGGCTGATTCTCTGCCCAAATCAATGAGCGAGCAAACAGGACATGAACAACACATTGGAGATAGCAAGTTCCATACCAGATCCCGTGGGGTTGGGAAGACTGCTATGAATGATTCTTATGTTCCGAGGCCTGCTTCGTCTCATAGCAACAGCACGGGTAGTCGGCCTTCTTCTAACTACAGTAATCGGTCACATCAGACTGTTGGTCCTCAGAGAGGTAACGGTGATACATTGATTTCTGCATTACTAAATTTTTGCTATCTGTTAATATGAAATATTGAGAATATATTCCAGGTGATAAAATGTTCATATTAATAAGAAACATTGGGCGTTGCTTTCTAAGGAAACACTTTTTGTCTGCTCCAGTTCTGCATAATTGTGTTTCTTTTTTCATTTGCATTTGCAATCTTCTGAAATCTTCATGGATGCTTGTTTCTAGGTACTGGTCCCACTAAGGAATGGAAACTGAAGCCAGTCAACCATAATACTACTCAGGGTTCTGGTGCATCATCTACAACTGAAGTTCTTGCAGTTCCTACAGAAGCCAGTGACAAATCTGTTGAAGCTGTTATTCCTTCAGCAGAGGACACATCAAGATTGCAGATGCAGCTTGAAGATTTGCAGATTCAACGTCAGCATGTTATTATTCCAAACCACATTCTTGTTCCAGAGGCTCAACGAACCAAGTTAAGCTTTGGAAGCTTTGATGCTGGCTTTTCTATAAGCTCATTAGCTTTGCCGGAGAATGAAAAGAGATCTGCACCTCTCTCTCAGAATTCGCAGGAAGTTGAAGAAACCTGTGAAGAGGAGGAATTTAGGTATCTACTTGTTTCTGCTTTGTCAGTTATGATTGATATTTTTGAGCGACTAAATACTCTCAAAGTGAAATAAGTTGGAAAGAAGTTGTTAATAATAAATTACTGAGGGAAATAGGTAAAAGAAATTTTCTAGTGTAGTTCGCTGGTTTGCTTAATAACTTAGCCGAATCTTCCAAAGCACTATGGTGTACACTAGATTTTAGGTGTAACAGAGCATATATATTGTTGACATGCTGTAGGCTGACAGTTGATCTAATAGAATCAATGGTTAAGTGGGTTTTGTTTCTAGAAACAAATTTGAGTCTTGCTTTGCTCTTCAGTTCGAAACTGTAAGTGTGCAGTAGGTCTGTTTAATCTCTGCGGCAGCGATATTCTGGAAATCATAATTATTTTTCCATTATGAACACTTCGCGTGCTATATGAAACATATTTTTTGCATTTCTAGGTATTGGAATTTTTCTTTCTAGTTTTCTCTCGTTTTGCCATGTCCTTATAACTTTCATGTCTTTATGGCTGTATCTATATTACCAGTGCCTAAAGTGATTTTTTCTTTCTTATGAATTCAGTCACCCCCATTCGACTGAAAAGGAAGAGGACAATAATGTTTACTCCCAGTCGCCTTCACAAGTTCAAGATGATATGGCTGGTGAAGGTATTACTGCAACAAATGCGGCTCCAGAGTATGATGTCTCCAAGCAAGAGAATATGTTGGAGTCCGAAAGCAATCAAAATTCTTTTGACCATGTTCCAAGTAATATTATGGGACTTGTTCCTCCAGCTCATGGGAGCCAGCTACCACAATTTGAGAGTGCTGACGCTCAAGCACGTGATGCCCTTCGTATTCCCAATTTTGTGGTATGCCTTCAAAATTATTTGACTTGTTAGGTTGTCGTATGCTTGATTGCCTTAAACCTTTAATTATGCCTAGCTTTTACACTACATTGATCAGTAACAATTTGCTCACTACCTGGCGTTCTCATCGCTAGTTTGTTTTCTAAATGAATTATCCTTTTGTTGTTTGAAGGTCCAACAACCATTTGATACAGCGAGTTACTATGCTCAATTCTACCGCTCAGGCCCTGATAGTGATGGCCGTGTTTCTCCCTTTGTTTCCCCAGGGGTTGCGTCCAAATTTAATGGAAATGTCACAGTATTGCCTCCGCATTCATCTCAAACCATGCAAGAGGTTAGTGGGATTTTTTTTGTGGGTTAACCAAGTAGTTTATTATATAATACCACACCTTTGCGATTTTGATCTAATTCAATATGGTTCCGAGACTCTTTCGATTATACATTCCATCTTCCCACAGTAGCAGCATCAATAGTCAAGTTCGTCATGTCAGCCATTTAAGTCTTCCTATATATCCTGATAAAAGTGAACTGAATCTACAGTTTCGTGTTGGTCTATATATTTATTTTTTATGTTCAGGTGCATATTGCAAACATATATCATTGCTTTTCTGTGTCTGAAATGGTTAAACATGTTGACTTGCAGGGCGGAAACAACTTAGTTCTGTCCACACCTAGTCCAACTCCACTGGTAACTCAAGCTGCTGGGCTGATGCAGAGCGCTATACCTGTCACGCAGCAGCCTGTTCCTGTTTTCCGCCCCCCGGGATTACACATGTCGCATTATCCACCAAACTACATGCCATACGGACACTACTTCTCCCCATTCTATTTACCTCCCCCGACAATGCACCAGTTCCTAAGCAATGGTGCATTTGCTCAGCAGCCTCAGGCAAGTGGTGTCTATCCTGCTCCTCCACCCCCTGGAGCTGCCACGGGAGGCAAATACACACTCCCTCATTACAAGCCCGGGACTAATACAGGAAACTTAACTCATGTTGGTATGCCTGGTGGTTACGGACCAACATATGGTTCCTTCCCAGCAGGATATACTCCCACATCTGCTGCTTCAGCCGGGAATTCAACCTCCAATGAGGATCTCAACACATTGCAGTTGAAGGAAAACAACGGCTACAGCACAACGGGGCAACAGGTATGTATCCCATTTCCCTCCCTGAGCCGGCGCGATTGAAAGATTAGTTAAAGTTTCCTTTCCTAATGAGTTATTGACTTTGGGGGTCTCTGCAGAGTGAACCACTGCCTGTATGGATTGCTGGACCAGGACGAGATGTGTCGAGCTCTTTCTACGGTTTACAGCACCATGGACAACACGTGACTTACGCTCCAGCACAAGCAGGTCACGTCGCATTCCCAGGGATGTATCATCCAGGACAAGCAGTGACAGCCGCAGGAGTTCATCATCCGCTTTTACAACAGTCTCAAGGTGTTGCTGGACCTGAAATGGTTGCACCTGCGCCTAACGTTTTCCAACAGCCTCAGCAAACACAGATGAACTGGCCAAGTAATTACTGAAACGTCAAGTAAAAAAAAGAAAGAGGAAGATTTTGAGGATTCAACAAGTTTCAAAATTCCAAGAGGAATCAGGAAGATATGGTGCGGGTTTGGTTGACTTGCGTCTGTGTGTGTGTGCCATCTAACAAATTACGGAACAAGTGAAGCTATGAAGTTGAATGGTTAGGCATGAAGGGATTGACAGAGAATGATCATAAAGAGGCTAGGGGAAGGTATTTTTATGAATCCAGTGTTTTTGATGTTTCTATATCTTTCTTTTATTTTTGTTTTAGCAAATATTTTGCTTTCATAGTTTTTTTAAGAGGTGTTTTTAGCTCTCCTTAAAAGTTTCTGAGCTAAGCCAAGAAAGAACTTTACTGCCTGAGTCTCTGTAACCGAAGACTCTTCCTTCTTTTCTTAGCCCTTTGGTCAATGTTTTCAAATCCGGGCCATCAGTCAAATTTGGATCGCGGCTCAACTTGATCCGTTCGCGTTCCCTGAATTTTTTTATATTTAAATTCAACAGTATGAAAAATCAAAAAACGAATGTATGATCGTTCTCGAACTTGTGATGTAGTAGTCTGGAAGAAAAATCAAGTGTATTAATGTAAGTTTTTCTGAAGTGATTGAAAACCTGTTTTACATTTTCATCACCTTAAAATAAACTGTTTGGCGCAAAGCTCGAACCAGTCAGTTGTTAGTCACAGGAGACTTTGTGTGGTGCAACATAACTTAGTCTTATAGATTCTAGATACTACTTTTAATTTACATAAATGCCGAGTGCAAACCAGAAAAGCATACATACAAATGAAAAGGCATATACAATCATATTGTTTAAATAAATTAACCCTAAATCTCCCTGCTTTTTAACTACCAATAGAAGAACAAAATTCATGGAACCCTGATCCGTGCGCCTGAAGCAGTAAGAGACCCCCAAGTTGGATAAATTTTATTTGTCAGAGAGAGAACGATCCCTCTGAACAGGATTGAAGCTTCTGAGGCCAAGTAACCCAATTTAATCCCAAGAATGAATGATTGCTTACAATAATCAGTTTTAGGGACTTTTTTTCAAACCAGACTAGTCTTGTTTTGTTGCTAGATTTCCAAGTTTTTGACTTGAAAACTCTCCTTTCTTGTTCGATTTTTTCGCCCTGTGTGTATCTACTTTGTTTACCTTTCAAAGAGCTTCCTTCAATAGCTTCTGGTTGGGGTGAGTGGGTCGTAGTCATAAGCTTCACCAGCTTTGACAAATCTCCCCTTTACACGCCGTCTCACATCAGCTCTTGCTTTGCGTGAAGCATACCTCACTCTCTTATCAAACCTGAAGCAAAAGAGAAAGGCAGGTGTCTCATTAGAAAAAAACCCTGCAACTTCACTTGAGTGACGCATGTAATAAGATTTGCAAGGGCCACTTACTTGCGAGCCTTCTTCTTTTCTTTGTAACGCATAACCGCGTTATTACGGGTTACTGAATGCGAGGAGGCATTATTATCCTGTGATGTTTGAGGATACCATGGTGGCTCCCCAGAGAGCTGCATCGAAGACGATGCACCACATTCTTGGAAATCTCCAGCACTGCTTTCTCCGGTGACTCCAGAGAAAGAGATGTTTGAATGTGCTGGCTTCGACGTGAAGCAGATTATTGGCTCCGTTTTCGAACTCATGAACGAATCATTGCTCTCAGCTGGCTGCACCAGATTCCCATTTCCTCCCTGGATTAAAAGAGAAACGTTAGAATCGCACAAAGATGCATCCATTGCTAGTGAATCTAATAAGAAGAAAAATGGATTAAGAAAAAGTACCCCAGGAGCTGCTTGATGCTTAGAGAAGAGACTATCGATTCCACCTTGTCCAAAGAGCTCTCCCGAGGGGTTAAAGGCTGTACCAAAGAGCTCTTCATAGTTCTCAAGTGCCAAGTCTACTTCATCCATACCCAGGTTTCCATAAAAGTCATCTTCACACACTCCAACATCCTTTAAAACAGAAGCAAGAACTAGAATTTAGTAAAAAAAAAAGATAAAATTTCATTGATGCCACACAAGTAATAACAACATTTCAAAGGAACAAAGAATTACCTTAGCAAATGATGGATTTCCTGGTGCTGCAGAACTGGTTTCAGGCCTTGAAGAAGAGCCAGCGACGACATCTTTCTTATCGTCATTACAGCTCTTGTTTGTCTGGCCATCGTCGTCTATGTTCATCATACCCATTTCTTGTTCACAAACGGATTGTCCGGCTAAGTCCAAACAAAAAGACCAGATAGAAGCGAGCTCCGAGCTTGAAGGGCAACCAGAATAGCAACTTATGGTTTGCCTCTTATGATTATTTGACGGAGAAGAAGAAGAAGAGTTGTTGTTGTTGTTGTGGCCAGACCAATCACAGTTTTGACAAAGTGAAACCCTTTCTTCAACACACCTGACTGTTGCAGGCTGAGCATTACATCTCTCGCAGATGAGTGTCCTAGAATGTCGTTTGGACAATGCATTAGCGGAATGAACACTCCGGTCACAGGAGAGGCAGAGACACGCTGCATCGGATCGACAGTACACCATTGATCTTTGTTCACCACAGAAGTCACACATGTACCCCATCTTCTTTCTCTCTGATTCTTTCAACTCTCTGTTGTCAAATAAATCCTCGAATTAGAAATTCAGATATAAAACAAAAATACAGAGACTTGGTTCAAAAAGCAACAAGCCTTGAAGAAGAAATAAAACGAATCTTCTGAAAATTTCTGACTTTACGTTGTGATTTCTATAAACAGGTGGAGAATTTATAACCAACGGAGAAGGGTAAAAAGGGAAACGAACCCCATAAGATTTACTATTAACAGATCAGTACAGAGCTTTCATATGTGAACAGTCAGAGACCAAAACCCAGAAAAGGAAATAATCGAAATCGATACAAAAACAACATCAACTCAAGCTTCAAACTCCAGATCAGTAAATCTACAGTTTTTTTTGTTTGACTTGTAGTTCAAATTAGAGCAGACTCCATAAATTCTCAACTCCCTATAAATAATCAAGCCTTTTTTATCATACAGTCATCAATCATCATCCGAAGAAGTTAAAAAAAAGCACGAAAAGTCCTTGATCGAAGATCCAATCATTTCAACACACAACACATGTAAACAAAAAGAGGGAAAATCGAAATCAGCCCTTTATCGAGAAAGAGTGATAACACTTAACACGGATTACTACAGACGGAAAATTCGAGAAGGAAAAAAAATAAACTAAAAACACTCAAAAAAGGGTTTTACATCAGAAAAAATAAGATAGAGAAAAGAGAAGAACAACTCACGGTTTAAAAGATCTTCTGGATTATCTTCTGAAGTTGAATCAAGCAATTTTTTGTGAAGAAACACAAATCCCAGAAACAGAGCCGATTATTCTTCTTCTTCTGCTTCTCTCTCTCGGAGGAGAAAAAAAAAAGAGAAAGAGATGAATGGATAGACAATGGGTGGGTGTGTCCGCAAAGGGACATGTAGGCTTGTGACATAATCTGATCATCAAAAGTGCCTAATTTTTTAATTCATTTAACTCTTTTATTTTTTATTTTTAAAAAGGCGAAAAAGTGCAAAAAGGTTTGTGTAGGGTATGGTGGGTCCCTCTCGTATTTATAGTGAAAGCAAAAAACTTATCTGGCCCCCACAGATATTTTAAGAGAAAAGTAGGACAGACATTAGAAAAGGTTTATGTTTCGTCACGCGCTCGCGAGTACCGGAACCAGCGTAATCGCGACGTGGAATGTAACAAGTGGCTCTTTTGTGCCATAATGGATTCTCAAGCTTTCGCTTTTTTCGATGCTTTTACACGAATCAGAGACTCTCAGATATGTTTTGCCTCTTTGCTCACAATAATGAATAATAAATCTCTTCTTTGCTTTGACCTTACAAAACCCAAAATATCTTATTTTTCGGTGGGCGTATATAACAAAATACTTATCTTTTTAGCTAGAAAGAAAAAAGAAACGAAAGATATTTTTGACGGGAAAGCAAGGGGAAACCAAAAAATATCTGTCAAGTTAGATACGTCTGTGTAACGATGAGACACCAGAAAAAAAAAAAAAATATATATATATATATATTACTATTATTGTATGTGTGTGTGTATTCCCAATATTAAAATAGTGGACTTTTTTTCCCTAAAGAAAATAATGGATTTATTACGAATGTAACATTTTGTCCTGTTCTGCCTTTTATTGTGCACCGGGTTACTAAACCCGTTTCTTTATTTATTGAGTAAGCGAAACTGATGATAAGACTTTTAATTAGAGCATAGAAATTAAAAACCCGTGTGTTCATGATCTTATTTGACTTAAACAACACAAGTTGTAAATATTTCAAAACAACAGAAAAAAAACAAATCGTGAACCGACAAAAGAAAAGATGATTGTATACACTCGAGTTTTCAACAGATTTTATCTAGAACTTTTAAAGCCTGATTAGAAAATAAATGCTATACGAGTGTTTAAAATGAAATCACTCCCTAAAGTTATTAGTATTTTTTATGTACAGGGAAAATTACCCAAATTTCATGTTTTAAATACTCTCATCTATCTTCCATAATGGTTGGTTATGATAAATTTTTTTTTTAGGCTTGGTTTTCTATTTAGAGAACCCATCAAAAGAAAACTTGGTTACGAACTGGGTTAAATATCCAATCAAAACGAATGATGATATTGAAACTTATTAAATAACCGCATAAACCTTAATTGGATAATTATTAACAAATCTGTTTGAAAAAAACCCAAGTGACAAAATACTAATCAACGATAACGAAAGCAAAAAGGAGAAGAAAAAAAAAAGGGAAGATAAGACGCACCCAGAGATCACACACACACAAACATAAAAAAAAAAACGAAAAAAATTACACATATGATGCTGAAATGTGAGTTGGATAAGATTCTGGGACGATCCGAACTCTCGTACAAAACATCGTATTCTTATCGAATATAAAACCACCGGCTTAGAGCTGACGACTCTCACTTATTTTTCCTAAAGATAACATTAACTATCTTATTAACTTGATGAGTGCCTTTTATGAACTTCACACCCATTTTTTTGTTGTTTCTTTATTATATATGCCTCTCCCACCCAATCATAACTCTAAATCATTAATAATATTAAATAACCCACTCCTAGGACAACAAATTAGCTGTGACATAGGGAGATCATCTCATGAGTTGACCCAATCTAACCTTTAAATCAGAATCCTAAATTGCTTTTTCAATTATTTGAGGGTTATTAAGATTTGGTGGAACCAAAAAACTGTTGATAGAAAGAAGAACGCTTTGTTTCTCATATATATCCTCAAGGGAAACCATAGTGACATGGATTTTGATTCAGCTGAGCATAAGAGTCTTAACAAGAGCTACAACAGGGAAACATAGTGCTGAGACTGTAGCTGCGTTGTTGGGTCATGAAAAAGACCTGACCTGAGAAGATTTAACCATATAGAGCACGCCAGGGACTTTTTTCTTCTTTTGCTGTCTTTGATGCGTTCCACTTGATTCTGTCTCTCGAGAAAGACAGCCCCGCATAACTCGCCACAAGCTCCCCGGTTTCATTGATCACCTGTGATAACAATCATTCAGTTTAAATCGACCTTCTCTTAAAAGTGACACTAGATTTTGAGTCCTGCTAATATTCTAATGACCTCGCAGTGTACGAGTGGATTTACAACTCCAGCAATAAAAAAAAAAGAGAGAAGAGAATGAGGCAATCTTTACCTTAAGATCTTCATCTAGAGCTTTATGAGGATTGCTACTACTTTTTTGCCCTATGAGAATGGAGGCAGGCAAGCCTTTGACACGAGCTAGATGAAGCAAGCATGACAAAGGTTCGTAATGGATTTGCGTCAACGGTGGTGGTTTATCGATGCGAGAAGCAAGTAGCCTAGTGGCCTCTGTTTCTGGACCAACTTGAAAGTAATGAAGACTAGCTGCTCTGCTACTTGCTTCAAGGGATCTGTTATTGAACTTAAGCTTAGACGCAGCCACAAGAAAAGGAGCCACAATCGTGGGCGGAGTGGACGCTTCCCTTGTAATTAGGTCCAGCAGTTCATTCATTGCACACACCAGTGCAGGAGGCTCATAGCTTCGAAGAAGAAAAATCGAGACCTTAAACAATGAAAGAAATAATCAGAAAGTTGATCACTTTAACCATGGTATTCCAATAAAGCACATTCAGCATGAAAACGAGGACGCGTGAATCAAGTCTTGCAACACAGCCATGATGCTGATGAACAAAATGATATACATGGGCTAAATGATATACATCACCAAAGGCCAAAGAAATCTGATCAAGCCTAAGTCCCATATCATGAGTTAGGAACCATTTCTCAAGAAAAACTGAAAAAAAAAGAAAGGCACTATCATAGCTTTCACTCGTCATATCAACACCTTACATAAACCCTGACACTTTCTAACCTAAGCAGAAAAAGCTTAGTTTCTTTCTCATAAGTCTTTAGTTTAGGGTGGGTAATATACTATAGAAGAAGCCATCAACTAGTGAAGTGCATATCCCTAAGAATCAACCATCATGTTCACATTTTACAAGTAAGCATAGTCGACTAGTTATATAAAGTAGCTATATTTTACAAGATATGACACATTAAGGAACCATACATTAAAATTATTCAGCTTAACTATAGAACTAAATAAATCTCAGTTCTTCGATCAATATAAAAGCTCACGAAAGGTTGAACAGAAGAAACCAGGCAGCGACTATAAAGCTAAACAAACTCAATTCAACTAAGAAAATTTGATTCCCGGCAAGTACCCACTAAATCACTGCAGAATCCGACAGTTGCCAGAATTAAAAACGCGATTGAAACGGCCTAAAAAGGGAACGAGGAAGAACCTGATAATCTCCATTTCCATCGACGAAGTGAACGACGCTCCCGCCGGTTCCGCCATCCTCGACACCGTACTTATCCAACGGAAGATCGATCTGCTCTTCTCTGCAGAAATCACGTACAAATGTCAGGCATAGCGGGAGCCGGAAATGACAGCGAGAAATTGAGGAAGAAAGAATCAATTACAGTTTACGAAGAGGGGAACTAGGGTTAGGGCTTAGAGAGTCAGCGACGGTTGCCGCAAATCCATCGGAATCATTCCAGAGGAAAACAATCTTCTCCGCTACTTTCATTGCGGAAGTTGAAAGTGTTACAACTTAGCTTGAGGATTGGAGAAGCTGTTTTCAGCTTAAAGCGCAAGACGCAACTGTTCTTTCTAGTTTCTTCAATGAAGAAAAATCGTTTTTTCTTTTTGGGTCACAAGTCCCTCTCCTATTCTCAACGTTTTCAAATGAAATTGGGCTTTAAATCAAATTGGGTTTTAAATGAATATTTATTCTGTAAACCCAATCGAGAACAATTCATATACAGTATTCTAATTCTTACTTGAACACAGACAGAAACATCGTCTAATTGGGCTTTAAAGAAATTGGGCCTAATATTTAATCTGTATCGCAAAGTAACCTCAATCGAGTAGATGTTCGAAAAATGGGCCTAAGGCGGGAGCGTCTAATTGGGTACTAGCCGAAACGATTTTCATTAACTCGGTCTTAACCGGAAAAAATTGGTCGAGTCTCCCTTTTTCTCAACATTTTCAAACTCAGACCGAAAAGAAATCGGACTTTCCTGAATTTTCACAAACTCAGTCGAGAACAATTCTTACTTACTTGAATTGTTCTAAGAACTCTTTATTGATGAAAACAGTTTTTTTTTTAATCCTGATTTGTGTATCTGACTATTCTTACTTCTACTAAAAAACAAAGCTTATCTTTCTAAGGTAAGAGACGATACAAAAGAGTAAAGGCAACTTTAAAGAAACTGGAGAAAGAGGAATGTCTCGTAAGGTGCATCACCGGTGACTCCTCGGACCTCAACTCATGGCTCTCACACCTCGGATCTGCGTAACAAAGTTTTCTTAGCTTTAAACTCCATTCATATCATTAATATGTATATCATCTCCCTTCGAAATTTTGCTAAGGCAGATAGTTTTTGCGTAACATTTTACAGCTAGTTCAGGTGAACAATAATTAGGTGAATCTGTGAGTCTCAGACTAGAAAATTGATGTGTTTCTGCACTTTGTAATACAAAACAACGAACTACTACTTACCACGACCATATTTGGAAATGTTTAGAGCATTGTTGTGTCCACTGGGTAGCTTCCCAGTACCCGCAAAAAGGTAGCAAACTCCTGCAACAACAAACAAACAAGAGCCTTACTCGCTTCTACTTCACCGAGGAAATCCAGGTAACGACGTTTTCAAACTAAGTAAGAAAACCAAAGGCTTTACCTCAAGATTCCTTAGTGCGTTTTGAGCAACTTCATCTGCCATGGATGCCTCGAAATCCACATAGAAAAGATAATCGAAGTATCTGTCAAGCCAAAGAGGAAGACAGCTTCATCATTGTTCAGAAACTGTGGGTACAGTACATATTCAACTAGTGTGGTTTGTTGGAGAAATTACTTTAGCCCTCCAGATGCTCGCAGAGGGTGTTTCCTTAGAGGGCGGCTTTCAATCTGATGGAAGAAGCCACACGGTATTGATTGTTAGCGATGAGCACCAGACTGCTTGCTGCACAAGTTCAAAGGAAGATCCAGTCTACTAAACTAACCTTGGTGAGGTTGATTTCCCTAAGGGAGAACACAGCAAGTGCTTTGAAAAGTACTCCGGGCCCTTCCTCCAACGAGAAAACTATACTTGTCTATAAGAAGATCAAAGTGACTTTGTTCGTCAGAGAAAAATCAAATCTCCAAAATCTCAGAGCGGCGATTGCAATTTCAGAAGATACATTTGGGATTTCTCACCTTGAAAAGTCTGTTAGTTCCAGGGATAATGGGTTCCCTTGCGAGCATTAGAAACCTTGTAACATTATCAGAGTCATCCTAAATTGATTGAACTTCACAATCAAATCATCCACAAGTTTATAAATTATGGACGGAAAAAATGGTAAAAGGCAAATCAAAAAACTCTATAAACCTGGATATCTTCGGCAAGTATGTTCAAACCATATATCTTTGCAGCTTCGGCGCTGGCAACAGCTGCTGCATCACTTAAGTTTTCGAATGCAATTTGCTGCCAGTTAAATCCATAAGCTTAATAAAGCACCAATCGTAATTCTGTGAACATATAATTAAATGATACTGGTAACATAAACTTACCTTTGCAGCACCTGCAGTGTCATCTACTGCTTCTCTGACCAATCCCAATCTAGTTAACGTGTTTTCACACTGAGCAAGAGCCTGGTCCAAAGCAACGACTAAGGCCTTTCACTTCATACTAAGAGAAGAAGAAGTGGAAAAATCTACAAAGGCAATGTGGTTGTACCTGTGGATGGCTAAGCACCCTTTTCAAATCTTCAATGCTTACACCGTGGTTAGCCAACAGACAATGGCGAACAGCAAGCTTGACTTCCCCTACGATATGCAAATTGTGTCGCAGCAAGAGATCATAGTTCCTATGGATGCTTCCACCCAAAGAGTTCTCAATTGGCAAAACTGCTCGGTCAACAAGCCACCGCTCAACAGCCTAAAACGAGAACAAAAGTTGGAAAAGTTAAGCTTCTTGATGTGATATTCTTAACATCTCTTATGATTCAAGAAAATCCAAAATGCAGGAAGTAGATTCTCACCTCGAATGCAGTGTCAAACTCCTCGCAGGGAACAGGTTCACAATTTGGATATGCCTTCTCAGCTGCTGATTCACTGTACGCGCCTCGTACTCCCTACCTCCAAATTCATCAGTCAATACATCACACACATACACTGTTACCTATTCTCAGATATGATTCAAGTAGACACGTTTCTGTATATTACCTGATAGGCTACACGAACTCGGGAGCCGTTGGAGGCAGTTTCTGCGAGCTGGTTTGATGATAACGGCTCTGATATTTAAATGCAGATAGAGAAAATAAATCACAGTTATTACTAAATCGAGGCAAAAATTCAAGCAAAAGTCTATAGCTACTAAGATGCATATACGTTATGTCTACTGCAAAAGAATACATTCGCGAGCTATACTCGAGTCAGAATCACAGTTTAGCAACGATCTCAGTAGAAAATGAAAGGAAATGAAAATCGAGTTATTACTAGGAAGAAGAGGTGAGTCTTCGAGAATCTTCTTCACTTCCATAGCTCTCACATAGTTGTCTTTACCATGTTCATCGCCTTCCCGGAGTGACGCCGATACGGAAATGAAACGGCAGCGCTTCGAAGATCCGCAACCGAATCGGATGGCGGCGTTTGGATTGCGACTGGACGGTGAGAGATTCCCAGAGATTCCGCCGTGAAGCTGAGTTGCCGGCAATCGAACAGCGTGCACCGCCATTGATGTGAAAAACGAAAACACAGAGGAAGAAGAGAGAAGAAACAACGAAAACTGAAAGGCAAATCAGAACGCAACACTTTCGACGGCGTTTAAGGATGAGAAAGCGAATTTATATATGGAAGGTTACAATCATGGGCCACATTAATTATAAAATTGATCTTAATGGATCAGTGTGATTTTAATCTAACGGCCCACGATATTTGTGGATTTTATACATTTAATTTGATTTCAAAGTTTGGCAAAATTAAACTCAAGACATGTTTTTTACCCAAAAAAAAATTTATGACCTCATGAAATCATTTCCTACCTTTGGTTCTTTTATCAAAACCTTTTAATCAAATATCAAATCCTTATTTTGAATTTTTGAAGAAACCCCATAATCCTAGCATCAAAACAGATTTGAAGCACTTACATCGGGAGCACAGAAAGAAAAAAAGATTGCAATTTGCAACTAGAGAAAAGATAAAAAAGGAGAAAAAATTTATATGATAGACCAAAAAACAAGGAGTGTATATTTGACATCTTAGTAAAATCGATAATGTGAAGTAATTATGTCGCGTGGTGTAGAATAAGTCTCTTTATTTAGCTCACTCGAAATCTCCTTAGTTTCAGCATCATCTCTCCCTCTCACTCACAAAACACAAAACACACAACACACAAATATACTATTTGGAATAGGAAATAGAAAGGGAAATTAGGTATGAAAGATTACATTCCAAAATACTTGAACGCCTTTCTCTTGGCATGTGCCACTTTCGCTGTTGTCTTTGCCATTTTCATAGCAAAGGATTCAAAAACATCCTCTCATCTTTATTTATCAACATCATCTTCACTATGGACCTCTTCCTTCTCCTCCGCCTTTGTCACGGTACATATATCGATCTTCCTTCCCTTTCATCGATATAGGTTGTAATCAATGTTTTTCGAACGTCAAACTCTATGTTTACTTTTGGATTTTGAAGGAAAAAGGGAAGAGAAGCGGATCAAATCAAGGTTCGGTATCCTGGAAAAGAGATCGGAAAGTAGAAGCAGAATTAGCAACCGCGAGGGCTTTGATCAGAGAAGCTCAACTAAACCCTAATTCTTCAGTGTCATCTCCTCTAAGAGACGAAGACTATGTTCCTCATGGCGACATTTACCGAAACCCGTATGCCTTTCACCGGTAAAAAAATAGACTTATATGCGGTTACTTGTCACATAATTTATCCTATTCTGATATGTTTACCTGTTGCAGAAGTTATCTTCTTATGGAGAAAATGTTCAAGATATACGTATATGAAGAAGGAGATCCACCGATCTTTCACTATGGTCTATGTAAAGACATATACTCCATGGAAGGATTGTTCCTAAACTTTATGGAAAACGATGTTCTTAATTACCGAACCCGAGATCCCGACAAAGCTCATGTCTACTTCTTACCTTTTAGTGTTGTCATGATCCTTCACCATCTCTTCGACCCGGTTGCTCGAGACAAGGCCGTCTTGGAACGTGTCATCGTCGACTATATCCGAATTATTTCTAATAAATATCCGTATTGGAACACAAGCGATGGGTTTGATCACTTCATGTTGTCTTGCCATGACTGGGTAAGTTGTTCTTGTTTGATTTATTACTGTTTGGTTCTCTTTCGGTTAACTAACAGCCGATGTTTTTGGTCAAGATTGTTTGGTCACATTCAAAGTTGTTCCTGAGTGTAGTCTTGGGACCTAGCTATGCAATATTTACGAAAATATAGGGCCAAAATTACTAAAGAATCACTTTAATCAGCAAATGTTACGGACCAAACTAGAGTTTACGGATTTTAATTTGCAATCTAGACACGTTGTAAAAAGTTTAAATTCAGCTTTCCGTTTTATGATTTTTATATCTAGATCTTAGTTAAAGACATATTGGGTTTGATAATGCGTTATGGACATTTTTTGTGTTCTTTTATTAAATCAAAGTTACATTTGATTAATCTGCTTAGAGCCTCTAAAAACTTAAGCACGACTACGTACATTGTTACAGGGACACAGGGCAACGTGGTACGTAAAGAAGCTATTTTTCAATTCCATAAGAGTACTATGCAACGCCAATATATCAGAATATTTCAACCCGGAGAAGGACGCTCCCTTTCCTGAAATCAATTTGCTGACCGGAGAAATCAACAACTTAACCGGTGGGTTAGACCCAATCTCTCGTACGACGCTCGCTTTCTTCGCTGGCAAATCACATGGAAAAATCCGTCCGGTTCTTCTAAACCACTGGAAAGAAAAGGACAAAGACATTCTGGTTTACGAGAATTTACCGGACGAATTAGATTACAAAGAGATGATGAGGAGAAGCCGGTTCTGTATCTGCCCGAGCGGTCACGAGGTGGCTAGCCCGAGAATACCGGAGGCGATTTACAGCGAATGCGTACCGGTTCTTATCTCGGAAAACTATGTTTTACCTTTCAGTGATGTTCTGAATTGGGAGAAATTTTCGGTTTCGGTAACGGTTAAGGAAATACCGGAGCTGAAAAGGATACTGATGGAGATACCGGAGGAGCGGTACAGAAGACTATACGAAGGAGTGAAGAACGTAAAAAAGCATATAATGGTTAATGATCCTCCAAAGAGATACGATGTGTTTAATATGATTATACATTCTATTTGGCTAAGAAGACTAAATGTTAAACTGTTATGAACCAAACTTGAATACCTTGATAGATTTAGTTGATTACAGACGAAGGAAGAGAATATACAAAAGGAAAGTGCCAAAATAGATATCATGATGTTCTTCTCACACGCTCCTTGTGTGCTTTGTTTAACGTGGTGATTCCCTAAGGGAGATTGGCTAAAGAGTTTGCTAAAACTACAACAAAAGACGATCCTAGAAATTAGTAGTAGATCCTCCTTTGTCAATGTTTAGGCTTCTTCTGTCTAGTAACCTTTTCTGTCTTTTTCTTCACAATATGTGTCTTTATCTTCTCTTTGGCTTCCGCAGACCTATGCCAACACACACACACACAAAAACCACATGTTAAACAACAACAAACAAAAGAATGACTTTACAAATGTTTTCTGAAGGTGTACTGAGGGGAAGTACAAACTCACTTCTTTACCCTTGGGTTTAATTTGTTGAGAGCCTCATCGATTGCAAAGACTACCATCTTCTTTATCTGTTGAAACAAACACACAGGGAATACAACCATTATAGAGACGAGTTCGTTAAAATTGCTAAAACCAACCAGAAATTCGAAAATGAAGCAAGATATACCTGTAACTTGTCCTCTTTTGAATGATGGTTCGGCGGAAGAAGACGAAACTCATTTGTCAATCGGAAACACTCACCAACATTTTCAGGTGAGACGAAGTCAAGCGCCACCTTTGTGCAAGACTACAAGAAACAAAATGATCAATTTGATGATCCTTTTCCTGAGAGATTAAAATCCCGACTGTATATAGCAAAAAGTGTATAAACTTACCTTCAGATTCCTGACCTGATGAGGGCAGCCTACAGGTATAAGAACGGCATCTCCAAGCTTCTGAACAAAGGTCCACGGTTCGATTCCTACACAATATAGCCCACTAAGATATAACCCTTCAAAACTCTCAAGCATAATGTGGTTGGTTACTGATAGAATCCACCATACCATATTCTTCTTTCAGCTTCATTTTATGATATCGCGTCAGATAAAAAGACTGGTCATGTATTGGATGAACCACCTAAAAAGAAGAAGAAGATGGATGAACATGTGAGATAAGTAAAAACCCGCTAATGTCTTGTCTGAGCTACATATCATCTATGTAACCACAGAAACCTTTGGGCATGAGAGTATGCAAAGATAGTGTACCTGAGACACAGGGGAACAATATATATGTCTGAACTCTTTGTGATGTCTCTGAAGGTATTCTTCTAATTTTGGAACATCTTCTCGACGGAAAATGTCCCAAAGTGCTCCTCCATCGGCTTCAAGATTTTTGACTTCTTCCTCACTAGTATTTTCAAGAATCTCCATCTTTTCCTCGTAGTTAGGTACTGAGCAAAACAGCTCTTTGAGATCTTGTTCAGCATGTTTCTTTCTCAGTCTTTCTATTGTGGATTTCCTTTCTTCCTCTTCCTCTTTAATGGGCGGCACTTCACATATGTGCGTCAAAACATTAACCTGAAATTACGAATACGGCATTTGAAAAAGTTTGAGATAAAACAGAGCAAAACTACTCTAAAATATAATAATTCCACGAATCATGAAAGAATGAAAATAATATTTATAGAAAGAGAGTTTTGTTAACTCCGCTGATACATAAATTCAGAACGATAGAAAACCCCAGATAGCTAGATGATGCGTGTACATTTCAGTTTTTCTTTTTGCCGGGATTATAAGAGAAACATAATTGCGCGGAGATTATCTTGTGTTTCTATTACTTAATCTAATCTGTACAAATTGCATTAGTCCTAAATAAGAATGGAGACTAAACCGGAAAGGAAATAAGAGAAACAATACTAAGTTTCTACAAATGTACCAGAAAATTAAAGGAAACGTTGATTTTTACCCTCATGGGGACATGGAGCAAGGATACTGCAGAAAAACCCATCTTGACACTCAAAACTCTTTGACAAGTCAAATGAGCATTGGTGAGGATTCTCAAGTTAGAGCTAGCAGGCACATTGTGAAACAAACACGATTTCAATGTTGCTGTGTCCTAAAAAAAGACTAGCACAGTGTTGGATCTCTTCCAAAATTCATTTAGAGGATCATCCTCCAAAGGTCTAAGAAAAGACCCAACAGCAAAATTTAGCTTAGCAAAGTGCTCTAATCATCTAAGGAGAGCTGGGAATAACTCGGCTCAAAGCAGAAAAAGAGAATTTTCCACACACACAAAAGTCAGAGATAAAACAAAAAAAATCAAAAACAGAAAGAAAAAATCATTGTAATAGAAGTATTTGGTATGATTTCGTAATTGTGATAGGTTTTGAGATCATTATGGGTATACCAAGGAGACCCAACAGAAAACAAAGCATAACAAAGAAAAGAAAACGAGCACGAGAAAAGATAAATCAAATGAGTACTAACCGCATCAGACATGTCACAATGGAGCTTGGTGACAGAATCTCCACGGCCAGTTTCTCGCGGGAATCCATAAGCAACATAAGTCTTTGGCCCCATGTCTGGCTTCAAGCAATTTATAGGCAATTTGATTGCGACATTCAAAGGCCCACTACGCGGGTGAGTGTACAGTTTCAAAGGCAAACTGCATAAGAACTCCTCAGAGTGACGTGGCAAGTTCTCTTTGAAGGTCTTCGATGGAGGCCAATCTTTCAGTTTCAGAACGCGTGGCCAACCCATTGAATCAGAACGGCCCTCTGTGTAGCCGGTAAAGAATTCATGAAGATTAAACTCTTCCTGCATCCATAACAAGTCATTAGATACAGTAAAGGATAGTAGAATATTACTAATCCGAAGCAACATACTACAGTTAAAGCAACAAAGTGATTAGGGCTAAGAAGCATACTTATATTATTATGTAAGAAAATATATGGACCATAGACATATGCCATACAAATTTATGGTGGAGAAAACTGACCATACAGAAGTCCAGACAATCAATAGCATCAACGTTTAGAAGTGTCTCATGCTTGGTGCTTCTTACCTGACGGCAGGCCCGATGCATTACCATTGGTTCCCAGCTTAGACCAGCTGTAGACTCAAGCACATTCCTCACAACTACAGGCTCACCTTTTACCCAATGATGCTGAAAATGCTTCAGATCATCTTTTTCAATATCTGTAACACTTGGAAAATACAGATAATTGTCTTCTGAACCTTCTCGACATGCAGCCTTTAACGATTTATTGTTGTCCATGTCAATATGACCTTCAGAGTTAAAACAAGGGCATCGCTCCATAACTTTTTCAGGTAAATCCAAAAGCTTGCTGGCTTCAGCATTTTCTTCTACCTTTTTGACCAAATCAGATACATAGCCATCAGGAAGTATGCGTCTCAACTCTAAATCCCCAGCACCACAATAACAAGCTATGCTTCCAGCTTCATTTGCTTTCCACATAGATGGGTGCTTCACACAGTCTTCGCTATTCAGCTTCTCATCCGTCGTCTCAAGAACTTCTTCTTCACTGGGCGAGACAGGCCGTGTCCTCTCACTGGATTGAAGCGGGTGTTCGTCAGATTCGGTATATCCATGTAGATACCCCAAACCTCGGTCAATATAACTCCAAGACATCTTCTCCTGACATGGCTGAAGCTTTCCTTTGCGGATCTCGAGGCAACATGTAAGGCAGATATCATAATTACATCTGGAGCAATTTCTATGAAGATCAAAGATAGCAGTCTTGCAGTAATCGCTGTAATCCCAAAGGGTTGAAACAAGAAAGTTTATTACAAACAAAATAACATAAAAGCTATCATATTCACTGAAACAAAAGTGTCAGGGTGATATACCAGTATAGTCTTTCCTCAGGGTGACAGTTAGCGTCTTGGGGCTTAACCTCTTCAAACTTCAGCCCTGTGAAATAGAAAAATTCTAAGATATCATCTTATTCCTTGAGCTGATCAGCATCCAACCCCAGCTTAAATATAAATCCACGCACTTTGAGAATTTGTTTGAAATAAATGCAGGTTTGTCGATCAATATAAATGCCATTCAATCTCATATTGCAAGAAATCCAAGAATTTCTGGGGGGATATACATACTTAAAACGTAATAGCATGAGAATGCCAAAAATGTGAAGGGGCTACGAAAGCAATCAACTTTGCAGTCTAATTAAAAGCATTGAAAGTACCTGATATCTTTGCCTCAACTTCCTTCTCATAGATTTGTTCATCATTTATTTCCTTCAGATGTGGGAAAAGCCTTCGCAAAATATACTTAGAGCATTGAATTTGTTCATCCGTGCTAGCCATGAAGTCTGAATTTAACCCCTAACATAGTATTGGCAATCATTATGTAAGGCGGATACAAAAATTTAAGAAAAACAAGATCAAGAAAGATATGGTAGAAACGAGAAAACTTACTTCCATTTTAGTATCTAGACGCAAGCATGATCTGCAATTGCAATTATTCCAGCAGAATGGGCATTTCTTGGCAATGTCTTCTTCTGCTATGCGAGGATACCTATCGTAATCAAACAAGTTTCATTCAGGCTTCTGGTAAAAACAGTCCAGCACAAAACTACAATAAAGTAAGTGGATCACTAGATAACTATAGCCCGGTTGATCTATACTAAATAACTATTGTTCTGTTTGTAAATAGATGAAATTATATAGGCATCAACAGGAATTGATGATGCTCAAAATCTGAATCTTTGACTTGATTATGTCCAAGACAATACAAAGTTGTACAAGACTCTAAATCACCCAGCTTTTAAACACCCATAAAAGGAAATGAGTAGCAAGAAACCAAAAGTATGGGTAAGTGTAATGGTAAGAAGAGCATACCAAGTTTTTAAGCACCGGATGCAATAACGCTTCCTCTTGCAGTTCTGACACCGCACAACAGGCCCACTGTCGTTCCGGTGACATTGATGACACATATTGGAGTCGGAGTTTTCAGCATTATCCTAAATATACCCAAAATATATACCAAAATTACTATGTTAAACCACGACTGGTGAAGAAAGGAGAGAGCTTTTAGAGAGAAATATCATACCTCGTGGAGATTATCGTCTTCCTTGCTAATATCTACAGCTGATATCTTCGGCTTCTTACACAGCTTCACTGGAGCTTGAGAATCCACTCCATCTACCTTCTTCTCTTCGTCTTCTTTCAGTGCCCTTTTCCGAGACGCGTATACAATTTTGAACCTGGGCATTCTTTCATAAGCCTTAACTTGGTCAGCTCTCTTCTCCTTCTCTACACAAGCGCCTCCGTCAACCTTAACAGCAGCTTCTTCGCTGATTTCATCAATCTTCTTGTCCTGGGTAGACTTTTTCCGGTGCCTGCCTGTTTTACCCTTTGGCTTGTTTCCGGGAGATTCGTCATCGTCAGTCGGATAATCTGTGTAATCGGTACACTTGATAGAAGCTCTCCGTTCTCTACGCGGACGGTGTCGTCCGTTCCCTTCCTGAGCCCTAACAGCGTCCTCTGTGGAACTCATGTTGATTGATTCCTCAGAAATTTCTCACACTCCTCACCAAGATCCCTCCCAATCAGTAAGTAAAGCGTTGATAAGGAAAAAAATGAAATCGCGTCAACCCCTAGATACGATATTCAGCGCGGATTCGCATTACGTATTGGGAAACTTATTAATCGTTTCACCACAAAAAAAAAAACAAAATCAGCAAAAAAAAGTTTGGGTTAATTTGGTCAAATCAGCGGATTTCGCCACGCCAAAGTCTGGCTGGGGTTTTTATTTTCCCGCGCCTTTTTCAAAATTAAATTTTCTGGCTTTTCAGTTTTTTTTTTCTTCTTTCTCGATATGTAATTTGTGGATTTCCTCATAAACAACTTCATTTTGTTCTGGGGTCAACTCTTCTTCCTTTTAATTATGCTTGCCATGGTTTATTCTAAATTTTTTAATTCAAAGTGGATAAAGGAAATATAACTATTGTTGATAGGTCATAGTTACTGTCATAATGTGACAATACCCAACCCATCGATTGTAATCATACGTCAATCTCTCAATAGTTGAAAACGCTAAGAACATAAATTAAAAGCTTAAAGGGACTATAAAATCGAACATGACAACGAGCATACAAATTGCAAGTCAAGCATATAGTATTTGATTAATACGAATGTATGACAGATTAGCAGTCAAACAATCTTTAATTTTTGATTAAGTAGGAAGATAGAGGGAAACATGTACTACTCTAGAGGAGACCAAGACTTGGACACCATTCATCGATTGATTTGTCATGTACGCACAACTGGATGGTTACTAAAATAAACTTATCAATCATCATAATGCAGATATTGACTAAAAATATCATTACAACAGTATATTTCAAAAGAAAAACTATTACTTATGTATCGTTCATTATTCTAATTTGTTTGACCCAATTAAATAAAGGTTTTTTTCTAGTCTTTATTAATTAAAGAATGACAATAAACTTATACGAACCAGCAACTAGAACTAATTTTAAAACGCGTAAGGAACGAAATGAAAGTGAAATTCAAACTATCCGATTCCGTTGGTGCATGACAATGACTCATGGATCATTTTTTCTTTATTAAAAAAACAACCCCTTATTTATATTTCTTCAAATTTGTGACAAAAGAAGACCCTGAAATTTCAGAGCAAAATACCATAAAAACATCCGAAGCAAATTCTCTAAGAAGACCATTCCTAATCATCTACAAAACCGGTCTTGAAGAAGAAAGACGACAACATGAAGGTATGTATATGATTACCGAACAACATGTAAGTTTGATGTTATTGTGTTTCACTTGTGATGCTAAGGGGTTTTCTTGTTATGTGCAGCAAAAGATCCTGATAAGAGTTACTATGACCGATGATAAAACCCGAGCAAAAGCAATGAACACTGCGGCTGCGTTTAAAGGTAACAACGACACGAGACCTTGAGAATCCGATTCTCGTAATTCATGTTGAATCTAAAGACTCTATGCAATGGTTTACAGGCGTGTCTGGTGTGGAAATAAAGGGAGATCACAGGAACCAGATCGAGGTGACCGGTGTCGAAGTCGATATGATCTGTCTAACCAACACTCTGAGGAGAAAAGTAGCCTTCGCGGAGCTTGTAAGCGTAAACAAAGTTGAACCACCCAAGAAACCCGATGGAGACAAAAAGCCGGATGACAAGAAACCAGACGAGAAGAAACCCGAAGAGAAGAAACCGGAAGAGAAAAAACCTGAAGAGCAAAAACCAGAGCCATGTTGTCCACCATGGCCTTATGGTTATGGTGTGCCATCTTCGTATCCCCACCCGTGTGATCCCTACGGGTATAATAATAATGGCAGGGATTACATCGGAGAACCCGTCTACAACCAGGAGCCAAATTGCAGGATCATGTGAGAAGACTAACGGGAGAGATAAACAGTTTTTTTCTATACTAAGTGTGTCAACTATTGATAGTCAGATTTGTCAAATGAATAAAGCCTCATAGCTCCTAAACCACTGCAAATTCTATACTTGTACATGCTCTTGTAACATGAAAAGCTAAATCTTCTTATCCATGGTGTCGCATTACATAGTAACTTCCTTTCGAGAATCAATCATACCATTTCTTAGTCAGATGTTTCCCTTTGAAAAAGAGTTGCTAGATCCATATAATTCAGTACATTCTCCTACAAATCGAGACACCAATGGTTCCTCTTCCTACAAATTCGACTCACTTGCCTTAAACTTTCCAGTGCACTGCTGCAGCTAACGACCTCTGCCACTGCCAGGGCCACGACCACGACCACGCCCACGCCCACGGCCGCGTCCAACAGGCTTCCCTAAAGACGAAAGAAAGAAAGAAAGAATTAACGGATTGATAAAGCAGTCTTATGTAGGCTATACAGTTTACATCTTAATGAAACGAGTATCAATACCAGCAACAGGCTTCTTAGGTTTAACTCGAGGAGTGTCTTCCACAAGTAGAGTCTCCAGGTTCAAGCTATCAGGAAGAATGTAGTAGCGGATATTGTTTCCCCTCAAGCTCAGATGATCGAGTGTTACTGGGTTTTTCCCCTTCAGGCTCATTTTAACTGTCTTCAAGTGAGTATTCATGCTAACATCAACACCTGCCCAAAATCATCGACCTTAACTTCAACAAATACAGTATATACTTCTGGCGAGTCAATCTAATTGTGTGTGTTTTTCTCAGCCTACTATGATCACACACGGATGCGATTAGGCTAATGGATCAAACTGAAATTTATAGAACAGATCGCGAACAGCGACAACATTTGGAAACGAAGTAATCGAGAGAAGAAAGGTGAAACAGGAAGCTAAAGAGAACCTACCAGTGATGGTTCCATGGACCACAGTCCCATTCTTCAGCTCGATCGACACGGTCTCGTTGTTCAACTTCATCAAAAACCTACTCGATCCAGTAAAACCAAATCGAAACAAAGATAACACAAATCAGCTCAGGCGCTCGAGAATGTGAATGGATTTCATACCCGGAGCTAATGAAATTATATATTTAACAAGAAGTTTTAAAAATAAACGAACAGAAACTGAATTCAGTACCTGACGAGCTTCATCTTTGGGTGTGAAGAAGAACAAACAAGAAATGACGAGGAAACTGCAGAAGCTGTGAAACCCTCAAAACCCTTCTTCGGCAGTGACACCTCGAAATGGATACCTCTTAGCAGCGGGCACGGATCCGACTCCGATTTTGGATCCATCAGTTAAATCAAGATACACCACTGAAAACACATTTGGGCCGACAATAAATGTTAGCAGGCCCATCATTTTCTGGCCCAATCGGATATTCCAAGGCTTGACACTCGCAAAATCATGTTCCGGGTCTGACCAGAAGCTAAACAGTGGTTCTTCAACAAGGAGATCGCAATCTGCCTTTTATTTCCACTTGGTTTAGCTAACCGGGGAAAAATTGATAGAAGATGACCAAATTCCAATTTCACGCGAAATCTCAAATAGAAGACGCGAACCGCAAATTCCGGGAAATAGGCGTTTAACAAAAGCGCGCGATCGCTTGATAAAGACGCGCTAAAGGGTCCGCGCGTGGGGATTGGAATACTTGAAGAATCAGAGACGACTCTTTTCTACGCTCTATGCGTTAGAGTTGACGGATCTCCGCGGTAGAGATCGTTCTCAGGCGAAAACTGCGTAAACGGTAAACCCTAACTCGTCAATGGCAGGTCCGAGCTCGAAGCCGGAAAAGTACACTCCCCCTAATCAAAGGTAACTTCCCTTCTTCTCTCCAGCCTTCCTCTCATATTTCCTAATTTCGAGTGATCTTTACACTGCTGATTTCGCTACTTCATCTCCGATCTTTCGTTTCGTTGTTTCTTCATCGCATCGCAGGAAACCGTCTGGGAATCTCAAGAAGTCAGGAGGTATGTAGGCTCTCTCTCTCTCTCTCATAATCTTCTTTGCCCTGACTCGTTCTTGCTCGCTTCTTACTGGAGGAACGAATCAAATGGGTTCTTGATTCATTGAGTATCTAGTTCGGTGGGGTTATAGCCTAGATCAGAGAGGTTCTAGGAAGCGAAGTTGTTAGATTTTGCAGATTCGCTAGTCGATTGCATGCGATTGTGGATAGTTGTTAACCTTGAGAATCGTTCTAAGAAAGTGAAACATAGGGGTTAGCCTGAAATTCAGATCTCTGGCTCTCTCTTTGTCCCCTGGTTGATTCATTTCTCCTATGTGTGTATGTTTTCTTGAGAATAGAACGTCGCTTAAGATCTAGAAATGCAAGAAGCTATATCAGGTTTTTGCTTGTTATGTTTCTGTTTTTGGCTAAAGTAAAGAGAAAAATGCAGATCGGACGAGTAGCCAGCAGAAAAAGGATGGTGAGAGAAGTCAGCCTCTGGCTACTGAGAAAACTTCCCGAAGGATAATAACTCCAAAGGACTGCTCCAGGAGTGACGCTTATCAGCTTTTACGCGAACGTATGTATCTGAATCAACTACTTAAACTTTTATGTGGTATCATCTTTGCTCCGTGGTCAGTGTCTGATCGTTCTTGTTCTGCCAACTGTTGCTATGCTAGACATATGATGAGTCTGTTCTAGTTTATTGGTCAGACTCCTTGTAGAAATCTTTGAAACTTTATGAGATGAAGTGCTTTAATTGCTTATTCACTCTATTGATGTCTCTGTCTTATGTATGTACTCTTGACTTGTCAAATGAACAGGCTGGTCAGCTGCAATGAGCCTATACAACGACCCAAAGCTGGATTTATCTGGTGAGTTTAAGGGAATTCAAGTTTTCCTGATTCTCTTTGTGTTAAAACCCTCTCAGTCTTTTAGACTTCTTCTGCTTGAGTTTCTCGGAATATAATCAAATAACACTTATGTTACCAGTACCACCTTGATCTCTGCATTCCAGTTCATAAATTAGAACTGATATTCAAGTTCACGTGGTGTTTTATATTTCACAGAACGACCAATCATGTACTATGGAGGGAGTGTTTGGGGTAAACTACCTCACCAGGTTGGACCATCTTCAATCTCTTCCATATGCTTTTACTCTTTTAGGATGTGTACATGAATGAGAGACTACTGTCTGATACTTTGTGGTACGAAACAATTACAGATATTGGCTGCAGCGAACAACACATTGCCTCCACGGATATCGCCAAGTGATTACAGAAGTGAAGTGCGCCGAGGATTACTGGCTCCAAGATCATCTTCTAACAACTGAATGGTCCTCGTTCTGCTCATGTAGCCGATTTAGACTAGTGACATGGTGTTTTGGTGTGTGTTGAGATGGCACAACGATGATGTGTCAATATGACTACTGTTTGTGTAGGACCAAGAAGATTACGTTTGTCTCGGTCGGTCGTTTTCTGTTGTCCCTGAAAGTGTAAAAACCCAAACCAGGGATTTGAGTAACAATCACGTTACCATTATCACTTAGCGTACTTAATTTGTTTACAAAATAGTAATACATGTTTTACGAAGCTGTTAGTTAAGATGTTTAAAGTCTTTTCTACTTTGATGGATTTGCTAAAACGAACATCTAAAAGAAAGTAGATCTTAATATTTAGTGTACTTAGAATAAAATACAAATGAATACCGTTGGTCTGAAAAACCAGTAACAGAACTTTGAAAGATATTATTAGAAGTTGTCTTTTTTTCGGTCAAAATTATTAGTTTGTCTTGAAATGATCAAAATTGGTTTAGGTAATGGGTACATTTCTATAGTTTTTCCACATCTTAAGCAGCGAGGAAGAGAGATAACAAAACAAGCATCGCACGACACAATTAGTTACTCTTTTGTTAATGTAACAGAGTACTTTTAATCTACCAATTAAAAAACGAATTCTAACGACACAATTATTTATATTTTGTTGAATTCTCAACTGCTTCTTCACACACACATTTTTTTTTTCAAACTTCTTCACAAACTATCTCATAAACTAGATATATAATTCATTGTCGTCGTCATCATCATGATCCTCCATTACTTTCCCTCTCTCTCTTTCCTCTTTCAGATCCAGATACAGAGAAAGAAGGAAGATGAAGCTTTATTCCAGCTCCTTCATCTTCGGCTTAATCGTTTTCCAATTTCTATATCTCTCCACCATAGTTAATGCTCAGCAAGCTGCTAGAGACACCTGCAATTCAACTCTACCCATCAACGATCTCACCTTCAACTCCAGCCTCCTTCAATGCGTCGAAGCTTGGAGTGTCCAGAATTACATCCTCCGAGTAAGTCGAATTTTCCATTTTCCCAATTTCGAGAATTCTTTTCGATCCTCAGAAACTCAATTCGATTCTTTTGAAATCTCGCACAGTATGCCAGAACGTTGGACAACACGTGGAGCTTCATCTTATCGGCGCCGGATTCGAGCGCCTTCATCGGTATCGGATTCTCGACCAACGGTCAGATGACCGGAGCGAGCGCGATCGTCGGGTGGATACCTTCCGACGGCGGTAATGGACAGGTCAAACCGTACTTTCTCGGAGGGAAATCGCCCGGTGAGGTGATACCTGACCGAGGAGATCTGAAGATCGTCAACGGTTCGTTGAAAATCGAGTCAGTGTCGTCGCGTCTGTACATGAGTTTTCAATTGACGGCGGAGCTGCCGCGGCAGAGCATTCTTTACGCTATGGGGCCTGCCGGATTCTTTCCAACTTCGCCGGATTTTAGGTTGAGAGAGCACCGCTTCATGACCACGACGACCATCGATTATGTTACAGGTAAGCAATAGCCATCTTTCTTTTTAAAATTCAGCTTGTTTACTTTATTTTTTATATATCACACTAATTAATTAAGAGAGAAGCCAATTTTGAATTAATCCATTATTTGACTGGTTATTATCTCCATGAACTAGCCTTAACGACTATAAAACATGTTTTGTATCCGCATCTCACAACGTCCTATTTAGTTAATCAGTTTTTGTTATTTTTTTTTTTATTTTGTTATATAAACACATGTGTGACGTCAACACCAAAAAACACATTTGTGATGATGGGGTTAGGAACTGGTACAAGATTGTACCATTCTTATAAAACGATTAATGTTGGCGTCATTTTCACATCATACCGAACTTGTATTATTCTACATGATTTTGTCCAATTACTATTAGTTTCCAAAATATCTATTAGTACTAATTACCAAAACAATATGAGTACTTAATCCAAATCAGTCATTACTAAAATTCCAAATTACTACTATTTAATTATATTGGCTAGCAAACAACAATGTTGCTACTGTCACGATGAATATGATGAATATGATAGGCTCCATTTTGGAAAAATATATAATAAAAAATTATCCATTTTATGAGATTATAAGACTCTAGATGTTGTACCTTGGAGTTGTAATTAAGTTTAGTTGATTTTTTTACCAAATTCCAAACAACACGAAACGATTTACACAATTATTATCAAATGTGAACAAATCACATAGCCGTCCATAAACATAGTGTTGCGTGAAGCGAAAATATCAATCAACATCTAAATGTTATCATAAATTAATTTTATATTTTAATTTCTACCATTATTCCAATTAGTTTATTTTCTGGATTTTAAATTATGAAAGATTATTTTTGTACAAGGACTGTATTATTTTAAAGTATGTAATACTTTGAGTTGATATACACTATTTTAGAGTATGTAGTAGTTTGAGTCTATATATCAGTTACCAAAGAGATTGATTAAAAGGCCCTTAATATGTGATCCATCATGATCTTGATCCGTCATAAGCATAAGCATGATATGCTTGCATCCTAGTCTTTACATCTTCTAATCCGAAATTCTTCTTAGATCACTAACATCTGAAAAAGAAAATTTTAAAATAGTATAAGTTATAATTAAGTGTGAAAAAACTAGAGGAGTAATTAAAGTTGAAGTTGAGATTCGAAAAATACCGCTAACCTATCAGATTTTAATGAACTTACAAATGAAATATATATTTTAGAAATCCTTTGAAAACAATAGAACTATACTTCAAACCCATTCACATTTTTTTTGGTTTATACGATGAATTCGAAAATAAAATTGGAATAAATCTTTGTTAACAATCCACCTTTTTGTTTTGGAAAAAAAATATTTCCATTAATTCATACCATTCTCATTAGTCAGTTAAAAAGTCACTCATTCAAATTACTTTAAATGCAATGCTTTTATTGTATAGAAAAAAAACAACCTTTTCAAAAAAAAATATATATATACAGAAAAACATATACTATGGTGGAGGAGTAGGCTCAAAAAATTGAATATTGTTCTTCTGATTTCAAAGATTGATGTATGCTCTTTTCTTTCCATTGATTAAAAAAGGTTCGCAAAGTGTGGTTAAGGGTTCACCACATTCTAAGCTACGGAAGACACATGGGCTAATGAACATGTTTGGTTGGGGAATACTAATCATCATCGGCGCCATAGTGGCTCGACACATGAAGCAATGGGATCCCACTTGGTTCTATGCCCATATTGCTCTCCAAACCACTGGTTTTCTCCTTGGTTTAACTGGTATCATTTGCGGTTTGGTTCTCGAAAATCAGACAGACGCTAATAATGTTTCCAAGCACAAAGGCCTTGGGATAACAATACTGGTCATGGGCATCCTCCAGGTCCATCTTCTTGTCACACTGAAAAATTCAAGTACACATACTACTCAAAAGAATATCGGTTTATTCGGGTTTGTTTATTGGTGTTACAGGTCCTAGCGTTGCTGGCTCGACCGGACAAACAATCGAAATACAGAAAATATTGGAACTGGTATCATCACAACATAGGAAGAGTGATGATAATACTCGCTATTTCTAACATATTCTATGGTATTCATTTGGCTAAAGCTGGCTCTTCATGGAACGGCGGTTATGGTTTTGCGGTTGCTCTCTTGGCTTTGGCTGCTATTGGCTTAGAAGTTAGAAAGTTCTTGAACAAGTAATTTCTTGCTACGATATTTATCGTGGATAGGACAGTGTGATGTATTGAACCATTTTATTGACTGATCGCTTGGATGATATGTTCCTTCTCTTGCCATTTATACTTTCTATTTGGTATTCAAGAATTAATTTGTGGATATTATTTTTCATTATTAATATGATTTGTCACGATCCCACCAATCATGAACCCACACTGTTGACTTTTTTCTTTTGGCACCGTATAATAAACAAACTTGATTTTTTTGCATGTCTTCAAGATGATCTTGTTCTATTCTCGGATCATCTGCTAGCAACAGAAAGAAGAAGATACAGTATTAGTGATCGAACTAATTAAAAAACACAATATGAGAGACATTTAATTGATGATCATATATCAGTGGTTTGGTTTGATTTTGCGATTATAATGGGCTTCCGTGGCGGCCCATTTTAATTGTAAATAACAGCCCAAATAGTTGACGACTCGGTATCGCTCGCCGGTTTATTCAGCCGGGGTCGGAGAGAAATACGAAGACATAGCAGAATTAGGAGATGTTGAGAACTCGCCTTCTCTGGTTTACGCTTGGGTTTTCCGTCACCGGAGCTTCAGTTGCTCATCTCGTGTGGCGGGATCTCTATGCCGAACGTTTCGCTCTTTCTTCTGATGTAATTTTCTTCGCATTTTTGAAGATCATCCATTCGAAAAATTTTCCAAGCTCGATTTCTTAAATCCCAACGTTTCAATACTGCAGATGAAAGAGAAATTCAGTGCTCTGGAAGGTAGGGTTTCGGGTCTGGAGTCCGGTGGTTATGAGACCCCGAGTCCAGCTCAGGTAATCTTTCTCTCTATCTCTCTCTCCAAATCATAACATCGTTAGTGGAATGATCTGGTAATTTTGTGGATCAATCAAAGTATTCTTGTGTTTCAAATTTCATAGAAAGCTATTGGTTAGGTGGGTCACTTCTCATTGTTCATTGTATGCCTCCAAAATTGTTTAATCATTGAGAATTCAACGCTTTCAGTTATCATAAGTTTATGGTACTTCCTTTGATGTTAGAAAGATAGTTTCAGTCATTGAGATTCCACCACCGCCTAAAAGCCACAAAATGTTGTCCATTTACTTGAGTTTTAAAGTTCTGAAACATAATCTATTCTCGTGTACGCCATTAGTCTCAAGTCTCAGTCTATAGAGAAACCTCTTGTCCATCTTTGTGAAAGAAAACCAGAATTACAGTATTGAGTGTTTGATAGGCCAAGGCACTGTTGTATATGTTGTTTAGCGATGGGTCACTTTTATAAGGGTGTGTTGGCAGATTGTTTAGACTGTGGAATCGCTAGCGTGTGGTTGGACAATTGTTTGAGTCTCTCATTAAGCAAGTCTACTCTGGTTTGTTGCATCTGAGTAGCAAAACAAAACCTGTTTTCACAGCTTATGTTTTTATCAATGTCTCAGTTTATGTTGCTTATTATTCAGAGGTTACATGTAGTTGCATTAGTAGTAGCTGGTAGTGTAACGGACCATTCGCGCTTTCCTTCAACCACAATGCATCTATTCCACTCTATTCATGAAAGAGAGCAAATCACAATGGTCATATATTCACTTGTATTTGTGTCTTCTGGTAGGTTGAGAGTTAGGCTCTTGGAAGCTTCCCAAGCCCAAATCAATGGCTTGGTCTACCAGAGAGTTGCGATCTTGATTTGGAACTTCAAAGATGCTTTGTAAATCTTTGAACTATATACATTTTTCAAAAAAGACTTGCATTTGTGTTACAAAACATTCAGCTTTTATTATTACAAGAAATAATGAGTACATTCGTTTCATTCTAAATAGGGGTTGTATGACACAATTGCACTACGTGGATCTTATTATTACACAATATGATGTGCTAACAACTCATCAACACTACTTGTAGGACAGCTCTGGTACATCTCAAACCTTTCAGCTTGAAACCAAATTTTATACAGAGACTTTTAACCATACCAATTGAAATATATTCACATCCCTAAGACGACGATACAACCCTACTCGTGTATCAATTAACCATTTGCTAAAAAAAACATTCAGAGGCAAAAGAGACTAGTAACTCTAAGAGTCAGGAGAAAACCCGCATTACGAGTGGAACTCTCTCCACATCCCGCCATTTTATTCCTTTCTTCATTGGTCCAGGCGGATCAGAGAGAGTTTGTGGTCAGAACCAACCCATTACCATCCATCAGCTCTATACGGTCCATCACGACTTCATTTGATGGGGCGGGCGAGGGAGGATCGAATTCGCCAGCTCTTCGTTCACCTTCACCGGAAGTGGTGGCATCTGCTTCATCACCTCTGGCATGTCATTCAAGCTGCAACCCAATTGGTTCAATCCACAGAGCAACCAAATATCTGACTTAAATACATTACAGTACCTCCAAAAAGACTATTGAACATTAAAAACAATCTTAGATGTATGGGTAAATGTATTACTCGTTCAAGATTGCGAGGATATTGTCCCGAGCTTTGCACAAGATATTGACGTTCTCATGTATCTGCAACGGGAAGAAAGAATCTCTCAGAAGGATATAACTAGCGCAAACTTAGGCGGGACACAGTCCAAATATTTATCCATCACAAAACCTAATGATTACTCAAAAGCCAACAATACAAGGCATACAAAAACTCTGCAAGCTGAAAAATGGAAGTTGCATTCACCTGGAAAGCTGAGAAATTTGTTGAAACTTGATTGAACATCTGCGCATTTTGTTCGAGAAGATCTCCACTCACACCACCAATAGCTGCAAAGAAGCAAAGATACTTATGTTCCTTGAAGGTTTAGCATCAGAAGAAAGAAAAGAAAAAAAACAAGATTTTTGGACAAACCTTTATATGAAATGCCATCATCCGTATCTATAGGCATCATAGGAGGAGCATATGAAGGACCATTCGGATGCACATTCAAATGAGATGAGGACTTGGCTGAAGAATCCGTAGTTTTTTCCTGCCAAACAGATATGCGAAAGAGATTGATTTGCTGACGTAGCTTTACTAGTGTATCAAAACTGCATATAGGAGATGAATTCCACATACTTTCTTATCTTTGCTTTTCCTTGACGAATGGTCTTCTTTCCTACGCTTTCCGTTTTCCTTTTTCTGTAACCCACCAGCAATGACATGGAGGTTAAAAAAACCGTCGGTGTACTCTTACTAATAAATAAAGCCAATGCAAAACAGAGAAAAAATCGCCGATTAGCAAAACTGAGAAACTTACAGTCATCCATCTACAACGCAGCGCAACATCTCTGACAGTTTTATCCTTCATTTTCATCGCAATCTTGGCATAGCGAACAATTGTAGGTTCTGACGCATACCTGCATAAAACATCAACTGTTAAAAGGCTCACACAAAACTTGCAACCATTCAGAACCGATACTTAGATCACTCATCTTCCACTCTAATCCTTAGAAATAATATCATTGCTCCCATAAAAACAAAAAAATATATTATATAACACCAGCTACAGCTAGTCATCCTCATCATTTTTATAGCTTTTAAATTTGGTCTGAAACCACATACAACACTTTGCTTCTTCAAGGTATAATTCAAAAAACCCGTGGAAGCTAACAATTGTCACACAATGAAGTCAACATCAGCACATTCGAAAAACCATGTTCAGAGAACCAGACACAGGATGCTTGAAATCCCAAGGAAATGAAGATGTTTTTCAAAAAAAAATTACTGCTTCATGTCAGAACAGCAGCAAAAATTTCCAAAAGTTAAGAAAGGACTTTGGATGAAACAGCGAATTTCAAATCTAAAACGAAGAGGTGGAGAGAGAGAGAGCAAGAAGATACTTGGCGAGCAAATCTTCCAATAACGATTGCTCCTCATGAGTCCAATCGACAGAGATCCCCGGATTATGCCTCAACGCGCTAATCGTCTGAGAATTATCGGCCGCGGCGGCGGAGCCGCCTGTATTACCACCATTATCGACCGAATTTACAGCAGCACCATTCGTAGCTGCTGCCGATGAAGACGATACCTTCTGCGCCGCCGACGAACCTTCCTGATTGTTCCCGGACGGATTCGCGCTCGCCGCCATCAATACCAAGTCTCTCTATAGAAAATTCGCCTCTTTTTCTCACAGATTTACAGCGATTTTCACCGAACAGAGTCGATTTCGGACAATTCCGGGATTCGGATATGACTGCGCCGGGATAGGAACAGAGAGGGATGGAGAGAAATCCGGCCGCCGACTGAGCTTCCCTCGAAATATGGAATCTTGTTTATAAAAAATCATTTTGTTTTTTCTTTTCATCTTTATCCTTTTTCGGTTTTTCTTTTCTATTTTGAGATCTTGATTACGCTGATTTTAGTTTAAAGAGGCATTTGTGGCAAAGATTGTAACTATAGGGGCTGAAATATAATAACCTAAAAGAAGAAAGCAATCCGTTTTGTTTCTTCCTCTCTTTTCGAGGTCCCTCCTCCTTTGTCCTCTTTCTCTGTCTCTCTCTCTCTCTCTCTCTCTCCGCGCTTGAGGTAGGCGTCGGAGATTACACAAGAGCCTTCGAATCGTCTCGGCTATGGCGACGTCGCAGCCAGGTTAGATAATCCCAAATCTTTAGGCTTTCTAATATTTTGCGGATTCAGATTCTCGGGTCTCGATTATATGAATTATCCCTTCTGCAATTCTGGTCGGTTATGAAACGCCTCAATTTACCCGCTTTGAAATCGTGAAATTTATTAAATTCGTCCTGTACTTGGATTAATTGGGTTGGTAATCAAAGATGAGAATCAGGTTTTCTCTCTTTTATTTACTGGATTTCGTCTATCCACACTTCAAGGGAGCAACTTCAATTCGATTTCGTAATCTATACCTTAAATCATTGTTTTGTGGCAAACGCATCAGATCGTTTTAGCTATCATATATAGAGTTGAAATTATGAATGCTCTTTGGATTTGTCTGATTGAAGATGGGTGCTAAGTTTGACTCTGGATTTAATTAGATACTTTGGTTTTTTTTCGGATTGCAATTCGATGCCTTTTCCTATTTCATGATCGTAGCCGATATTTTATGCAACTTTTCACTGATATCATTAATACTGTTTCTTATCTTCACAAGTTTTTTTCTTGCTTCCTCAAGCCTCTCGAATGGGTTTTCCTGCGATGATTGGAGTTCAGTCTTTCTTTTATCTATAGTGTTACGCAACATGTAGTAACTTGAGTTTGTTGATGCTGTAGGTGGAAGTCCTCCTAAACCCTGGGAACAAGAAGGAAACACATCTGGTCCTAAGCCTTTCAGGCCTCCTTCAAATACGAGCACGGCTGATTCAGTTGAGGCTTCAGGCACAGCAAATCCCGGTGAACTAGTTTCGTCCGTGAATAGAACTAATACAGCTGCTAATATGAATGCATTGAGTAGGCCTGTACCGACTAGACCTTGGGAGCAGCAGAACTATGGGAGCACTTACGGAGGTATATTTAGATGTTCTATTGATAATATTTGGATATTGTTTTTGGTTTTTGAGAGGACAAAGAGTTTACTATATTGAAATTGTATATAATGCAGGTTATGGTTCAAATCTAGGTGTGAACTCTGGGTATGGGTCGGGTACATATGGTTCAGCATTAGGTGGGTATGGTTCGTCATATGGGGGTGGAATGTATGGTGGTAGTAGCATGTATAACAGAGGAGGTTATGGTGGTGCTGGTGGTCTCTATGGAGGTTCAGGCATGTATGGTGGTGGTGGGATGTATGGTGGTGGCACGATGGGTGGTTATGGTATGGGTATGGGGACGGGAATGGGGATGGGAATGGGAATGGGAATGAGTCCTTATGGTGGTCAAGATCCAAACGACCCTTTTAACCAACCTCCATCTCCACCAGGGTTCTGGATATCATTTCTCCGCGTGGTATGGTTCATCCCTTCGTGCTTGTTTTGTTTGGAAAATCAAAGAAGATGATAAGCTTAAAGAGTTCTGTATAACATAAGAGTGTTCATGCTTTGCTTGATGACAGATGCAAGGTGCTGTGAATTTCTTTGGCCGTGTAGCGATGCTCATTGACCAAAACACCCAGGCCTTTCATATGTTCATGTCTGCCCTTCTTCAGGTTTCTTCCGTTTTTTTTTTTTTTGCTGCTACCAACTTGTTCCTCAAATGGTTTCATTGTTCTCGCGGTAACCATTCGAACCATTTTGTCTGCAGCTATTTGATCGTGGTGGTATGTTATATGGAGAATTAGCAAGATTTGTACTGCGGTTGCTTGGGGTCAGGACAAAGCCTAGAAAGATGCAGCAGCAGCCACAAGGGCCTAATGGACTCCCTTTACCCCACCAGCCACATGGAAACCAGAACTACATCGAGGGGCCTAAAGCCGCTGCACCAGGTGGTGGCGGTGGTTGGGACAATGTATGGGGCAACTAAGTTACTTCTCTCTCATTTCCCAAATCTCTCTACATTGCTCTCTATGCGCCATGATAATCAGTTGGTTACAAATACAAGACAAGTCATGCAGCGGCCTCCAACGCAATTTGGGATATACGAAAGCCACATGTTTGGTTATAAATCGAGTCTCTTCTTCTCTTCTCGCTATCCCTCTATCTCTCTCTCTCTCTCAGATTTCTGGTTGTGTGATAAACAAGTTGCAGGTAGATGTTGAACTCAATAAAATGGAAAGTGAAGCTTAAATGTTTAATTAAAGACCTTCTATGGTGATATATTCATATAATATTCGATTCTATGCTTCTTTTTCTGGATCTGAAGAGTGTTGACTAGTGAAAGATTTTGATACTTTATTACAACATTGAAGACTTGTAGAATACAATTCTTCTTGCAGTTTGCCTTTGGACAGACCAACACACTGGTCCAAACTTGGCAGAATTAAATACAGTTGGGTACATAGTACATACAGATGCTTCTTCATCCTCATGCAAACAGTCTCCAGTCTGGTCCTATAACCATCACTTCTTCTGCGTTGAGTATGATATCGGCTCTGTGTAATTTGAACATCTCAATAGCTGTTGGGGTCAACCTCGCATTCCCGTTCATGTAGAGAATCTGGAGGTTCCTGCAACCGCATCGCAGAGCAAGCAGCCCTTGGTCACATAAGTTCCTACAACGGTTCACATGGAGTCTCTGCAAGCTACGGCACCACTTTCCTACAGCTTCCCATCCCGAAACCTTGACTTCATGACACAAAGCCAAGTTCCACTCTTGGAGCAACGGGCAACCTCTTGCTATAGCTTTGATGGATTCATCGCCAACAGTTCTGCACATCCTCAAGTTCAAGATTCTAAGTTTTGATGCAATCCCAGATCCAAGAGGTACCAACCCATCTGTGCGGATGTAGCAGCTCGCACCTGAAATGTTTAGAAACTCAATCCCTCCTCCGCTAATGATCCCCGCTATACCCTTGGGCTCAAGCTGACAAGACTCGGCATCCACATAGCTTAGAGTTGGGGAACAGCCATTAAAGCCAACACCGGTTATGCTCTTGCAGTTTGAGATCTTCACTGACATAAGCTGCAAGCATGCTTGCGACAATGCTTTTACCCCAAAATCAGACACCAGAGGACAATGCGAGAGATTCACGCATTTTAAAGGCAAGCAAGCTCTGGCCAATGCTTCTAACCCAATGTCACTGATGTTGCATCGGTAGAGGCTAACCACTTTTAGATTAGGACAAAAGCTGGCAACTGTGGAGATGCCATTATCAGAAACCCCAAAGCAACAGTCTAAGTAAAGACTCTGCAGTTTTTCTCCGGGATACCTGAGAGAAGCCAGGCTGGAATCACTCAGAAACGTGCCACCAGAAAGGGAAAGATGCTCCAACCACTGAAACCGAGTGAGAAGCCTATGGAGATGATGGGAAGTCACATCAGGGTTTGTCTGAGACAGGCTTGAAGGGTTCAGGACAGAGAATGAACACTGGAACTGTAGAGATCGACGGCTTATGTTTTGGATGTTGAGCCAGCGATGACAAGTCAAACCGAATGAATCACGGTCAGCAACATTATCAAGTCGTTGGAAGATAAAGGAAAGACAATCATCTGGAAGGTGGATAATGGAGCTCTCAACATCTTCGGACTCGGACACGACCTCCATCTCTCACTTCAATTCCTGTATAAATGGACAACAAAAAGATAAACTCAAATCCTAAACGACGATTTGATCTGAAATCAGGTCAGATAAGCAATCTGGAGAATTTTTGACTTCAATTTAAACCTGATGATAGCCTTCACTTGTCCGGAGGTGAAGATTCAAAATGGACCTACTCAGATTACAAGAAATCAAGAATTAAGCATCACCAGAAAACACCAAACAAAAACAGAGTATACATTGCGAGCGTAGATTCCAACCAATCTCCATGGAGAACCGACTAAAAAAAAAGCGAAACTTTTGAGACTCGATTTGATTGAATTGAACAGAAACAGAGACGTCACGGAAAAGATTATGCTAACCAAGGAGAAACATATACAAAACTTTAAAGTCTGTAGACGAGAGCGATCGTAAAGTAAACGATAATCGTTCAATCACTGATCCAAATGCCAAAACAGAGCTGAACCAGAACTTTTTTTGCCAATTTTTTTAATAATTAAAACAGTTTCCTCTATCATTGTGTCAGTGTCACCGTACCGTAAGCTTAGCAATCCCTTGCGTAAGACGAAGTATCTTACCCTAAAACGTATCGTGGCCGTTGATTTTAATATCCATCACAATGGGACACTAAGGTTTTCAGTATTTTAAGATTTCGTTTTCTCCCCTTTCCTTCCCTCCCTTCTCGCCAAGACCTGTCTCGTAGCTCGACGACCTCACTGATCCTCCAGCCATGGTGATGATTCATTCTCTCTTTCTCTTCGATTTCTTTCTCATTTATTGATTTTGTCGATTGATTAAACATATTCGATCATGTATTAGCTGATCTGGAATTAAAATCGAACTGTTTTAGGTGGCCTTCTATTGTCTGTACTAGATTCGTTGTTCGTAGCTCAATCTGTTTCCAGTGATTCAATTAGAATCTACGATTTCATGTCGAACATTTATATAAGGTTTTCAACAGTGCGGAGTAGTGTTGTTTGTGTTGAATTGTCTCTCATTTTGGTTTAATTTTGTTTGTAAGGTGCATGTGGTAGCCCAGAAGAAACAGTCTTACTTCAAGAGGTATCAAGTGAAGTTCAGGAGAAGGCGTGGTAATGTTATCATCTTCGTCGGGTTCTCTTAATACCTTTGCATTTTCTTTTATAACAGTTTTACTTGTGATTTCTTAGAGGGCAAGACTGATTATCGTGCAAGGATTCGTCTCATCAATCAGGACAAGAACAAGTATAACACACCTAAGTATCGTTACGTTGTGAGATTTGTAAGTATCTAATTCTGTTATTTTTTTCCTTCTCATTTGTTGGTGTTGCCGTTTGCTATTTTGGTTTCAATTTGATCTCGTTGCTCTTTTTTGCCAATGATAGACAAACATAATCGCACAAGTTGTCTCTGCTACAATTGCTGGTGACACTGTTCTTGCATCTGCTTATGCTCATGAGCTCCCTAGATATGGCCTTCAGGTGGGGCTTACCAATTATGCTGCAGGTATATGATCAAACACACTATTTCAAGTGCTTATGCTATATTGCTCTTTGTTTTTATCTCCCTTGAATGATTATGAATCTCGCTATTTCTTATCCCAGCTTATTGCACTGGTCTCCTTTTGGCTCGCCGTGTCCTAAAGATGCTCGAGATGGATGCCGAGTACGAGGGCAATGTTGAGGTGTGGCTCCTCGGTTTTATATATATATATGGCCACTGCTGTATTATCTCTCACTCAATTCTGATGGGATCAAGTTGATCAATTCAATAATGCAATTAAGTTCTCTGCTTATAGGCTTCAGGAGAAGACTATTCTGTTGAACCTACTGACACAAGGAGGCCGTTCCGTGCCCTCCTCGATGTTGGACTTGTGATGACAACAACCGGGAACCGTGTGTTTGGTGCGCTTAAGGTACTTGTCTTTTTTTATATATTGTTGGTACCTTTTTTGGTTGAGACCACTTTGTCGAATAACCGTAGATTAACTAACTCTACTGTTTGTTTTGTTAGGGTGCTTTAGATGGTGGGCTTGACATTTCCACACAGTGACAAGCGGTTTGCTGGGTTCAACAAAGAAGGCAAGCAACTTGACGCCGAAGTTCACAGGAAATACATTTACGGTGGCCATGTTGTCGATTACATGAGGGTAAATCATTATACAAAGACATGATAAAATCTCTTGGAAGAGGAACTATTTTCTGACCAGAAACTCTTGCAGCTATTGATGGAGGATGAGGCAGAGAAGTATCAGACTCATTTTAGTGACTACCTCAAGAAGGGTCTTGAGCCAGACAACATGGAAGAGATGTACAAGAATGTACATGCAGCAATCAGGGCTGATCCCCTGATGAAGAAACCAGAGAAAGAGGCTCCAAAGGAGCACAAGAGGTAAGTAAAATTAGGAAGGAACTCGCAGGCTCAAACAAGCAAAAGGCTTTATTGTCTTTTTATTGAAACTCATTGTTTTTGGTGTGTTTTTGATAATGGGCAGGTATAATCCTAAGAAACTGACTTATGAGGAGAGGAAGGCTAGTCTGATCGAGCGTGTAAAGGCCTTGAACTCAGCTGGTGTTGTGGCTGATGACGATGATGATGATGACGACCAAGAGTAAAACTGGCTTTTTGTCCTATTTTAAGTTTTGGTGTAGACTGAAGTTTTACATAATTTTTTTTCAATCAGAAATTTTCACACATTAGCAGTTTAGCACCACGATTTCTGAGTGAGCATCAATTGGAAAGGCATAGACTTGTGTTTTTTCACTAAATAAATTTGGCCCATTTTGTATTTTCAGTTTGTGGCCCATTAAAAGTCAGGGCCGGCTCTGTACTAGTACAGTCACAGAAGTGCTGGGCCCCCAGTTAAAAAGTACGTTTAGAGAAAATGGTCAATGATTAGACGTATTCGGCTGTGAAGACAGCTGGTATATATACAAATACAAGGATGAAATTTGACCCTACTGGATTTGATGGATTTGAAGTATATCATGATATGACCTATGAGATGAGTTGCTTTTGTCTGGATTTAAAATTACGTCAGATTATTTGTCTTCTTAACTACGTACCTGTAGCTTCGGAGATCGCACTAAAATTTATTATGTTATCTGGATATTATTCATGTCTATTTTAACTTGCAATCTTTTTAACGCGCATTAAAAATAAACCACTTATAATCAGTAAAACTCCATAAGAAAAGTGAGATTTGTGTTAAAGACAAGGGTGGTAGTTTTGCTCCTTTAGACACTCCCAGAAAAGAAAACAGACAACTAGTGAGTGTATTGGATATTGTGAAGTACTGGACTTTTGCATATTAATGTCTCCCCACCAGTGTAGCGCAAGTCTTCGGCTTGAGAGTTTGTATTCACATAGTTGATCCTCTAATCATAACTCAAAAAAAAAATCTACAATGCCATAAATAACTAAGAGAGATTAATATAATACCATATAAAGTTTAGAAATAGAATATACATCCGGTGCAACAATATTAGTAAACACATAAAAAATTTCAAAATGCCGTAAGTGATAAAGAAATATTTATTTTACAAAACATAAAGAAGGAATATACAAAAATCATAAACAAATAGAGATTATCTTGTTTATCTTGATAAAAGAAAGGCTTTCCTCAAGCATGAAACGGAGTTAAGCGGTAGACATTCCTTTCCATTACAATGGGAAAGCGCCAATCCTGGGCCAATCCTTTATACCATGGAATCATTGGTTCCAAATTTTCATCCTTCAGTAAGTGTTCCAAGTTAGATATAACATCTGTTGTTTTATAATTGGGAACATGTGTACTTCACTCTGTTCCTATTCCACATCCATTCACAAGATGTTCAGAAACTGAAACACTGGTCAACAACTTCAAACAATGGTAAGCTATTGGAACCTACAAAATTCTGAGCCATCCTGACGATCATAACATCTAAACACTATGCATATGGTTATAAACTAAATATCTTGATAAAGTTCAGAGACATCACATAGTAATATAATATATTTAATATTAACATATTTATTTGTCTCAATTTCGTTAATATGTCATCATATATATTCAAATTTATCATAGTTTTTTTAAAAAATTAACCAACTCAAAGTCACAGTTATAATTTCAACAATTTTGTTAACAATCATATCTAAGGTGAATTAACCAATTCAAAGTAACACATATTCATTGTTAATTTGCACAACGTTTGTAACTTTTTTAAGATGAATTAATTCAAACATTTTCGTCTATTAACTAATATAATAATACAAACACTATTTTTCTTTCCCAAAAAATGGCTAAACAATAAGATATCTTGAATTAACAGAGATAACAGCTTTCAATTCCTTAATATAATTTATGTGTTAATACCAAAAATTATAAATGATGTTAGTCTTTGAAACATGGTTGTATTATCTCTAAGTGTTTTTATCTACTTTGTAACTAAGAGAGTTTGATATATAATACCATATAAACTTTAGAAATAGAATATACATTTGGTGCAGTATATCATGAAACACATAAAGAATTTCGAATTTGAGAGATTTTCATTTTTTTTCAAACCAAAAAAGTGTATTGTTGCTAACTTTAACATTTTTCTTTAAAAAAAAACTTTTAAATGACTCCTCAAAAATCGATATTTTTCAGAAAAAAACTTTTCAATGAAAACATCTGATAAAATGAGAATGACAACTGTTTCGTTAAAAGTTAAAAACACAATCATTAAACAAATCTCCTATAACTGTATCCTTTTGATAAAGGAAAAAAAATAGTTTTGCAAAGATTTGGGATGACCAGTAAATCAATTGCGGTAAAATTCGGTCTGTTTGGAATTTGGATATATACACCTGGTAAATCTATCAAATACTTCAAAAAAACGTGGTACTTACGTTAAATGACCACATGGTGTGTTGTAACAATCTTAATATGGCCAACCAAAGTCTTCTCCATTTCTAGTCGTTTTCTCTGCAACCAAGCTGTTACATAATGAATTCACTATTCTCATTACCATTCGCAATAGCCTTTATTTGGTGCTCTTGCATCCACTAAAGCTTTTATTGATTAAGTTTGTTAGTTATATCATTTATCCAAAGCATTTATCAATGAAAGCTAGATTAAAATTTTAAAAGGAAAAAAAAGAAGCAAAAGCTTAAGTGATAAATATCTAGAAAGTGTTTTTAAATTAATAAACTAATTATTTTCTTATAAAAACTCAGGGAAATTAGTTAGATAAGACAAATTATGCTGTATTTCGTGTTCTACTTTAGTTTACTTTATTTTCCCCTTCATACTTTTTTGTCCTGCTATAACTATTAATTATTTTAAATTCGATTACGTAGGAGTAATAACTAATAACAATGTTTAGCAAAAAAAATATAGAAATGTTTTCTAGTTGTTTTCCTCGTTGATAAAGGTGTGTTATCGCCTATATTCGCCTTTAATAATTTTTTTGCGTAGAAAGAGAAGATGGTGTTTTTTTTTGTATAGTAGTGATAGTAAAGTGGGCATTAAAAGTCAAAAAGATTCTTTTGAAAGAGAGGACCCAGAATTGTTTCACGTAATTATTGCATTTCATATACGTTCTTCCCTCCCTATGGTTTCGCCGCTATACATAGATCTTATTTTTAATTCAACTTAGTATATAATAAGATTCCCTTTTTTCTTTAGTTTTTAGAATTTACTGTTCTTTAGAAAATTTGGAAACTGTAGACGAAGAAAGAGTTCACTTCACCAGTAGTACTAGTAGTAGCTAGCAACAGTGCCATTAACTCATCATCCTCAGATAGTGCGCATTGCAGAACACACAAATTCTCCAAGAAAACCCCAAAGATGGATGGATTATGCCACGTCATCATCATCTTCCTGCTATCATGCGCTTCCTCTCCCTTATCATTCGCTTCGCCGGCCAGTTTCAGTCGCCGTCACCTCTCACAAGCTCCTCTAACCGATCCTTCCACATCTACCCCCGGCGGCTCTCCCTTCTTCCCACCTTACAGCTCCTCCTCCTCCTCCACTCCTCCGCCTCCGGTGCCTTTGCCGCCTCCCGCCCCCACTTATGCCACTTTCCCGGCGAACATCTCCGCCCTCGTCCTCCCTCGCTCTCCTAAAGCGCATACTACTTCCCGAACACTACTTATCCCTGTTATCTCCGCCGTGCTCGCCGTCGCAATAGCAATCGGCCTGGCCTTATTTCTGTACGGACGTTGGCAAGGACAAGTTCGTCATTTCAAAGACGAATCCAAGAGCGTAGCTTCAGACATTAGCACATCCGAGCAAACTCCATGTCCCCTTCCAAGAAACACCACTGAAAATAAACTCTCTGTGGCTGCTTCTACCTTCGATGTTCTCTATCTCGGAAACGTCGTCACTTCCCAGTCGGATTTCGTCAAACCGGAGTCACCGGAGATCAGCCCTCTCCCGCCATTACCTGCTCGTAGCTTCCTGGAACATAACACTGAAGCTAATCCTCTCACCAGTGAAGAAGAGGGAGAAGAAGACGACGACTTCTACTCTCCTCTCGCGTCTCTAGCTGGTCAAGAAACCGGAAGACCGAGAAACAACCCGTACAGTAATTGCTCTTGCTCTCCTTCCTCAGCCTCGGACTCTCCGGCAATGTCACCGTCCGTTATGATTTCTCCGCCGATTAGCTCAACGGCTCCACATTGGTCAGCTCAAAATCCCCAGTCTCCGTCGCCGGAGAGACGGGTCAGGATCAATAAGAGATATGGGCCTTCTCTGAGAATGTTTAGCCTCTGGAATCAGAACCTAGGGTTTCCGAGAATCTCTTCTGCTTCTACTTCACCGGAGAGAGGGATGATCAGGACCCCCGACGCATACGCTCGTTCTTCTATGTACTCTTCGGTTTCCACAACGCCGGATCGATTTTTCCGTAAGGTTCTGGAAAGTTCGCCGCCGAGATGGAATGACTTCAGTCGAAATGTCAAGTCTTTGTTCCTTTCCTCCACCTCTGCGTCGCCCGCTAGAGATTTTTGTATCAACATCTCTGAATCTTCTAGAAATTTGAATTCTTCTTGGGAAATTCCAGAGTTTACCACAAGTGAGCAGAGCGCTGCTCCTCCTCCTCCACAACGGCCACCGCCTGCAATGCCGGAGCCGCCTCCTCTTGTGCCGCCGTCACAGTCTTTTATGGTTCAGAAATCTGGAAAGAAGCTATCTTTCTCCGAGTTACCACAGAGTTGTTGGGAAGGAGCATCAGAACGACCAAAGCCAAAGCTGAAACCTCTGCCCTGGGAAAAAGTCCGACCAAACTCTTGCCGGAAAAATACCTGGGACAGTCTTAAGTTCAGCTCTTCATATGCTAACTCAAAACAGAGAAGTCTTAGCTGTGATCTTCCGATGCTAAATCAAGAAAGCAGAGTTCTAGATCCAAGAAAGTGTCAGAACAATGCTCTTCTGCTTACCACACTTAAGCTCACCACAAATGATATTCGTCAGGCCCTTCGAGATGGTAAAATCACCAGTTACAAAACCTTATTTCTTCTCATTTTCGATTGTATTGAGTTGAATCTGAGTTGGCATTTCTTCGAGTTTCTGGATCAGGTCACTATGAAGCACTTGGAGTTGAGCTTCTTGAGAGTCTATCAAGAATGGCACCGAGTGAAGAAGAAGAAAGGAAGTTGAAGAGCTTTAGTGATGATGATGACTCAATGTCCAAGCTTGCCCCATCAGAGAGTTTTCTCAAGGAATTGCTTAAAGTGCCTTTCGTGTTCAAACGAGTGGATGCATTGCTCTCTGTTGCTACATTTGATTCCAAGATTGATCACTTGAAAGGATCATTTGGCGTTATACAGGTATAAAAGAAAGCTGAATTTAACTAGAGACAGAGATGAATGTGTTATGTTGCTGTAAGCTTATGCCTCATAAAGCTATCTGATTATTTTGCAGGCTGCTTGTGAGGAACTACGGAATAGCAGAATGCTATTGAAGCTTATTGAAGTTGTCTTAGAGACAGGAATGAAGAGCGGGAATGCGCATGACTTCAAACTTGAGGGGCTCCTGGGGCTTACCGATATCAAACTGTTAGATGGACGAACCTCTCTCTTGCATTATGTTGTACAGAACATCGTACAATCAGAAGGTATCAAAGTGTTGCAGGTTGTCAGAAATCTCAGTTTAGTACTTGTAGATGTCAAGAAATCTGCAGAAATGGAGTATGGTGTTGTAAGAAGCGACGTGTCAAAGCTTTATCAAGGAGTCAAGAAAATTAGTGAGGTTCTGCTACTGAGTGAGGAGAATGGACATAATGAAGAACAACAGTGGTGGAAATTCAGAGAGTCGATGACCCGATTCTTGGAAACCGCTGTAGAGGAGATTAAGAAGATGGAAACAATAGAAGGTTCAGTGCTCTCTGCAGTTAAAGAGATCACAGAGACTTTCCATGGATATTCGGCAAAGGAAGAAGAAGAAGCTCAGCTATTGAGGGTATTCGTGATCGTGAGAGACTTTCTGTCCATTCTAGATGAAGTATGCGAGGAAATGGATGTGACGCAAGAAGAGAGTACTCTGGGTTAGGCTTTTAAGTGACTGATGATGAATTGTGTTGCCTCGTAGTTATGTACTTATGTTTGTATGAAATATAATTGGAAGATATTATTATCTGTTCCATCATATCTCTTAAATTCTTAAATCGCTTCTAATCATTAAAAAAATATCATATAAATTGATGGAGCTGAATTTAGTAAAATCATATCTGAAACTTGTTTGAGTTTTGTCTGCAATATCTCTAAATAAGTGCTACTATGTCTTTTTAAGTTAAAATTCTTATCAGCATTGTTGATTCAGGATGCGTTGTATCATGGTGGCTATCCTAGATTATGTCTGGTTAGAGGAAATTAACACATCGGTTAATTTTCGTCTCCTAGCTCAGAAGTGAAATTTCTTATGTTCAGAGTTCTGTTTTAAACGGTTTTTCTAAAAAAAAAAAATTACAACCGACAAGAACCAGATTTTATTATCGGTTAAATAAACAAATATTACGAAGAAAATACTTCAAGTTGTAGGCGCAAAGGGTCTTCTCTTTCATTACGGGTATCTTTGACTCAGTCTTCTTCTCTGTTATTAATAATATACATTTTCTTGTACTAGTTGTTCTTTTAGAATCCTTTGGTTTCATAGAGTCACTTCTTCATGAACAATACCCCCAGCCATGTGCATTTCTTCTTCTTCTTTCTGTCATGGTGGGGTGGTCAACAAAAATAGCAACAAAACTCTCGCTGTCTCGTTCCTAGTATTGCTATCGTCAGGTGAGTTTCGGGTCTTTTTGTTACTTGTGCATCTCTGTTTCTCCAAGTTTCTTTTGTTCATTTATATGGTAAAATGGCTAGATTCTTATCTTAGGTGTTGCAAATGTGTGGTTCAGCGGAGATTTCGAACAAAAATCGATTCCGGATCGGAATGTGCTGTATGATTAATTGTGTACAGTAGTACTAAATTGTCTTCTTTTATGCATTTGGGTTACTTTCAGGCTTAGATGCTATTTGGGATCCTAATCGGAGGAAAAGCGTAGAAACTGATTTTGGGAGACTATATGATGATGGTTGCTAAGGTAGTCTGTGCCATTTTCATACGGAGCTGTCTCTGGGTGTTACTGGTCTCCTCTAGTTTGACCCGTGCATTTGAGTCCGACATAGATTGCCTGAGAACCCTAAAGTCCCAGCTCAAGGACCCCAATGGACATCTGTCCAATTGGTTATTTGGAAACGAAGCTGACCACTATATCTGCAAGTTCAGCGGTGTGATTTGCTGGCATGATGATAGCAAGAACAGAGTGTTTAAACTCGAGTTTGGTGGTTTTGGTCTTGAGGGAGAGTTTCCTAGTGGGGTTAAAGAATGCTCCTTCTTGGTTGGTCTCAATCTTACTGGAAATAGCCTCTCTGGTACTCTTCCACCAGACCTGTTCTCCCTTCTTCGCTATCTTTCTGCTGTGGACCTCTCTTACAACAGCTTCTCTGGTGAAATCCCTGATACTTGGTCAAATATCTCCTACCTAGACACTCTTTTGCTTGATCATAACCGGTTCACAGGTCACATACCGCCCGGGTTAGTCTCGAATCCACGACTCAAGCAGTTCTCGGTGGCGCACAATGATCTCGAAGGTCCAATTCCCATATTCACCAATGCAAACATCCATCTCTCGAGTTTTGAAGACAATCCGGGTCTGTGTGGTTTCCTGCTGAGTCCCTGCCCAGCAGATTCATCCCATCCCATGCCTATTATCGCAACAAGCATTGCTGCAGCTGCCTTTTTCCCTGTAGGTGCATGCTTGGGCTGGTTCTGTGTTGGCAAGAGACTGAAACAACGACGGAGAAGACGTTAGAAGCAAAATTATATCCACATCAAATAAAGTCACTTTCCACTTGTTTCATTGCATTTTATTGTATCTTTAGAAGCAAACACATACATATCATGTTATGTAACAAACCCGAAATAAGTTTGTAAGCAGCCAGCAAATGGGAGCTTTCTTATATCTGCAGCAAACTCTGCCAGGTTAAGCCTAACTAAACCCACAGTTTACTTCTTCAGTGCTTACTATTAACCAACTTGGTGCACATTCTTCTAAAATAAGGTTTAATTTGTGAATGAGGCTCAAAAAATTTACGCACTGCAAGAGTTAAACCGACGCTTCCTCTAAATTCCCTCAAGAATTCCATCAATCGCCTGCAAAATCTGAGAGGCTACTTGCTCATCGTCTGTAATTATAGCAGTACCCATCTCTGAGGTCTCTATCAGGCCATTGCTAGGATTTGTTATATGGATTACACTCTTGTCTTCTGATCCATTCTCACCTTTGCTGCCATCTATTGATCCGGTTGTACCCATTTTCATTAACGCCTCTAAAAGTGTTTCCGGAGCCACTGAGCCCCAATGCCTCAATGGCCGAGCCTTCTTCTTCCCTGAACTTTCTTCCTGCTCCAACCCGGAAACTATTCTTTGTTTCCCATCTTCCATCAGAAGCTCACCTTTCAATCTTGCAATTCCAAAGTTTTCCCCTTGTCTCAGTTTTCTCCAGCTCAATTTGGTGGCCAACTCTGCCATTATCTCCACGTCTGCATAGTTCGCAATTCTTGGCACACGTAGCGTCTTGTTCTCAGAGTAATTCAGGATAGATGTTGTCTTCGTCGCCGCAAGACTGATCCTCTGGTTGACAACATCAGGGACCTATTCATAAAATGCTAGCAGATTGATGAATACAGACAGAGGCAAAGCTGGACGGATATATCCAAAAAAGCGAAGGAATAGAATCGTTACCAAAACAATCTTTGGCTGCAAAACGGAAACCAGTGTTGGGAGCTTCTGCAACCTGTAAAATAAATCATAGCATTCAGCAATGGTTGACAAACAAATTTCATATACAAGAACCCATGGTCATTCCTCTTCTGTGCAGACACAACTCAGATTCCTCAATCCAACAAGACAGAGATCCCAAGCAAAAAGCTGCACAGACTAAAAAATAACAGCTACTTAATAATACTGCCAGGCAAACCTTACCTTATTCCAGAAAGAAATGAACATTGGAGAATTTTCATGGCGATCGGTCTAAAGGGGAGAAGTCCTAAACCTGAACTTATCCCGTCCTGCAAAACATATTTCTCATCAGATATCTCGAGTAGAGATTCTTCACACTGGATTATCCGATGGAGCTAGGGAAGAGAGAAAGAGATAACAAAAAAACCTCAAGAACAAGTAAGGATTTTGGATCTCCACGCCAACGCTGAAGAAGTTGGACAGAAGGGCCAAGTCGCAAACTCCAGTGCGGAGCAAACACGATGCATGGTTCCTGCCAATTCGATCTGTTCACATAACATAAGAAAACTCACCGAATGTTGTAACATACTCTTTGAAATAGACTCGCTCGAATAGTATGACATGTGTTTGCAAACTATGCATTTACGGGAATAAAATACCCATCAGATAGTAGATAATGATATGAGCCGCCCGATACAAGGACATGGAATGCTTACATTAAGTTGGGTGAGTGGATGGCAGGAAACAGATGGATCTTCTTGTCTTTAATGAATTTATGATGGTCAAATGATGGTTCTCCTGAAATCAACTGCGACATCAATCAATACATCATAGAACATATACTCATTGAATAATCTTTTAAATAAAACTTTCACATGATTAACCAAGCAATTCGCAGAATAATACCTTCTCCTGTCGTTTCTCGCACAGCCACTCTGGTATGGTGTTTGTGTAAGCCAATAGCTCTTCTGCCACAGAAGATATTACAAAGATTGGAACCTAAGCAAAAACATATTAACGTGATTTAGTCTTACAGAGCTAAGAATAATGTCACATAAGAACCACCTTTTTAAATGTGATTTCATATCCTCAGAAAGTAAAACTATGGAGAAAGGAGAAAGATCACACCTTGAGAGACGAGGATTCAAGAGAATTTGACATTAGCTCTAAGAGCTGCAGAACTACCCCAATTCGGCTAATCGTTATCAAGGTTGAGCCACCAGCATCAGCAGATTCTGTGGCACACGAGCAAACAAAAGCTAGTTTCTCCACCTCTTCTAAGCTTTCTTCATTGTTTAGTAATGAAGCAGCCAAGTTTTCGTCATTCTCGTCACTGCTAATACAGGTTAACAGTAAAAAAGGATCATTGACTTTAAGATCCAAACAAATAACATCATCTTATAAATGTAAACGAAAAAGGAGTCGTATATGAGAGTACCTGATTCTTGATATATAGCTATTATCCTGGACAGGAATCGTTTCTGCGATTTGGAGGCATGCGAAATCAGAGTAAATCATCACATCGGTTCCTTTGAGACCATGAAAATCGAAATTTTTCACATGATGTGAAACGAAGACGGAGCCAGACACATAACTTAGACTTCCATTAGGTCCATTGATCAGCCAATTGCAAGCCCCAATATCTAGACCTGAACTTAGGGCCTTAATGATCAACGTCCCATTATAACACACTTCTTCTGCAAACTTTACGGCTTGAACCTTCTTCATGCAACTCTTTATGTCATCTAAACTGAAGAAAAGAAGGAAATAACGAAGCAATCAACATGAAGGTAAACTTGATTATGGGGCAATCATACAGTTTGACAATCCAATAACAGTTACCTGTACAGACGCATCCAACTGCCCAGATCATCACCACTCTCGCCGAAGACAACGTTCTTAAGCAAGGCTGGTACTTGTTCACCATCTAAATTCCTTGTCCACCCCGGAAAACGGGAGTCCTCAGGGCCATGGAAGCGTCTGAATTCCATGTGCATCGAGACAAGTTCCTCCATCATGAACTGTCCAATCTTTGCTGTTGCTTCAGTCATATATACCTACATCTTACAAGTAAGAGAGAACTCAGCACAACGCACACCACAAAGCAAGCAAAGTTCATTCAGTAAACTCAAAATCTAATGGTCCTGAAAAACGTTACCTTGGCACAAAATCTGGGGCTTTGGGTGAGGAATGGTAATCCGAGCAATCCCATAGGGCTGGAGATGAGAACAACATCGATCAAAGAAACCTCCCACAAATGCAAGGCCTTGACAGTTTTGTACCACGGTTCTGCGCACACCAAATCATCAGGAGTCATCTGTCTCGCCAGTTTTTGCCTCTTTTGAATTGGATTCTGAGGCACATCAGATGGAAATTCAGAAGCTTCAGAACCGACATCAGATGGAACAGGAGAGAAGATTGTGATCGCCAAAAGGTCTAGAGGGCAGTCAATCAAGATCCTGAAACCACTTAGATTCAGCATATGACAAGGCGGATACTGAAAGCCGTCTCCTTTGCTCAGACATGTCTGCAAGAACACACAAAACTTTCATATTTACCAAAACCCAGAGGTTTTCAACACTAAAAATATAGACTTTACATAAAGAAGAGAAACTCACCAGCTTCATGGAGATAAACAACAGTAGAATCTGTCGAAATCGAATATCGTCAGTACTTATTAATACGAACTGCTTCGAAAAGGAAACAAAAGAAGAGGTTCAACTTGTCAGCTTATCAAAAACCACGCAACCAAACAAAAGATACGGCGTAGTGGGAGAGAGAATGTGCGGAGGTTGATGGAAGGCGGCGGTGGAGGACGAAGCGGCGATTTTATTTCGGGAAGGTTCGGTTCGGTTTGGCTGGATTAATAAAGTTTTGGGTTATCTGGTTCGGTTCGGTTTAGTTGCTTTGATTCGATTTCGATGTTGCTGAAAATTGAAAACGCCATGGAGATATTATTTGCTCCTCCGATGGATTCAGTCAAGGATGGCAAACTCAGTGTTGAAGGCTTCTCTGTAGCTGCTCGAGCTTTTGCCGATAAATGGAAAAGACATAACCAATCGTTACCTCCATGGTCATGGGTTCCTCTGATCGATCGAACGCTACTTGTTCCGAATAAGGTTAGCGTCAATCAACCAACTCTGTTCTCCATGTTCGAGATACCACTTTTCTAGATTCCTTCGCCTTATTGTGTTATTAGCAGGAGGAAGGTTACTTGTCGCTGGAGAAGATCATTCTCAGTTCACTTGAGGTAAATTCAAAACAGTGCGCTGATCTTCTCTTCTTCGTCTTCTTCTTCTTTTGTGTCTCTCACCATTATCTTTCTGTGTAGGAACGCCCATGCTCAGAGGAAGACGAATCTCTAGATGTAAAAATTGATTGCTCGGAAGACTTGGAATCGATTGATCACGCGATCTTGGTACGTACTGTAGTTGTCTCTTTGTAAAAACATCAATGAAGCAGATTTCTGATATTGGTTAGTGCCTGTTTCTTGCCGCTAGGTCCAAAACGTTGAAAATGAAGCACACTATTATGATTTCCATGTGGTTTATAGTGCATCATATGGGGTTCCTGTGCTATATTTTCGCGGATACTGCAGCGGTATGTCACAAATCAACCTGCAAATTTGCTTCATTGCTCTTTTTTTTTATGAAAAAAAAAATGGTCTTAAGATGAATCATCTTTAGGTGGACAACCTCTTACTTTGGATGTCATAAAAGAAGATCTGCCCTCATGTTCTGTTAGTCTTTTGCTGGAATCTAAGTGGACATTTATAACACAAGAGGTATCTCCTCCTCTCAAGAACAATACTGTACTGCAATGCCCGTTTAATTTGTGGTTTCAATCTTTGTATGCAACATTCAATTGGCAGGAGCATCCGTATTTGAACAGGCCATGGTTCAAGCTACATCCCTGCGGGACTGAGGAATGGATCAAGCTGCTCTCCCAAAGCAGCAGCGGTGCTGCTTGTCAGATGCCAGTTGAGTTGTACTTGGTTTCATGGTTCTCTGTTGTCGGCCAGGTGGTTGGTCTTAGAATCCCTCTCGAGATGCTGAATTTGAGAACTTCTGCAATCCAACTACAGGAACAAGCGATGTTTTCAGTCACCGGAAAAAAGCAAACATGATACATTTGCATCACATGGATCACTTTCGAGAAGCTTATGGAAGCCCAATGTAATTGGTTTCAGGTGCTATGCTATATTCGTGGTTCCCCAGTTTTACTACTGATGGCAAAAATTTGTACTATAGAGTTTGTTTTGACCTTTTAACCGGTAGTTTTAACCACGAGCCACTGGTTCGATATACAACCACTAGCTCTAGTTACAGGACTGATCATGTGTAAAGAAACAGTAGCCAGAAATATCGTGGAAAGAGTTTGACTTGATGCTTCCAATATGAAGCTGCAATGGCTAACTTTTAGGTGTTCTTTATGGCCAAAGGCAAAACGTGCAAGAGCTGCAGAGATAAGAGGAGTCGAGAGCTATGCAGAACGAACACAAAGACACACAGTTGGCACCCGACAGACCCACGATCTAACTCATCAGCATTCTTGTCCTCCTCACTATTATTTCGTATTCTTCTCTGTTGCTTTTGATACTTTGCTGGATTTGCATATTCACTTGCCGCTGATTTTAATTTGTAATTAGAAAAGATAACGCAATGATTGACCGGCTGGAGAAGGAGTTTAACATGCTTCCCCGATGAACTATAAGCCTCTATTTCTACTTTAGTCTTTTATGCTTCATCTTTCAATTTTTTAAGTTCCATGCCATAGACAACTGTACTTTGAGTCTTGGCAACTTCCTCCCTTTGTTTCTCTACTTTTTGCTGCTTCTTTTTTATGTCCTTGAGTTTCTCTTTAGTGTATGTTCTTGTTCCTAGGTCCAATATGAAGTCATATAGTCCTAAATCATCCACGAATGATGAAAATCTTTTTTCAGCTCCTTTTAAGTAGATCAGCATCTGTCATATCTTTCATTGTGAATACTCCATCCAAAACGTCGATATGTAATCATATATTCAAATTTATTATAGCTTTTTTGAAATTAACCAATCTATACTAAATAAAAGGAACTATTTAGGGCTCCTTAAGCTATCCACCTCAGCTTTTCAAACTACTCTAAAAATATGACACATCAGCAAAAAATAATAATATAAATTCCCACTTTAAATTTTTTTGAAATACACATAAAGTAAATAAATAGAACCAAAATTAATATAGTTAAATACAAGAGTAAATAAAAATAAAATATTATTTTTGAATCAGTAAAATAAATATTATTTAAATCTATAGCATCAATATATACTCTTTTGTTTGTAATATAACAAATTAACAATAATGAAAATTCTCACTTTAGATTTTTTAAAATACACATAAAATAAATAAATAGAACCATTAAATTAATATAGTTATTAGCGAAAACTAAATAAAACTATATATCATTTTAATCAGTAAAATAAATATTATTTAATCTGTAGCATTAATATATACTCATTTTTGTCACTAAAATTAATATAGTTACCAACAAAAGTAAATAAAATTAAAATATTAAATCAGTAAAATAAACATCATTTAAATTTATAGCATCAATATATACTTCTTTTGTTTGTAATATAACAATAATAAAAAATTTCACTTTATATCTTTTGAAATACACATAAAATAAATAAATAGAACCACTAAGTTAATATAGTTATTAGGAATAGGTAAATAAAACTAAATATCATTTTCTAAATCAGTAAAATAAATATCATTTAAATCTGTAGCATTAATATATACTCCTTTTTGTAATATAGTGAATATATTAGTCAACAAATTGCTCTAAAAAAAATAAATAATAGTTAATAGAAACAAGATTACAAAATAATAATTTCTAAAATAAAATTTAAAATATTTACAAATTATAAAAATCTAAAACATTCACCTTTTAGAAACATAAGATTAAACATCATAGTACGTTAGATTTAAGGCAACCAACAAGACAACATAAATTATAGGAAGCTTTTCAAAGCATCTATCTATATGAAGATTTTGATCATCGTTACTATTTATATTGCAGAAAATGATAGACATAAGAAGAATTTCATGCACTGATATTTATTCAATGTGTGTCTTAGTTGGCTTAAGGTAGTCAAGTTACTACAAGCGATACATGTCAACACATGAGTTAAACAGTTTATAAACAAAAATTAAGTTTTAGATGACAGTTAATTTTTATATATATCAAGTTAGTAAATTTTTAAATTAAATAATAATGTATTTTTGAAAAAATAACATACATATTTTTATGTAGAAGAAAATATCTAAAAAAATCTCTAATTATCCACATCAACAAAATTCCTTATAAACCCAACTTGAATGAAAAACTAATATGGTTTTTTTTTACTGGGTTAAGAAACTTTTTTAAAAATAATATAATATATACTATTAGTTTAATTATAAAGGCTCATCAAAATATATATGTGTAGTTTAAGAAAAAATGTTTAAGTTAAACTACAAGCAAAATTTTTTACATCTTTTGAGTTTTGAGAAACTCAACATACTTTATTTAACATAATGAGTTAGTATGAAATTGTATTTGTATATGTATTACTTGCTTTATTCATCTATATTTTTTATAGTGTACGTGTACTTCATAGACCAAATCAAAATTGCATTTTATCAATATGATTGTGATTTTTTATACTATGTAAATATTATTTTTATTTATATGAATCATAGTTATTTTATAGATTTATAAAAGATTAGAATATTGAGTGTTGTTTGTATTTGAGATTGCTAATTAAATAAAAACACTACACGAACACAGTTGAAATAAAAATAAAAATTTAAATTAATTGGAACAATAATAAACAAATTTAGTCAAAACAAAAATAATTTTAATAATATTTTGAAAGTTAGTAGTGAATAACATTGAGTTTAACAGTTAATTTTAGCATATATCAAGTAGGTAATTCTTAAAATTATATCATGATACATTTTTTGAATACGTTAAAATATTTTTGATGTATAATCATATCAAAACAATTTTTAAAATTAAATATTATATTTAAAATATTAGCTTAAAGTGAAAATAATTTAACTTAAATAATAATCAAATATCTATATAAAAATAATCTGCGCGTAGCACGGAAACATCCCTAGTTCAAAGTAACATTTATAGTTTCAACAATTTTTGTTAACAGTCAGATCTCATATATTCATTGTTAATTTGTACAACATTTGAATTTTTTTAAAGGTGAATTAATTTTTAAACTTTTAGATTTTTCGTCTCTTAGCTAATAAAGATAAATCATTTAAAACTTTCTTATTTTATTTTTCAATGCTATATCTTTTTATATATTTTTATCTAGACTGTTTTTTGTTAAAAAAATTCACAATGATTCACAAAACCACATATGTTATGGACACAAAAAAAGGAAACTCTACTTTGCATCAGAATACCAATATGCAGCTTAAAAAATCGTTTAAAAATATTATTCCACTATTAAAAATATTTTAAATAATAATAGATTTGATTTAGTTTTTACAAATTCTTAATTGAGTAATATAAAAATTTAAGTAATTTTAATTGGTTTTATATTAATTTTATATTAAATAACATAAATTTTGATAAAATATTTAGAAATCATTAATTGATTAACATAGAATTTTACTGTTAATAGAGATTGTTTTTTACCTTGATAAAAGCAGGCTTTCTATATGAATACTTATGCAAATTAGCCAAAGTTTTTAATATTCCTCAATCCAGATTTTTATAGCTCACTCATACAACAAGTTTCCCGTCACCAAATCCCAACTTTCCAGCCGTGATGTACCTCACGTCTTTCTTGTTTTATACTTTTGAACATATGTACTCCACCATGTTCATGTTCGCTTATATCCATTCACAAGAACAATATGAATTTTGGCAATGCATCGTTAGCCTTGGGAAACAAAAACTTTATTATTAGAGAAAACTTAGTTTCATGCAACGGTAAATTATTGAAACCTACGAAATTCCGAGCCATTTTGATGATTGTAGCGTCTAAGCACTTCAATCATGGTGATAAACCGAGTAGTTTGATATAAAAGCAGAAATGTTGCAAACCAATATATTATACTTTATATTTACATAATCATTTGTTTCAGTTTCGTCATTATGTCATCATATGTATTCAAAATTATCATAGTTTTTTAAAAAAATTAACCAATTTAACGTAACAATTATAGTTTCAACAGTTTTTGTTAACAATCAGATCCCATATATTCATTGTTAATTTGCTCCACATTTGCATTATTTTTTTGAAGGTGAATTAATTTTAAAACTTGCAGGAACTTTTGTCCCTTAGCTAACAAAGTTAAATCATTTGGAACTTTCTTATTTTGTTTTCCATTGCTATATCTTTTTATATATCTTTTTAATTTTATCTAACTGTTGTTGTCAAAAAGATCCTGAACTTTTTATATATCTTGAGGTGCTACCAATTTGCTTATTTTGATTTCGCTGGAATGATTTAACTTTCTCTTCCCTATCTATATACAAATTGTCTTCACTGGAAATTACAAAAGGCATGGATTTGTGATTCTAGATAGATTTAGCACCCTAATCCTAAATTTGAAAACTAGTTATTGTCTACTATAACGAGGAGTATCTATAATATGTTATCGAACTAATTGACTATAATCAGTTACAAAATTTATCAAAAGTCACCAAAATTATTATAAAATTTATCAAAAAATCATTTATGGTAATTTATGGAATGCATTTAAAACAACTTCACACCAACAAACGTAAAAAAGGAGAAGAAATTTGGGAAACTCAACAACTTAATTTCAGTTGACTCCCACGTGGACAAAAAAAAAACGCATAAGCGAAACTGGTTTTTAAAGAGAGAGAGTGTGTATTTATTTACGTAATTTCTTCGTCTAAAAAGCTGTCTTTTAAGACAGACAAATCCATCTAACTTTCTTTCAATTCCAACTAATCCCGACCAAAAGCAAAAGCAAAAGCATCGCAGAAACTAGATTCCTTCATGGAAGGGTAAGCTTAACCTTCTCTCCCTCTCTCTCTCTCAATCTGCCTTTTTGTTTGGTATTCGCTCATTTTTTTCCATTCTCTATTCCGAGCAGATCTGATCCCAAAATCGAGTACACGACCGGCGTTGACACCGCCGTCAGAATGACGTCACCGGCGTCGTCCTCCGTCGCCACGACAAGTGTCCACGTAAGTGCCCTTGACGGACTCGTGAACGTGAACTCTCTCTTCACCATCGCCGTCTTCGTAGGTCTTTCCTTAGCGACTCCAGGACAGCATAGCCTCGAGCAGCGATCCAGCTGCGACGCAAGTGCTGACGTGGCGAAGAAGCTACTGGTCTTCGAAGTCGTCTCCTTCAGCTTCTTCCTCTTCTCCTCTCTCGTAGCTCAGGGTCTCAAGCTTGCCCTCAACCTTCTCAACAGCAAAGACGTTGACGAGATTTTCAGAGCTCATATCAACATTAAGGTTCTGAGATGGGGAATGATGGCATCTGCTGTCGGATCTGTCATGGGCTGTCTGTTCTTGATGCTCTCTATGGTCAACGTGATTCAGATCCGTCTCGGCTTACTCTCTTGCGGCAGCAAATCCGCGGCTCAGGCGGTTGCAACGCTCGTGACGCTTGTTTCCTCCGCTCTGTTGGTTTACATCTCTACTGCCATGTACGCTTTCTGGCATTGAACAACGATGAGGCTCCCAAGTCCCTTGGCTTTGTTTTGATTGGCCAATGTAATCTGTCCGTGTCTTTTATATGTCGTTTGTTTTCTTTCGGAGAATGAACATAAAGTGACAAGATAAGATTATTGGATTCAAAGTGTTTATGAACACAAAACGAAAGCTGCGTGCTTGTTGTTTTCTCGTTAGCTGAGAGGTTTGGTGAAAGTATTGTTGGACTCTATTTCTCTAACACTTTGGATAACATTACTGATTTTAATGGAGAGATGATTGGAATGTTCCTCCATCTCCTTTAGGACTATATCAAGCTGCTGTTGCAACGCAGCACAACGCCTTCTCTCTCGGCTCAGCTCTGTACTCAGCTCCCGAATCTTTGCGTCTTTCTCGTCCTGAAAAGCACAAAGATTATTCAAAGCAAAACAAACCCGAGCTTCATGTTCTTGGCAAGTCATAATGTTCAAAACTCTATAGTTCAGTGTGTGAACGTACCGGTGATTGGGAGACCTGAGAACTCCGGCGACCATTAGGCAGGAGAGGAAGGAGAGGATGATTATGATCTTTCACAAATTTGGTGACGGCCCATTTTCCGGATTTGTCTCTCTTCACCACGATCAAAGCCTTGCAACCTTCTCTTGTTATAGCCCGAGGTTTCCTGTTCTCGCTTCTCCGTGGTCTCACTCTACGGAATCCTTCTTTGTTACACACGAGTCTGCGCCACACCACGGTGCCATCTCGCATTGACCGCCTGAAAGCATCCACTCGCATGACGAAACCCATCCCTGTGGCGTAATCGTCATAGAAAGACTTTACAGCGACTTCTGAATCAAACTCCATCCCAATGAACGGCTCCACCGCTGAGGAAGCTTCATCTGTGACTGTATTCTTTCCATCTGAGTTCTCCATCATCTCTACATCTTCTCCGAGCAAAGAGTTCCCTTCCACTGCCCCACAACACACACAAACATCTCAATCCCAAACAGACAATAAAAAAATGATTTTGCAACTTGCTTTTATTGAGAGAGACTCAACTCTAGACCAAATGCCCAACCACACCCTCGCTAACTGCTTCTCTAACTAACTCACAACAGCTCTAATCTGCTACATTCTTCAAAGCTTATCAAATACACCATGGCTTGAAAGATTGTCCTCAAGAAGTGATTTATAAAAACAGCTAATGAACAGGCATAGAGTATGAATTTCATCGACCTCTGAACTTCTAAAGAAACAGAGCAAATCGAGTAGATTGAATCCAGAAAAACGCGAAATTAAGAATTTCGATTCCGTAATTTGGTACACGCAATCAACATGGACAAAAGGGAGGGAGAAACCCAAAATCATCGAAACAGAAGAGACGAGAATTTCAATAAAAGATTGAGATCCTTGTAAGTAGAACAACAGAAAGGGGGTTCAATTGAAGCACTTACTTCGATGGAAGATTAGAAAATTCCAAAATTGTGACTCGTGGAGAGGGGAAGTGATGATCTCTGAAACTGAAAGTTAGTGAGAGTGAAAGAAAGGGAAACGGTGAGGAAAAGGACAAGAAATACGAAGTCGAAGATCTCTCTGGTCATAACTTTACTTTTGTACGGTTGATGATGACTGATTTCGGGTGGAGCACGTGGACTTCATCCACCCTGCAGTCTCTAGTCTCCTCCGTTTGCCAGAAATGATAAACGGCATGTAGTTTATCTAGTTTGTTTGACTTCAGCATACGAGTTAAACATCACGTAGTCTGAATTTTTATTGTTTATCTGTGTGCGTTTCTTTTCATTTTTGTTTGTGTTTTAGGCTTCTAGCGTTTGATTTTCCACTTTACACAAATATCTTTCGATACATTAAGAATGCATGAGTTTTCTTCTTCTTCTTTTTCGGGATTAAAGATGTGTTTTATTTCCCAAGAAAACATTATTGTTTAAAAATGTGAGCACAAACGCATCGACCAAAACACATAGTACCCAAAGAATATCGTATTTGACAAAAAAAAGGTTAAAATTCTATTGTATGATCTTGTAAGTGTAAAAAGTCGTAATTGAGAAGTAGAGTGCCTCACAACCAATTGTTACAAATATTAAAAGAATCCTCAACAAAAGAATAGCGGATTGTAAGATCCGTGGACTCATATGGTTATGTTTCAAAATCCCACAAAAGTAAATTCATCAACAATATTTTTGGGAGGAGAGCACTCAAAACAAAGCTCACAAAAGATTGTTGAGCTTTTTCTTTGAAAAATACCTTTGTTATATCTCTTTCGAGGTTTTGCCCTAATCATTCCGAAGAAAAAAACCAATGATTTTGGGTCTCAAACCCTAACCCGAAAATGGGTTTTTCATTTTTTTTGTTGTTTACAAGTTTGATCCTAAGGCGGCAAATCCACCACCTATCATCATTTGCTTAAACTCCTTGAAATTCACCATCCCATCTCCATCAACGTCCACTTTGCTAATCATCTTCTTGCAATCCTCAAGGGTTCTTCCTTGCTTAAGCCCCAAGGAAGCTAGCACCGATTTCAGCTCTTCCACCGTGATGAACCCGTCCCGGTTCTGATCAAAGACATTAAAAGCCTCTCTCATGTCTTCCTCCTCGTCTCTCTCCTCCATTATCGTCTGGTACAACCCTCCAAACTCTTCGATGTCCACGTACCCATCACCGTTGAGATCAATCTTCTCAATCATCTGCACCAAGTCTTTGTCTGGGATGAAGATTCCAAGATTCTCCAATGAATCATTCAGCTCTTGCTTGGTGATTTTGCCGTCACCGTTTCTGTCGAACATTTGGAATATCCGGGCAAGCTCTGCCTGATCCATCGCAGTTGGGTTTATTAGAAGCTTAGTTTGAACAGAGAATGAATGAGAACAATAGTATAGAGGACGGGTTTATAGAGAAGACGAAGAGATTAGGGCAAGAGAAGGGAAGAGGGACTGGTTCTTAAAGAAAATGAGTGGTTGCCATTTTAGAAAATTCATTACAACTGTGATCGTGGTATGCACCAGTTTTCTGTTGAACTGGTCTAAAATTAGGTTTTTGTCCTTTAAGACTACACAAAAACTAAAGTCTATCTATAGATAGATACACACACGTAATTGATACACGTATCTCATAATTTCATTATCAAAACAGTTTTCCGTTAGGATGGTTATTTCAGGTTAAATCTTTATTAAAACTAGCTCACAAATTCTTGCAAGAAACAGAATTTCATTCAAATGCTTATCAGATTGAGAATATTTGTTACTCAAATTTATATTATTATCTGTATAAGTTGTAGTTTATTTTAAGTGAGTTTTTTTCGATACAAATTTTGTCAACTTGAACACCACGCTGTTTAAAAAATAGAAGAGACAACTTGAACAATTAATAATAAAAAAAGAGATGGCGTTTTTTTTTTTATAAATAGCTCAGGCCTCTTAATCACTTGTAAACAGTAATTTGTTTAGAAGTGGCACCACACTACACCCTGAAGTTACAAATAATTAAGAATTCTCAACAATCTGTAGTCCTTGACTCCTTGAATTATCCGTGGATTGAAATGGTTATGATTCGAAATTAATTTAATTCATTTTTTTCAATGTTTGGAGTATACATGACCTGAACATTCGATTTTGGAATGATTAATCCCTTATTTGGTTGGCTTTGATTTATATGCCCACTCGAAACTATCAATATATGTAGCCATGAACCCATGAAGAGATACACTACGAATTCATACTCAACGTTGGATGATCAATTATCCAAATTAGTTTTCTAAACACGTGTATAGTATAAGATTCTAATGGAGGATGTCAGATTTTAGATCCTCGAGATCATTATAAAATCACCCCACAGATACAACTTGCAAGTGACACAAAAAAAAATAGGAGGCCAAAAAAGAGTCTTGATCACTTGCACATATGAAAAATTAAATGTAGATTTTATTAAATTTATTGATCATAGCAAACTTTGATATAAAACGAAGTATCAAAACAAATTCAATGTAAACCAAACAACAACATACGATGACTTTGATAATCATTTTTTAACAACGCCACCACTTAATAACAAAAAAAAGAAGTGAAAACCAGCATATTTCCAACAGCGTCTAGGAAACAAAACCGCTTTTTAGAACACCAGTAGGAAAACCAACAGCTAACCACTCTATCCTCAATGTTACTATTGAATCACTCTCCACAAATAAACAAGTACAAGAACAGATCCTACAAACATAGTTTAATAGTTTGCAAGGCTCGATTCAAATCTATCAAACAATCAGTATACAAATGTCATATTCATTATACATTATTCCTTTCCTTAAAAGCAGAATCTGCGATTCTAAAGCTCAGAGTTGATATATAATGTTATATCAGCATCACCACAGATGCACCACAAGTAGTTATGAGAATGATAGAGAAGAAAAGATGGCTTTTTAACCCTAAGCATACTGAAACTGAAAAGACCGTAATTATATGTTCTGTAAGAAAAGAATCTCATTCCTGTTCTGCGAAGGCACAGTATTCTATATGCTCACTTCTCTTTCTCTATGTCTAGAAAAATCAACAGACATAATCTGCTAACCAAACACCTTGAACTCTCCAAATTGCTTTTGCTTTTATAAAGCTGTTAGATATAAACTCCATAATTTCAAAACCTTTCATGCGTTTTTATTCAAAATCTAAACGGTGAAAGAAGCAGAAAGCAAGATCACCTCAGAGAGCAACTATGTAATGGGCGAGGAAGCAGCGACAATGAGATTAAGAAACCAACATTCAATTGCAAGGCAACCCAAACTTGAAGCAGGGAATCGTTTAAACAAGTAAGTTCTTTACCACATTACAAAATTTAAAAGTAAGGATTACAGATTCAAATCCAGTTATCTGCAAAGCATCCAGCGCGAATTATTGCCAATTTGAGAACGGAAACAACAATAGAGAGCCTTAAGGGAGACTTACGGGATATCCCAAGGCTTCGCTTCAGGGACGGCGACGACCATACCTTGGAGCTCCTGCGTTAGCACAACTTGGCAGCCAAGGCGTGAGTGCTTGTTCAGGACACGGGACCTAGAGTTACGCCTCAGCACGTACTCCTCGTCGTAAGTACGCGTCGGGAGCTTCTCGAGCCATTCCTCTGCGATCTGGACCTCGCACTCCGCCGAGCAAGCCTCGATATCATCCAACCGATGTGACGCCGGATCGATCAGGCCAGTGTGAGTGAGCGCACGAAGAAGAGTCTGGCCAGAGAGCCCAATGATTTCCTTCTTGTATCCATCCGCATCGATCGCGGATAGCTTGACGATTCGGTCCGCGACTTTCCTCGTTCCCGATGACGGAGAAGGGGCGACGGAGACAGGAGCAGATGTGGCGGAGGTGCGGATGATTACGGATCTGGCGAATGGAGAGAGTCGGTGGATTTGGGAGGAGAGTTTCTGGAGATGCGTCGCCATCGTCGTTCTTCAATTTGGTCGTTGCAGACCCTTTCTGTGTTATGATTGTGTAGTGAGCTTTCGATTTCGATACGGAAAACCGGAAATGTGCAGTGAGTGTGATACGCTAATTTGATATGGGCCTCTTCATAAGCCCAATTATAAATTCAGGTCCAAGAGAATACGAGGAAAATAAAATTCAATTTTATGGAGAAAAAAACACCATAAAATTAATTGATATTGGCTCAAAGTCGTTACATAAAAAAGCATCTGATTGTCGCATGTGTTAGGAGAGGCATTTTAAGACACAAAACCTAGATAAACATTCGGATTGCCGCGTCTCTGGATCAACTCTTAACAACATGCCTCTTTTTGTTCCCATGTGATAAGGTCCACCTACTTTCCCAATGACGACGCGTTTGATTTTTAAAAACAAGGGCTTAACGAAACTACCCCACATTTAACTAAATTGCATACGTGGACATAACCGACGTGGCACTCATTCATTGGGTGGTTCTATCTATGGTTTGAGAAGCAGAAGATCACTGCTCCATCCCAATTCCGCCATCAATAATTTGACAAAAAAAAAAAATTGATCCACTCTGTTTCAAGCTGGCACCAAAATGTCGTCTTCTTCTTCTTCTTCTTCTTCCTCGCTTAAACCCATTAATTTAATTTCCTAATAAGGAACAGAGAAATCGGCAGAAGAAAACAAAACAAAAAATTCCAATCGTTGAATTCGGGTGGACAAAGTGATGCTTCGTATTGTGCAAATCGCGATTCATTGCTTCCTTCTCGCAGCCGGGATCTCGATCTCCACGGCGATCGCCGAGAAGGAGTCTATATATGAGATCCTCCAGGAGAACGGATTGCCCTTGGGGATATTTCCGAAAGGCGTGAAAGAATTCAGCTTTGACGGCAAAACGGGACGATTCTCCGTCTTTTTGAATCAGTCCTGCGATGCCAAATACGAGACGGAGCTGCACTACAACGCGAACATCACGGGAACGATAGGTTTTGCTCAAATCGAGGATTTGTCGGGAATCTCAGCGCAGGAGCTCTTCCTCTGGTTTCCGGTCAAAGGAATCCGAGTCGACGTGCCTAGCTCCGGCCTTATTTACTTCGACGTTGGTGTTGTTCGCAAGCAATACTCTTTGTCTTTGTTCGAAACGCCGAGAGATTGCGTCGCTGCTCTCCGTGAAAACGAGGTATGGATTATGACAAAATCTCTGTTTGCAAAATTGAGTTTATTATGAGTTATCTCGTCTCACATTTGGCTTTGTTAGTAGAAGTGGCTAGTTTATGAGATTTGTTGAATGGAGAAAGATTGGAACATCTTTAAATTGTTAAACTTTGCCAAAATGATCTTATAAACAAAAGTGCGTGCACATGAAGATAACTCAAATCTGCTTTACTAGTGTAGTCCCAAGATTTTTGAGGTTTTGCAATGTCAAGTTCTTGTTGTATACTCGGATGCTGCATCCCATTTTCTTGAATTTGTTTAGATTTTCGATTAGCTAGGAACTGAAAATCGGTGGAACTCGGAAAAAATGTAATCTTTTTTCTTCAAAATGTTTGGATTCATTGATAATGAGCTCAGGTGTTTCTACAATGGCTATTGCAGGTTCAGTATTCAATGTTGTCGTTGAATCAAGTAGATCAAACTCTTGGGAGAAACAGTATTTAGCCGGAGTTTAAGAAATGTTGTTATACTATACCAGAAAGATAGACAGATTCTTGAAGATACTTGTACTGTTTTGGTCTCAAAATCTTTGGCATGATCCAAGGTCAATGCTTCATTTTTTTTTCCCCCTTCCCCTTCTAATTTTTGTTTCTGTACTGCATTCTCATATCGACCGGGGAGGGCTGAACTGAGAGAATCTGTGAGCGGAAGTTAGATGGAAAGAAAGAACAATATCTTGTTTGTTTGGAAAAGAAATGGCCCATATTTGGTTGAAGTGATTGATGATAACAGTGATGTGAGGTGATGAAATTTTCTTTAAAAAGTTGTATTATTATGTCAATGTCGAAACAGATATTATCATCATATATATAGCCAAATATGTGTTGTAGGAAGTTGACAAATCATTTTCCCTTCACAGAATATCTGGTTGCTATATTTTTAGTAAAACGAAACCTAGAGTTTTATAGTCCAATCAATTGTGACATAAATAAGACTTTGTCATTCTAAAAACCTGGCGCTGAAGTAGAAGTCTGTCTCCAGCTGGCTTGGGAAGTCACTTTCCGGAATTATTAGATGGATCATCCAATTAGGAGAGATGATTAGGAGGGATGATTATATTTTGATATGGTGATTAAACGAGTGATATTCAGTTTAAGTTGGTGATGCACTTTTTACAAAAAAAAAAAAAAAAAGTTGGTGATGCACTCAGATAGTTAGCTGCTACTTTTGTTTGTCTTCTAGTCAAAGTGGTAACAAGACCACTTTTAAACACTCATCACATGGTTTAGGACACATGTCAAACATCAACTACTGGATGGCGGTGAGATATTTCGTTTTAAAATGTTGATTAAAATATAGTGTTTTCATAAAATATTGAGAATGATATACTATATATATTGAGCCATAGAGATTAGGATCCATAAATATAAAAAACCATAGATATCTTAAAAGTTCTTAAATAAAAACTGATTTTCACTTTTCTCTCCTACTCTTTTTTTTTTTAAGGTTGAAAAATCCTATTAAATACTACCAATGGGGATGGTTTTTGAATAGAAACTGCGACCCTGCAAACAATAAGCTTAATATTTATTGATCCATCTCATCAAAACCCATACAATCATTCTCGTAGTATATGTGCAGGTAATGAGTGATATGAGCTAGGGTCGCCTTTTAACACATTTTCAAAATTCTGAATGAGATGATTTGTAGTGAAAAGAATTTCAGGTTCTTACAAAGATACTATTATAAGTTTATGTTTTTGGTCGAGTCAGGTCTGGTCAATGTGGGACACCCATGTGGTCTTACATTTCTGTCGGTTCTGGTTCAACTTGCGCCGTGTAGGCTCACCGTATATGGCTTCCGCATCTCTCGATCCACACTCTATACGATCTAACGTGGTACGGTCCACCAGTAGTTTTCAATCACGCGTTAGACGTAAATTGCATTGGTGGGTATAACTGACGTGGCTCTCACTCATTGGTCGCTCCACTAAAAAGCAGACGATCACTGCTCCATCCAATTTACGCCATCAATAATTTTAGTTTTTGATCCACACACACTCTGTTTCAAAAAGTAAAATAAAAACTGTATATCGTAGTTTTTTTTATTCTTCGTTCCTCGCTTAAACCCATTAAGTCAAATTTATCTGATAAAGCAGCAAAGAGATCTGGCGTGAACGAGACCAATGCTTCTTCGTATTGTTCAAACCGCGATTCTAAGTTTCGTTATCGCCGCCGGGATCTCCATCTCAACCGTAGTCGCCGAGAAAGAATCAATATACGAGATCCTACAGGCAAACGGTTTACCTTTGGGGATATTTCCGAAAGGGGTGAAAGAGTTCAGCGTCGTCAACGGCGAAACCGGACGGTTCTCGGTTTATTTGAACCAGTCGTGCAATGCCAAGTACGAGACCGAGCTGCATTACGACGCGAGTATTTCGGGAACTATAGGTTATGGACAAATCACTGATTTGTCGGGAATCTCGGCGAAGGAGCTCTTCCTTTGGTTTCAAGTTAAAGGAATCCGAGTCGACGTGCCGAGTTCTGGTCTCATATTCTTCGACGTTGGTGTTGTTCGCAAGCAATACTCCTTGTCTTTGTTCGAGACGCCGATGGATTGCGTTGCGGTTCGTGGTGAAAAAAAGGTTAGGAAATAATTATAGTTCATCTCTGTCATGTCATAGGGCTTTGTATTATTTTGAAGTTTATGGACTTTAGCTGATCATGGAAAATGAATTAATGTGTATTCAATGGCTCGTGCAGGTTCAGCCTTATACGTTGCCGTTGTATCAAGTAGATCAAACTCTTAGAAGAAACATTGTTTAGCCGGAGTGTAAAAGGGAACGTTGATTTATACTATACAAGAAAGATACATAGATGCTCTCATCAATTCTTCAAGGTTTTGGTTTCAAACCTTAAAGAACGATTATAAGTTCATACTTTCCTTCCCCATCCCGGTGTTGTTTCTGCATTGCGTTCTGAGATGGAACCGAGAGAATCTGTGAGCGGAAGTTAGACGGAAGGAACAATATATGGTTGGTCTGTAAAAAGATGATAAAGTAACGGTCCATATTTGGTTGAGGTGATGGATGTTTTTGTTTCATTTGCTCTGTTTTGTACTTTGGCACGTAAGCACAGATAAAAAAAAATATATAATCATGTAACTAGCAGAATAAATGTCGTATTAAATCTGTAATCAATTTTTCTTCATCAAATATTAGAGAAAGAGAGCTTCTTAGCTATGCTAACAACGTAGGTGATTAAGATATATCATTACGCTGTCTAAGATGCTGATTAAAATACGGACAATTAGTTTAAGACTGTGTGATTAAGACTAGAGTATTGGCGGACGTTAAAGTTATAAAAGAGACTAGAGTATATGATTATAACACTTTGACAATTCTTACGTTACACTACTATTGCCATATCTTTTCTACAAAACCATCTCTATGGTATAACTCATATTTTCGAATATTGGACATAAAAAATCAACAGTTAAAATAGTTAAACTAATTCGAGATATGTGAAGCGTGAGAGGAGACTCAATGTTTTTGGTATGAATATGCAAGTAAAAAAAACGTGAGATATTCATCTGCGTAAAACATGTGAGCCTACAAACAATAAATCCGAAGTTTCATGATCCATCTAATCCAACTCGATTAGTTTACTCATGCGATCATTCTCCTTGCTCTGCCATATACTATATATATAAATATATATGTACAAGTTATACATGAGACTTACCTTTTAGAATATTTTTCAAAACTAGAAAGAAATTATGAAAAAATCGCAGGTTCTTACACTAGTATTGCTTATGGTTATGGTGGAGTCAGGCCTGGTCAAAGAGACTATGGCACACCCATGTGGTCGAACATTTCTGTCGGCATTGATTCAACTCGTGCCGTGTATACCATCAGTGGCGCCGTTTAGCACACTGTCTCCGAACGAGCTATGTTGCGCTGCCATCAAGACGCTTGGTCAACCTTGTCTATGCGTTCTTGCCAAGGGACCACCTATCGCTGGCGTTGACCGCACTCTAGCTCTCCATTTACCGGGAAAATGTTCTGCCAATTTTCCTCCCTGTAATTAATTTTTATGCTTTCCCTTGTAATAATTATGCTAGAACAATTGATTCGGTTTTTAATTAGAGTTAATAGAGACTTATCATTTATGATATTTTAGTAGCAAGTATAACTCACTAATATATTTTCTCCGATCAAAGATGTTTATATCTTGTAATTTAAGCTAAACTAAAATATAGCGTATTAGTATTGATGGAACTTTATTTTGTTTGTCAACAGTTTTGATGGAGCATGTTACATACTATATGATGAGCTTTGAATTTTATCTATAATTTATAATTAACAAAAAATATTTAATGCAGGTGAGATGTTAAAATAGAACCACTCCTGCAATGGAAAATATGAGACTGGGTTGCATTACGAAGCGGATATTACGGGAACGATAGGGTTTGCTCAGTTCAGGGAACTGTGAATACCTTTAAGAATAATAATATGCTGCAAACTTTTGAGGTTTTTCAATGTCAAGTTGCTATTGTACATTCTGATTCCGGTTTCTACGTTGTATTGGGAAATTTTGTGGTCCAATCCAAATTACTTTCTAAACCGGTCATTTTGCCAAAACCGAAACCAAGATTATCGGTTTCACTAATCCGTATCATCCGACATCCATGATTCTCTCTGATCAAAGAGGTTTTCGGGATTGAATTGGCAGATGGTGTGGGTCCAATTCAAATTACTTTCTTTCCACGAGAGACCTTTACGCACGTTGAAACTCCAAAGTAGTATTATTCTAAAAGATCCAAATAATGGTTTAAGTTGAGCTTTCACGTGTGATGAACTGATGATGATTCATATTTGATTGTTGTCTTGTTACTTTTAGCAAAATCCAGTAAACGCCACGCTAATAATCGTGAATTTAAATGGAACTTGCTTTTGCCTGTACAACAAAGACTCTGTTCCACCATTCTGTTAGCCATTCTAAACTCTAAACCATTTTATCAACCAACGAAGAAGTAGCAAATGATGAAAACACCTTAAATCTCATGCGTCTATGATCTGGATCAGATACAAATGATGAAAACTGCTATCAAACTACATAACTAAAATTAATCTCTTAACTTTGTGGTTCTTAATCAATATCAACAATCGAGAGGGATGCAGAGAATCCATCACTAATAAATGTAGTCTGTTAGAGTAATTGAACCTCGGGGATAATCAACAAATCCAAATTCTCATTATTCAGAATCGAGTTCATAGAGACAACAAAGCTCATCAGTCTCATTGTGTCCCTACCAACATGAAGAAAACAACAGCAACAACAACATCGAATTCCAATTTTTCCTAATGTTGGGGAAACCAAAACAAAAAGGAAATGAAAAATTTCCAATCGAATATTCAAGAGAATGTTTAGAAAAACCATTAACCCCAAAATCTCACCAGCCAAAGTCGCACAAGAGATAAAAGGAAACCGAAGGTTGTTCTTCTAATCAAAGATTTTATCACGTGCTGCCGTGAAGAATCGACCCGAGTGTGCCCAGAACAGCGAAAGCAAGCAACGGACTGACATCAAGCGTGTCGAAAATTGGAGGAATGATGTTCCTGAAGAGGTTCAGGTAAGGATCGCAGAGGTCTCTAATGGCCGACAACGGCTGTCTCTCCCAAGGGATATTAGGGAACCAGCTCAGCAAAACCCTTACCATCAAAACCCCACTGTATATATCAAGCCACTTCTTTAATCCCGCCGCCACCACCGTCAGCGGCGTGTTCAAGTATCCCGGCGGCCGTTCCCGGAGCGATGCGAAGAAGACCGGACCGACGGTACGGAGAGAGAATCGTAACGCGTCACCGATTCCGGGGCTCGATGTCTGGATTGCAAGAGAGAATTTATGGGCTAAGGCTCTGGATACAGCGATTGTCAAAGCCACGAGAGTGGCGAGAGACCGAGTCGACCCGGTGAGTGTGGATGGCCGAGTAGTGGATTTCGCCGCCGGTTTGAGCGAAGTTATCGGGGTGCAGGTAGACGGCGAAGCGGATGAGGCAGTAATTCGGATGGAATTAGGGTTTCGAATGGATAGAGAAGGAAAGGGTTTGATACAAGAGAAGAGACGAGTGGGTGGTCTCTTGACGCCATGGAATCTAGGGTGTGTAGCAGATATAGGAGGAAGGTGCAGAGGAGAGCGATGAGCGAGAGGTGTAATGGCGGCCATCCCCGTTCCTCCGCCTAAAAGATAATGACGACTGTTTTTTTTATTTGTTTAGGATTATATATAAATCACCCAAACTCTTGTCTTAAAGATGGAAGAGATTCTAATTTTTTTTATTGTTAATATATTTCATAAATCTAAAATCCAAGTGATTTGTAAAATGTTTCACTTTAATAAATTTGATATTTCATGAATATAATTCAAGAAAATTGTTGGTAAAATAAAAATGTTTATCACTTAGATTTAGGATATTGTTTATTTATCAACAAAATACAATAATACATATATTTCTTCTTTGCATACATACAATCAATTTCTTAAGTTTGCAGGGAAACGAAAATTGATCAACTAGTAAACTATAAAAATTTCAATGTTAATTTCAAAATTTATGATGAATATATTTTTGAATAATAACGTCTTGGATTTTAATTATAAAGCCAAGTATTTAGATTCAGACAAAAAAAAAGTGGGGGAAAAACAAAGACAAATAATACAGTATGACGATTAGAGAAGTTTGTGTAATAATTGGTCCGTCTAACATAGTGGAAACAACTGAGGACGTAAAATCGGTAAAGACCATAGATAAGCATCTAAGACCTTAACATTCACACCATTTGAGATGATTCCCAAAATGATATTTCTCATCATCTTCATTGGCTTTCCGATGTTCATTCTCCATTTCTGCACCACCGTCCGCGATTGCCCCACCAAGAACCCTCGTCGCCGGTTTCCTAACCGCACGACGGCCCGTTTTACTTTCCTTCGTTGCTGAGGCCACCACAGCCTCGACGGAAGACTTGAAATGGCATGAACTGCGTTTCTTCTTACCATACTAATTTCCTTCTTCTTTTTTTTTTGTTTTTCTGGTTTTAACTAGTCTCTGTTTTGAATTAACAAGTTCTTGAAGGTGGATTTATATAAGTAGGAGGAGTGAGTGAGTGATGATCGATGATGTGTAAAGCTTAGAATCAAAAGAGCTTTTAATCATTGAAGAGGCAATGATTATGAGCATCATTAAGGCCTATGGTGAGTAGGAGGGAGGTAAACCTTTTTGAAAATATTCCATTTCGATCTCCTAATATTATAGTACTAATCAAGTTTGAGATAGTTCAAACTCAAAGTGATCAAGAAAATGCTTATACATAATACATTTGAGTTTCAAAAGTAATAAATTAATAAACTTTGAAATTTCATAGTGTGTTGTAGATCTTCTTGGACGTTTATTAATGACTAGGCCATTAGTTTAGTTAGACGGTATGGATATTTGGCATTTTGGTCGATCATTGACCACTCTATGAGAAGCCTTATTAGTGGTTAGTTAGGGTATAATTATATATCTTCAACAGGGTATTATATAAACATGTTGCTTTCGTCTGCAAATTCTAGACCTCAAGTCTACGTTTTAGTTGGAGGGAATAGTATTTTTAATTAAAAATCTAATTTGTGATTTATTCGGCTTTAGGTTGTGTAGCCTCGTGGTAACCATCATTAGAATTTACAGGTGACCCGGCCCCATTCATTCTCCTTTACTTTTAAGTCTTTCAACTGCTTACTGACAAGAACGTACCTAATTACAATCGATACAACCGGCTTTTTATTTTACAAGATGTTTGTAACCAAATACGGTCACAATCAAAAACAATTTTACAATAAGATATATATTTGGCAAAAAGAAAAATAATCATATATTTCAGATCATTTAGATTTCTAGGCAGTAATATTAATTATGATTTGATTGATTAGTGTGACATGTGTAAATCATAATATCAATTATCTTCCGCACCTCGTATTAAGCGGCGGATTGCAATCTAAACGGGTCTCTATTGGGCCATTTGGGCCTGAAAATTACAATTTATGAGCTATATTTAAATATTCAGGTTTAAAACTAATCCCTATCATCGTCTTTCGCAGTTCCCGCGAATCTAAACTACCCTGAAGAACCAAACCTCTTGTCTTCTCTCTCTTTCTCTCCGCAAGAGGAAAACAATGCTTTTCCCTCTCCCAACAATCTAAGCTTCCTCTAATCTTTTCTTCTCCTCTCAGTCGAATTTTATCTTCACTAATCATGTTTATATATAATCTCTTCTTCGCTTCTGATTTTTCCAATCCAAGTAACCTCAAATCTCCCTCTCGATTTCTTCATATTCCTTTCGATTTCTCGGAGTTTATAAACTACCCAAAATGGACTCTCACGTTAAAACCCATCAGAAAGAGCAGGATCATGACGCCTCTCCGAATCCCGTTGCCTTGTCTAAGTATTCCAACCGGGTCGAGTTAAAGACTCTGCTCCAACGGAGCGACGGCGGCGCAAGACTGGCCGGTAAAAGGGTTGTGATCGGTGGATGGGTTAAGTCTTCTAGAGCAGTTAAGAAAGATTCTCCTCCGCCGCCGCCGGCGGAAGTAGCCGTCCATCCGCCGTCGAGCGGTGGGAATCAAGCTTCTACGACGGCCAACATTAGCTGCACGGAAATCATCCAATCGAAAATGAATATTTTCAGAAAACTCTTCGATGTCTTGAGCGGCGGTGGAAAAACTTATCCAATCTTCGATAAACCGGAGCTCGCCGGTCAGAAGACCGCGCCACCACCGGAGTATATTTTGTATTTCACGATCAGCGATGGCTCCTCCGTCGCCAGTCTCCAGGTAGCACAAGGTGTTCAATTTCATTATAGTTTTGGCACAGAATATGTTCGATGAAATGCTAAGTTCCAATTTTTTTGTGTTTCTCAGGTTGTTGTTGATTCTGCAATGTCGACTGTTCCAACAACACAGCTTATGGCTCTAGGGACATGTATTGTAGCAGAAGGTGTATTAAGACAACCATTGGCTGCTTCTGCAAAACATGCAATTGAGCTTGAGGCGGAGAAGCTTCTCCATGTAGGAACAGTGGATCCGGAGAAGTATCCGCTGTCGAAGAAACAGCTTCCTCTGCATATGCTTAGAGACTACTCTCAGTTCAGGCCCCGCACGACTACGGTAAAACTATATTTCAACATTTTATCCAAGATTTTTTCACATTTGATATGATCTTAGGTCAGAAAACTTATATTTTTAATTTTATTGTTGGTGAAGGTTGGGTCGGTGACTAGAGTCCACAGTGCGCTAACCTTAGCGAGCCACACGTTCCTTCAGTTCAACGGGTTTCAGTATGTTCAAGTACCAGTCATCACAACCACTGGATTTGGCGAAATGTTTAGGGTCACTACTCTTTCAGGCAAAACTGATGGTAAGGAGGAGAAGAAGCATGTCAAAGAAAATGATGGATTTAGCATTGACACAGTAAAGGCTGCGATAAAGGAAAAGACTAAGCTGATTGATCACCTTAAGAGATCTGACAGCAACCGAGAAGCTGTGGTTGCTGCCGTACACGACCTGAAGAAAACGAGCGATCTTGCATCGCAGCTCGAGATGAAACAAAGACCAAAGGCAGCAACTTTGATCAAACCTGAGAAGCTTGATTTCTCGCAAGATTTCTTTGGTCGTAACACTTATCTGACTGTTTCTGGGAGGTTTCATCTTGAGAGCTACGCCTCTGCACTTGGGAAAGTTTATACCTTTGGACCGAGATTCGTAGCTGATAAAGTCGACAATGCAAGGCATTTGGCGGAGATGTGGAATGTGGAAACAGAGATGGCTTTCTCCGAATTGGATGTAAGTTCCTGAAAACATTGATTTTGGAAATCCCATTCAATGATTATTGGACAAATGATAACAACTCGTTTCTTTTGGATATTACAGGATGCAATGGATTGTGCTGATGAGTTCTTCAAGTTCCTCTGCAGATATCTTCTGGAAAATCGTCAGGAAGACATGAAATTCATATCCAAACGAGTTGACAAGAACATCACCACACGTCTCGAAGCAACAGCTTCCAATTCTCTTCTGAGATTCTCCTATACCGAAGCAATTAGTCTTCTGCAAAAGGTCTAAAACACTTTCAAATCCCATATTGTTCATTAACTTTACTGATTGTGTTGCTATATTTCAATGATCGGACTCTCTAAAAACAGGAAACCAGTAGAAGATTCGAAACCAAGCCTGAGTGGGGCGTTGCTTTAACAGCGGAGCATCTCAGGTATACACTGTTTTTGCGTATGACAAATGCAATTGAGTCTTTGTTTCAGGATGTGATACTGAAATTGTATGTTCGCCGTGTAATGTTGCAGTTACTTAACTGATGAGATCTACAAGGGTCCCGTAATTATACATAACTATCCGAGAGAGGTTAAACCGTTTTACACACGGTTGAATGGTGATAAGAAGACTGTAGCAGCGTTTGATCTGGTCGTACCAAAGGTACATAGAGAAGCCAAACCAAACTTTGAAACTCGAAATCGCAGAATGTTACAAACGCCCTCAACTTTCTTCGCAGGTTGGTGTTGTGATCACTGGGAGCCAAAACGAAGAACGGTTTGAGGTTTTGGATGCGAGGATCAGAGAACTTGGAATCACAACAAGGGAGCAGTACGATTGGTACTTAGATTTAAGGAGGCATGGGACAGTGAAGCATTCAGGAATAAGCCTAAAGATGGAACATATGATTCTGTTTGCGACCGGACTTCCTGATATCAAAGACGCGATTCCTTTCCCAAGAAGTTGGGGCAAAGCAAACAATTAAACCAGCCTCGAGGTTTTATGTACAAACTCAGTTTCATCGTCTATGTAAACGATACTTGGTGAAGAAAAAGAAAAAAAAAAGAGAACTGTTTCCCAAAGTGTTCATAATGATTATATAAGTATTGCATATATTGGAGGAGGTTTGTAAATAATCAATAAGATATTCAATTAAGTGTACAAACTTGTGTTACCCATATGCTGAATTTGGATATAATTACAAACTTGCTTAAACTTGTGAATATTTATCTTGTAAACTATTTGCTGAATTTTGTAACACTACACAATCTTAAGACTAAGGCCCAAATATTCAAAGATGAACTTAAAGCCCAAAATAAAGACACAAGAAACCAAATGCATTTCACAACGTGAGAGTGTAATACAAATATTAATGCTTATTCTATTTTCAAATTTCATTTACAATGTGTTTGGGTCTTAATTTTTTCTTATCTCAAAATGTGTTTTATTCAGGTATTGAGTTGAGACTTCTACACTGTGTATACTGTTCTTGACTTCTTTCTATGTACGTGCGAGAACACTTTCAACTTTTACGGGTGTAGTTTTTTTTTTCGAATTAAGTAAATACTTATTCATCTTGGTTATGAAACAGTGAAATAACTAACTTAATTTATCAACAAAAAAAACAGTGAAAAACACGTCAAGATAACTTTTGGATTAATTAACAGGTTAAACGTAATTAATTAAGAATGAAATGAAAGGTCTATTGGAAACCCCGCCAATCACGCAGAAGCTTGTCTGTCACCACTTTACCACTTATCAAAGCTTCAAAGCTGCAAAATTCTCCACAATCCACACAATCTACTGAGTTCCAAAGAAAGAAGAAGCAGATGGGTGATCGAGGAGAAGAGTATCTGTTCAAGATTGTCCTGATCGGCGACTCCGCGGTCGGGAAATCGAACCTACTGTCTCGGTTTTCACGGGACGAGTTCGACACGAACTCGAAGGCGACAATCGGAGTGGAGTTTCAGACGCAGCTGGTGGAGATCGAAGGGAAAGAAGTGAAAGCACAGATCTGGGACACTGCTGGTCAAGAGAGGTTTAGGGCAGTCACTTCTGCTTATTACAGAGGTGCTTTCGGTGCCCTCGTCGTTTACGACATCACCCGAAGCTCCACTTTCGAGAGCGTTAAGCGATGGCTTCAAGAACTCAACAGTAAACTCCTTTCCTTTCCCTTTTTCCTTTTTTTGTTGTAATTGAAAAAAAAATTGATGGTTTTTGGTTGATTTTTAAGTAAATCGCTTAAATTCAATCTGAGTCATTAATTCCGTAGTTGTTTCGTACTTTTGCCTTGAGGCAATGGAATGAGATTGGTTCTCGTAGACAATAAGATGTTGCTCTCTGTTTTGCAACCTTCACTTTGTGATAACACTTTGTTTTCTTTGTTGTTACCGCAAAGCTCATTGCGACACGGCAGTGGCACAGATGCTAGTCGGGAACAAATGCGATTTGGAGGATATCAGAGCTGTGAGTGTGGAAGAAGGGAAAGCTCTCGCGGAGGAAGAAGGAATGTTCTTCATGGAGACATCCGCTCTCGACTCCACAAACGTAGACAAAGCCTTTGAGGTTGTCATCAGAGAGATCTTCAGCAATGTCAGCCGCAAACTTCTCAACTCCGATGCTTACAAGGCCGAGCTTTCCGTTAACCGGGTCAGCCTTGTTAACAACAAGGATGGTGCCGAGAGCTCTTGGCGTAACCCGTCTTGTTGCTCTCGATGATTTTAAGAAACGACCATCTTTTGTTTTCATCATCTTGTTTTCTACCAGAGAAAAACCATTATTAAAGCTTATTAATATCTATTTTTTCCGATTTATATCAAAGGTACTTGCAAATCTGTTTTGTTTATGATATTATGGAGGATGGATTAGAAGCAAATGACCTCACTGAATATCAGAGAAAACTGTGAAATCACAACTTTGAAATCAACCTCTAATGGAACTATATGTACATGTAAATATAAATATAATAGACTTATTGGCTGATCAGGGTACAATTAGGGTTTTCGTAAAGCTGAACCCGCACCCATTACTACTGCTAAGACAAGCCCAAGACCGGCTCCAAGTGAAGCACCCACGGCTGCTGCTGACATGGACGATGACTTGGCCTTTCTATCATCCACGGCACGGCCTTTGGCTAGTTCCACCAACAGTCTGTCTCTAGCAAGTTCCTGAAAGTTTTATGGAGAGATAATAAAACATTCGTGTTGTGTATCGCTATATAGGAAAGGTAAAGAGAGTGTTGAATACCTGAAAGCAAGCTTCTTCTTGAGTTTGAAGGACGCGATGGACAAGCTGGCAAAGGGAATTCACACCGTCCACTGGAAAAACAGTGTCTTTTCTCTGGAAAGGCTTCTTGACAAGGTCGAGTGGAGCGAATATCAGCTTCTGAGCGCCTAGTGATCCTTCGTTACCGGCATTCACAGCTGCCCAAGGCAATGAGGAACTCCCAGAGCCAGAAATAACGTAAGGGATTGAGTTGACGATTCCGGTTGTGTTTGGAGACGCCTGGTACGCCTGAAGAACAGCTTCTATGATGGTTTTCTGCTGATGCGCACTGACCGAGAACTTGTTTGTAATGGCCAGGACCCAAGGGATGCCCAGAGACTTGACCTCGTCTAACAGAAGACCAAGTGCTGGTTGCTGTTGCGCTGTTGAGTTCTGGTAACGTGGTATTCTGTGAGACAGATTGTGCACAAGGATAACTAAATCTATCTTCTTGCTTAGGTCACGGACTCCTTTCCATACTTCTTCTCTAAACCGAGAAGCCTCCAAGTGCAGCTCCTGCAGGTTCACGCCCACTGTGTCCGAGTAGCAGACACCACCAACAATACATTCTTGAACATCGGACTGTATCTGCAGATTCTCCACATGAGTCATCGAACTCACCATGCTTTGACCCAGTATTGCTCTGAACAGAGAGGTTTTACCAGCACCCTGCGCAGACAAAAACGATCCAGTTTTTTAATAATTACATGCAATGTATGAAACGTTACTCCAATGAAACAAGAAATGGCGGTACCTCAAGGCCGAGTAATCGCACCCTCCGTGTTCTGACCTCAACCTCCTTAGCTATAGTAGCGAAATCACTAGTACAGAATATATACAAGTCCTCCAAGCCTTCAGGACGAACAAACTTGTCCTCTTTAAAAAATCCTAAACCGATTCCTTCCTTCACCAAACCGGTGTTTGAATCAACGGATGAGAACATAGGAATTAGAGGATCTTCAACTATCTGGTTGCTTGGAGGTCGCTTCAGAGGAGCTCCAATGGTCACCCTGATTTTCTGTAGTTCTGTCTGTTCTACATTATCTGAAGAATAAGCAGGTGTTGAAGGGAAGGATTCCACAGTAGTTGCGCACCTAAAAGAGAGTTAATTACTAAAAATTTAACATATATTTGTCGTTAGTTAGAACAGGGAAAATAAAAAAGAAGAGGGATAAGGGATTATACCAGTTGCCATTAACTTGTGCATGAACAAAAGAACACAAATGCAAGCCAAATCCAGTGATATCAACTTTTAGAGGTTCTGCATTCTTGGCACCAGGAACGCCATTCCAGCCAAGAGGAGCGATAGAAGTGGCGGTTCTAATGACCGGTGCTTCAACGATATGCCCGAGTTCTACGCTACCACCAACAGCAAGTCCAAGCCACTGCTGCAAATGTGGAAACTGCTTCTGTTGATCCACTCCGAAAAATCCATCAATATCCATGCAGAGATCATGTATTCTACAGCACGAAAAAGGCATCTCAGTGAAAAACTATACCAAGACTAGGTCACCTGCTTACGCATGAATCAAGGAGTAACCGGCCTAGAATGAGAGAAACTCTCACCTCTGGAAGCGAGACCTATAGGATTTCATAGAATGCGACTGAAGACGTTCCCTCAGTTCGGTGATCACAGATCTGACCTGAAAAATATCTTTGCCAGAAAAGTGCAACCAAATAAGAGAACCTCAACCACATACTAAATATGAAGATAACCGTGCAATGACAGGACCCAAACATACTGTAAGATTGAGTTTCGGGATATTAAGCATTTAAATATACAAGCACCTAAAGTTAGTTACAGAACCCTAACTTGATCTAGTATGTCTAATTTAAACACGTTCACAGGACGAGATTAATAAACACTTATTGGCATATTTGTAGGCAAAGGAAGCTCGTACCGATGTCAAATTAGAGTACTCTCCTTCTGAAAGTGGATCCACAGATGAAGTTCCCAAGAGATATAGCTGTGATACGCAGAAAAAACTTATTCGATTATGTTTAAGGAACCACAATTCTACTGAAAAGAAAAAATAGCATCAAAGCTGATAATATGTCATTGACAGATAACTAGAATGATCATTGCCAATCTTGGCATATTGCTTCATGTATATGCTCACATATATTTATAACATCTACCTCTCCAAATGGAACGTAAGAAGGCAGAGAAGGAACTCTACGCCAACTATTTCCAAACCCATTGGATGAATCGCTCTTTCCATCACTCGTTCCACTAACTGTTTGTCCGTTACCAGTATCTGCCAATGGCTTGAGAGATATACCATCCCTACCCTCTTCTATCTCAAGTGATTGTGGTTCAATAAACACGTCCTCGATAGGAGATGGCATTACAGATTCATTTGCAGTTAAACTCTCTGCAGGCTCCACTTTCTTTCCTCTATACCTATCAAGTTGTTTTCTCACAGCCTCAAGGGGAACAAGTCTTGAAAGCCTCCAGAATGAGTTCTGAACTGGGCCAACACCGATGACTAACTGCTCGTGTTCTTTGCCTTTTGTCTTTTCTGCCTCTGAAGTTACACCCTGACCGTTCTTTTTTGACAATGACGAATCTGTGGCTTCAGCCTCTCCAGCCATTGACATTCTTTGCTCATTATAGTGATGAAAATATGCAGGAGATAATATCCTGGGGACCAAATCTTCAGGTATACAATAGCTCTTGAAATAGTGATGCCACCCTTTCTCATGTACGTAACTGCAAAACGGACCAAACGAGAGAAAGAATTATCAAAATGCTCTTGCTAAACCCAGCCGTATGTTTAAGTAGAACTCCAAAAACATACTCTCGCAACGCAGCATTCCCAATAGGAGGCTGGGAAAAGGTTATACATTTGACATGAATATTCTCATTATCTTTCTTTGTAGAAGAGGCAGCAACTACCCTCAATATGGCGAGTGTAGCTAACGCAGCTACCTACGAAAATTTAGAAAATATATAGAAATCCTCAACAACGAGAAGTCAGATGTAGACAATGAGCTACAAAGGTAAGAAAATCTAAAGCAATCAGACTTACAGCTCCACCAAGTGAATGTCCACACAATACAAGTTTTTGTTTCTTTTTCTGAGCAAGTCTATACAGCTCCAGAGCAGGTATCCCCTTAGCACGAGCCAAGAATCCCTAGTTATTAAAATGTAAATGGGATCACTTAAACCTTGCATAAGATAATAGTGTACTCAAGATACCAAAAAATAAGAAATTTTTTTTTGCTCCAACGGCGCCACAAGCATACCCGATGAGCAGCAGGTTTGGGCTTCTGTCTACGTTGCTTAGCCTTTGAATCAAGAGGATTCCGCAGACCTTCTCCATTATTCATCTGTGTTTCACTTTGCATAGTTTCAGATGCTACGGTGCATTCATCCTCTGCGACATCATCTTGAAATATGTGACCTTGAAGTATGTTTGCATCGGCCATGATGTCCCTAGAACACACACAAGAATGAAAAAAAAAAAAAAAACACATCTTTTACATCTGACGAATTTCAATTTCCAGGGGATAGAAACTCCAAGGAAGACTTACTTATATTGCTTAGTTCCGACAAAGGATGCAAATAATGTATCACCAGCCTCAGCGAGTAGATACCTACATTAAGATAAGTTATTTCAGTTTGAGCAATAGGAACCACACCCATCTAGTACAAGAATAAACTGAACTAACTTTATCATCACTCAGTAAATTTCTTATTTCATGATAAGCATATGGATTCTATTAACAGACAAGTGTATAACCTAAGCACACATAGAGATTATTCTTGTTGCTGATACAGCCTCATCAAAAGCATATCCGTATTACATTTTTATCCTGACTTCTGTTATTCATCAGAGTAAGACACAAATGCAGCCATGATTCGAAAAATCCAGAAATAAACTCCGATAATTCTGTAAAGTAGAAATCGAAGAGCGGAGAAAAACAATTAAAGGAAGTTCAAAAATCTCTCCAACCGCTAAGAGATGTAAAAGGAACCTGTGAGGAACGTGATCTGATGAAGGCTGAACTCTCTGCAACGAAATAAATTGGCCGCCAAAGTCCGCTTTAAATTTGTTCACAGCTCGAACCATCTCACTCGCAGGTCTCTATCAGTATACAAAGCAGTAGCGTAAACAGAAATTCTCGAAATTTAGCAACTTTCTCATTAAAAAGTCACACATTTTGAGTAAAAAGACCGCGACAGGAGATGAAACAGAGAGATTGAGAAGAGAGAGAAAGATCGTGGATGTGTGTTCAATTGAAGTTCCATTATCCAATGTACACCTAAACTAACATTGTCACAAACTAAATAAATGTTGGCTCTTTGCAAAAGGCAGATGTTCCGAGACTAAAAGAATGAATTACCTTGTAAACACACTCGGAGAGTACCATGCAACAGAGCAAGTCCTGCAAATCATCGACGGACTCGGATTTAAGGGCGATACAAAGATCCTGAATTTGCTTCTTCC